CAATAAATTAGTTAAGGAAGAGAGATACGGAGATATGTCTGTGTATGTGCTTACGTATGGTAACTAAATCGAATACTCATATTATATAGAACACACCCACAAGCCAAAACCAAACCATTCACCTGATTAACCCTGCTGAAGGAACATTTTCAACATATAACAGGTACTGCCAGACTTTCAGTGTTCAATCCATCAAATCCCTAACCGCATAATCGCATAATCGCCTAAGTCCCGGTACCAAGTATCCTCGATGTATTTTCATTTTATTTAACTACTTAGCTAGGCTAATGCAAACCAATGTTAACAATTAATCTAATGTCGATTAAAGGAATTTAAAAGCTGTTTACCAACCAACTTTGTTCGCACCTTCAGTGGTTCTAGTACACGAAGTGGGTAATAGAAAAATGTATTTATTTAAAGTATTTCATATTTTTAATGGAAGATATATTTCGCTTTCAATTCACTGGCTATGGCTATGCTATGGCTAGGGTCAAAAGCTCCTCATATACACTTTAATGTTATCCGACATGGAGCACAGCTACGAGATGGTCACAGTAGCAGGCCCACATGATGTTGCCATGAAGGATGAGCTCCGGTTCTGGTGAATCTGAGTTGGATGATAATTGTGCGATGGGATCGCCGTTGTTTTCGTCTATCACTGTGCGTGTGCGAGTCCAGGATGTGGGGAGACTTCGCTGCTTTTGGTTGTTGGTCGCTGCTGGTTGCGGTTGCCTTTGAAGGACTTTCGCATCGGGCGAAAGACTTAAAAGCACTTGCGGTGGACAATGCCGGGGCCGGACTCGTCGTACTCCTGCTTCGAGATCCACATCTGCTGGAAGGTGGACAACGAGGCCAGGATAGAGCCACCGATCCAGACGGAGTACTTCCTCTCAGGTGGAGCAATGATCTTGATCTTGATGGTCGATGGGGCCAGAGCGGTGATCTCCTTCTGCATGCGATCAGCGATACCTGGGAAACAACAAGAAAAAAATTGGTTTAAGAAGCTCTCTAGGCAAAGGTAGTTCTGTGACTCACCTGGGTACATGGTGGTACCACCGGACAGCACAGAGTTGGCGTACAGGTCCTTGCGGATGTCCACGTCGCACTTCATGATCGAGTTGTAGACGGTCTCGTGGATGCCGCACGACTCCATGCCCAGGAACGAGGGCTGGAACAGGGCCTCGGGGCAGCGGAAGCGCTCGTTGCCAATGGTGATGACCTGGCCGTCGGGCAGCTCATAGGACTTCTCCAGGGAGGTGGAAGCGGCGGCGGTGGCCATCTCCTGCTCGAAGTCCAGGGCGACGTAGCACAGCTTTTCCTTGATGTCGCGCACGATCTCACGCTCGGCAGTGGTGGTGAAGGAGTAGCCGCGCTCGGTCAGGATCTTCATCAGGTAGTCGGTCAGATCGCGACCGGCCAGATCCAGACGCAGGATGGCGTGGGGCAGGGCGAAGCCCTCATAGATGGGCACGGTGTGGGAGACGCCATCGCCGGAGTCCAGGACAATACCGGTGGTACGGCCGGAAGCGTACAGGGAGAGCACGGCCTGGATGGCGACGTACATGGCCGGCGAGTTGAAGGTCTCGAACATGATCTGGGTCATCTTCTCGCGATTGGCCTTTGGGTTCAATGGGGCCTCGGTCAATAATACTGGATGCTCCTCGGGGGCCACGCGCAGCTCGTTGTAGAAGGTGTGATGCCAGATCTTCTCCATGTCATCCCAGTTGGTGATGATGCCGTGCTCGATGGGGTACTTCAGCGTGAGGATACCGCGCTTGCTCTGCGCCTCATCACCCACGTAGGAGTCCTTCTGACCCATGCCCACCATCACGCCCTGGTGGCGTGGGCGGCCCACAATCGAGGGGAAGACAGCACGGGGGGCGTCATCACCGGCAAAGCCGGCTTTGCACATGCCCGATCCGTTGTCGATAACTAATGCGCCCGCATCATCGTCACACATCTTGGCAGTTGATTATCTGAGGGTTAAATGGGAAGGCGCTTCGGTTAGTAATTTCTTTTCAAAGTTTTAAGTCTTTCTAGCGGGTCTAAATGTAAATTTAATTTAAAACCTTTTGATTAAAAGCTCTTGATTTTTAAACATACATATATCTTTTTGTATATTTTAGAGAAACTGTAAAACGAAAAAAATGTCTATAATATTATTACTAATGTCTTGCTAGTTTTCTGGCTATAAAGTTAGTGCTCCATGCAGTTAAGATGCCGTTAAATTCTTTGAACAAATGAAATTTTTTATCAGTAAAATAAATACTATTTTTGTTTAATTATTTAGTTAAAAGAAAATTTGATTGCAAAGTTATTTGTTTTATGTTTAGCATTTTACAAATATTTTTATTTGAATATTAATGAAAAAATCATTGTATTCAAAATTGTCTTATAATTTCATTGTAAAAACTCTTTGTATAGAAAAAGGAAACTCCAATCTTTTTACTACTAGAATTAAAAGAAAAACGTTGCTCTAAGTACGTGCAGTTCAAAGAACCCAAACCAATCTATTTAGATTAAATGGAAATTCCTTAAATTGTTAATCCGATTTAGTTTTTGCATCATTAGCCACCGTTCGATCCGATTACTATTCACTTTAAAAATAGAAACTGCCCTTTGAGAAGGGGAGCTTGTTCTTAAAAAACATTCATTGGCACTAGTATCTTCCACAAAAATATTTTAAATTGTTTTCGATATCCTTAGAGATGTTCTGTGATAATCCTTTGGTCCTTTCAGCACACACACACACCTTACTGGTCAACGAAGGGATGTAATTTGAATAAACTCGCACGTTCGATTCTTGTTGACGCTAGAGACTCAACAACAAATGGCACGCCGTGCGGTCTGTCCTGCCTTTATATCGACCCCCTCGTCCGAGTCGAATGAGCGAAAGTAGTGCGAGACAATAGACTCGGATCGATCCATATAAGCAGTTTTCTCAGTTCTGATCTCAGCAGAACAGAAGTTGGCGCTAATGAGGCATATGCGGCATATCAATGAGCTATACAATGATCCAATTATAGGGACTACATTAGGGGCTAGAAACATGTAATACCCAGTCTGAGTTCGCTAATAAATATTGCCTACTTTACAGAACCAGTGTAACTTAGAGAATAAGGATTTAGTTATTGACTTGAGGTCATAGCCGGCTTCGATTTTATAATAATCAAAGGCTCGACTTTTTGAATAAAAAGAAGTTAAAATGGATTCTCAAAAAAAATTAATTAGAATTGATTAATAAACAAGAAAGAAAGCTAACTTTGGCCAGCCAAAGTTTGTATACTCTTGCAGGTAACAATTAAAATATATCATAACTAAGCCAAAAATGCATTAATTTCGATTCGGAAAGCAGTTTTGTGTTAGTTTTTATTAATTTAAAAAAACTGCATACCAAATTTAAAATTTTAAGAAATCAAAATTTTTGGCCATTTTTGCTAATTTTAATGATGTAACCCCTTATCAAATTTCGCAAAAATGGCCAAAAAATCGATTTCTTCCGGACATGTCTAGAAAGATTCCCCTGTTGATGCTGATCAAGAATATATATGGTTTATGGGGTCGAAAATGATTCCTTGACTTAGAAAAAAATTATTTTGTATTATAAAATCGGATTTTTTATATTAAAAACCCCTTCTTGATTTTTTTAAATTAAAAATATCATAACTCGGCCAGAAGAGCATTAATTTTCAATCGGAAAACTGTTCTGTGCAAGATTTTCTACAGTTAATAAATTTGCATACTTCATTTAAAAATTTTGAAAATTCAATTTTTTATCAAAATCAAAAATTTTAATGATGTAACCCCTTATAAAATTTTGCAAAAATGGCCAAAAAATCGATTTCTTCCTGACATATCTAGAAAGATTCCCCTGTTGCTGTTCAAGAATATATATACTTTATAGTGTCGGAAACGTCTCCTTCACTGCGTTGCAAACTTCTGACTGAAATCATAATACCCTGCAAGGGTATAAAAATGAAAGCTTCTGGTAAAATAATTAATTAAATTTCCAAAATCTTCATTTAATATCCCACAAATTAATTTATTACCATATAAAAAACCAGTAAAGTTTATAAACCAATCGTAAAATGGTAGGGAGTATCTTTTGAGAGAAAGCTAGAGAAAGATAAGAGCAGAATGCAACCGAGTGATAAACTCATGTGCGTGACATCTCGAGCATCGGCCACTGCACATCGTTAATCGATTCTCTCTAGTTGGCAATTAGTGGCTGCTCCCGTGCCCCTTCCCGCTCCGCCTCCCTGCCTCCTTGGCGGCAGCCGACGACTCGGAGAGTTCAGAAAATAGAAACGGACCTTAGAAGGACCGACGCAAGACAATTGGCATGCCACCACCGAAAACTGGGGACTGGGTGTTGCTGCGGTTCGAGGATTTGGGGGGAGGACCTGGGAACTGAGCGGGCCAAATGAGAGGAGCAGGGACAGGGACAGGGCAGCAGGCACGCAGTGAGACGACACCAAAATAGACGCGCCAAGCAGAGCGGCACCTATAAATCAACATCAAGGTTGATCGAGATCTCCGCGCGCGGTGTCCGAGGAAGCGGCATCCACGGCGTCGCCGATGCAATCCCGAAGTTTCGAAATCACCATGCCGACCATTTATCAGGGCAATTAACCATACCCAGCCAGACCGGCGAAAAGTGCATCTATCTCCTCCTCTCGCTGGCTAGCTGGCTCGCTCGCCGCTGTGTATTTTTATTTTCTCAATTGAATTGTATTTATCCTTTTAAGTAGATTTGATTCTTTTTTAGTTGTTCCCCATTTACATTTTTATTGCCGACCATTGGCCAAACGTATGTAGAATCGCATATGTAGTTGAGCTAAAAATAGGCTCTGATAGTTCGGAAGTGAATAATTGGCATTCCCAAAGTGATTTCTTCATCAATTGCTGTGTGTATTGGTCCTATTGTGTCGTGGTAAAGGTTAGTGTATGCACATACAGAAGAATTCAAGTGATTTGATTTATCACAATTGGATTTTTGGGATAGAAATAATTCTCAGCATAGTTGAGATTATATTACTTTTACAAATATTTTATAAATACCTTTTACAATTAGTATAAATTAATAACAATTTTTAAAAAAACCCTTGTGGGAAATGTATCCAAGGTTAAGCATTCTGTGGAAACTGCTAATGGTCTGGGCGTAGTTACAATTATTCAACTCTAGGAATTTTGAACTCCACTCCCAATTCATTCCAGTCTCTTGGGAGACCTTTTGTATTAAAACGGGAGCACAATGACACCGCAAATGTATCCCGATCCCGGCTGGCAAAATGACTTCGTTGAGCTTCTGCAGCCTCGGCCACATATACAGGACGTCGATTTCGTAGCCAGGCGGCAGAAGATTGCGCCTCAAATTCAACTCGACAAGCGGAAGGAACTGCAGAACCCGCAACAAAGCCACGCTATTCAGATCGTTGTTCTCAAGAGAGATCGACTGCAGTCGTGGCAACCGGCGCTCCACATGCCAGAACGGTTGAAGGTGGCTCAGATGATTCCGGTCTAGCCAAAGGTGCTCTAACTCTGGCATCTCGCGCGCCAAGATCCCCAGCACCGAACTCATGCAGTGGGGATTGGCCAGGGCGAAGAACATTCCCTGCAAGATTCCGTCGTAGTGAAACAGAGTTAGGTCTAAGCTCCGCTTTCTGGGATCATATCTGGCCATAATAGCCTGCTTCAGGGCCCTTTTGTGAGCAGCATCGTACTGAATAACGGGCATCCGGTGGTTGACCCTCAGCCACAGGCGACTATTCAGTCTGTCGAGTCGGAACAGGGCACTAGCCACGGCATACCCATTGACGTAGAAGGTGAAGAGAGCGCCAGCGTCTTCCGCCGCATCAAACTCCCCGCCAGAGTGCAGATAATGGGGCTTCAGCATCAGTGGTGTTATCTTCCTCCGAATGCTTCGCAGGACGCGGTTAACACCCAAATGATCCTTGCTGAATACCAACACACGATACCATCCATGTGTACTGACGGGCAGGCTGGTAACTTGCCCCACACGTTCGGATTCCTCCACCTCCTCAGACTTCGGTGTGGAGTGACATAGAGGACCTTCACTGCCGCTATGCCGCGGTGTACTAGCCATAGTCACTAATAGAAAATCCTAGAAAATTTGAGTATAAATGGGTTAGAAAAGCGCTCTTTGAAAGCAAGACTGATTGAAAAGTAAATAAATTTTTTAAATATAAACGGCACTGAACGGCAACTTGAAAATTTGAGTATAACTTGGTTAGAAAAACACACTTCCTACTATAGAAATACTGATTGAAAAGTAATTTGTTATAACAGTACAAAAACTGAAGGGCAGCTTGACTGAAATTGCTATGATGTTTGTGGACAAATACAAATAGACATTACATTATTATCCAAATATTAAGGCCGTCAACCCAAACAGCTGACCCAGCCGTAAAGCCAGGGTGAAATGCCGACAAACTTCTGGGGCGACACTCGTGCTCGTGCGACCATTGACTGTGACTTCCAGAAGATGGCCGTCAAGGTGAGGGAGACCAGCGAGGAGGAAATAGTCGAGACATCAACCCTCACAAATTCCGCGTAAAAATCGAAGCATACTTTTCGGCTGTTTTTGACACGTAGAAATTTAAATGTATTCCGAAAATTTTATAATTCCGAAAAGAAAGTAAACAAAAAAATGTTCAATTTCGTTGTAAATATTTTCCAATTTTTTTTTTTTTAATATGGAAGGTTGTAATGGATTTTTAAATAACAATTTTTTTGGGAAAATGGAAGCTTAAAAAAACATTAATTTCAACTCTGAAAGCTTTTCTATGCTAGGTTTCTATTAAGAATTCAGCATTTTAAATTTAAAATTTAAAATAAAATTTGAGTATGGTTAGTTATAAAGATTTAACTCCTTAAAAAAATTAAACAAAACAATTTATATATTTTTTTTAGAAAATAGCTATTAATGCTAATCATATACTTTATAGGGAAAACTAAAAGATTACGCAGTACTTAAATAGTCCAATTAAAGGATGCATTTATATTTTAAGGAATTGTTTGCTAAATATGACAATCAAAAATATAATAAATACATAATCATTTAAAATAATAATTAATAAGAAAAAAGGGCATCGACAGGACAATGTCTTGTGGTATGTCAGAGTGAAAGGAAGCTCCGGGATCCCTTGGCTGCTAAACCCAAGGATCGATACTCTAGAGCAGGCCCCCTTAATGCTCCACAGAACACACATTTCCGCTGGCACCAAAGCGAAAGCCAAGAGAAAGAAAGAAACGTGCTCCCCGAGCAAACGAAAGACTCAAGACCCGAACGTGAACCGCGGCAGAAGAAGTAGAAGCAGAATGGTAAAAGCAAAGCGCAAAAAGCAAAAGGCAGCAGCAGCAAGCAAAGCCGACCGAGAGCTGGAAAAAGAAAGTGCAAGTGGACGCGGATGCTTAAGTATTCCGTCAGCGATGTCTGCGTGCGGGTTTCTGTTGTTATTTAGCTTGCTTTGTTTTTGTATTATTTTTGGTTCTTCTCGCCTGTGTTGGTTTCACGAGCGCCACTGGAGACCAAGACCAAGACCAAGACCGAGACCCACAGCCACTGCCAGTGCCACTACCACTATTACCACCAACACCACTGCCAAAACCAGTCGAAACCAAAGGCAAAGTCACAGTCAAGAGCTCGCTGGCTGCGACGGCGACTGAGCTGAGACTGCGCTGCGACGGCGCCGCTTGACCCACTTCGGGGCCCATACAATCAGAATGTTTCATGTTTCGATTTTATTATTTTATTTTCTGTTTCTCTTTTTTCGTGTATCTTTTCGATTTACTCGGCTATGGTCAGCGCCAGCCATAGCTCAGCTCCGCTTGCCTCGCCTGGTCGTTGTGTGAAGTTACTTTTTCTTTTCCAGCTCGGCTCGACTGCTCTCATTGTTCGTCCGTAGTCGTAGGCCTATGAGAGATACGTGTGTAGATACGAGAACCATTTTTATTTCGGGGCATGACTTTCGAAAAATTGTTTTATATTTTTTTCACTTGGGGAAAAATCGACTCTCCGTAACTGGTTGCTTTCGGAATGCCCACAAGATGCGGCCAGGTCTCTAGATGGACAATTAAAGGAACGCAGCATCTGTCGGATTTTGGTCTTATCCGAGGCCTGGAACTGATGTTGCTGCTTGCTGTTGCTGCGTGGCTGCTGCTGCTGCTGCGTTGCTGCCGGCAGCATGACATAAACTTTCGATTGTCTGCCCGTCACATAACTGTTACTCGTCTTCTGGCCACATTTCCATCTCCACTTCCCTCTCTCCCCATCCGCCGCCGCTTCTCGTTCTCTTGGTAGTTTCTTCCGCCGCCACATCAATTTGGTGTTTGGGCCTAAATGGGTAACTGGGTCAGGCCCCGCTTTCGGGAAAAGCTTCTCAAACTCATTTCACTTGAGATTCTCAGATTCTCGGGCTTAGTCGCTGCCTGATGTTAGTCATGCGACTTCGTTCTTTACGAGACTTTATGAAATCAGAGACCTGATTATAAAACTTTCTTGGCTTATTCTTTTCGTTTTTTCGGCTGTGGCTGTGGCTGGGTGCTGCGTTAATGCGTTTGGCATCATTTTCGTGGTTCTGCCTCGCCCTCTGCGCAGCTTCTTCGTCTTGTTAATAATTTTATGTTAATTATTAAAAAGTGAAAATACGGCTTTGGCTTTTGGGGTCTCGGCTTTTGGCTGCATTAATCATTTGGCCGATATACATCCAGTTTTCGTTTCTTTTTCTCTCCCTGCGAACGGTTCTGCTGAGATTTATATAACGAACCGGCGGACCAATTAAATCTATTAGCTCTTCTATTGACGAAGATCATCGTTTGGCAATAAAATGCGTTTTCGTTTTCAGGTGAAACAAAATATTCCGTTTCTCATTAGCATGTAAATACAAATTCGGGCCCATTAGATGATGGTCGAAAGTCGTAGGCCTTAGGCCCGGGACGCATGATTAAGCATAACTGCATGACTAAACTGATCTTCGACGGGCCAGCGATGGGTTCTGCGGAATACTCGGCAGTGCAGGAAATATGTAACAGTCGCAACGGGCAGCGCAACTTTCACCTGGGTAAAAGAATCGATCAATCGGCGGCGGTGTGAACTGCATAGAATTTTCGGCCTTTACAACATTCATTTCTGTGGGCCCTGAGAAAATCCCCAAAAGAAAGAAAAAGCTGACAATCGGAGAATAAATAGAGGCCTACTGCGCGGCAATTCAATCTTAAGTACCCGGGGAGCGGGGAAATCTTCTACATTAGAAAGTTTCCTACAACTACAACTACACAGCTGCCGAGATGACGACGAGAGTAAGACAAAGAAACCGCTGTGCGAGTGCAGAGAGCCCCCTAAAAGCACCCAAAACCCCCTAGCAAGATTCCTAAAACGGAGCCTGCTGAAGGCAGAGCTTGCAACGCTCACTGCGCATGGCTAGACCAGCGGCAACATCATCAGCAACTCCAACTCCATCTGCAACAATAAGAAATGCAGCGGCGAAAGATTTCCAAATGCAACTTACGGCTGCCTGCCCGACTCGCCACATCATTTCTCTCGGCAATTAAAGTATAATTAAGAATCTAATGGAGTTTCACTCTCCTTGTGCGTAATTAGCCGTGCGCGGTTTATGCAAAGAAAAGTAAAAACTGAAAACTTGGGCTAAAAACTGCGCCAACAATAGAAAAGCGGGCGAAATATAAAATTGCCTGGCGCTGCGCCGGCGCACTTACAGCGAAACAAAGGCCAAAAATGTGCGACAAGACAAGAAGCAAAGCAACAGCAACAACAAAAAAACAGTTTAAATTATATAATTATAAAAAAAATCTTGACAAAAATAGACGAAAGTTGTAATTTGCAGTAGCAGTGGCAGTCGAAGAAACGGGAAAGAAAGAGGCGGTGGAAAAAGCTGAAAACCCGCAGCGGGCTTAGAAGGCAGCGATGAAAGTTAAAGTTATAAAAGTCGTTTTCGGGGGAACGTATTGGAAACGAAACGACGTAAACTGTAAATAATTAAGCAGTTATATGTGTGTGTGAGTGGTGAGTGCGCTCCCAAGGCGAAACTCTTACTCAAAGCCACTCGAACGGAGCGCACATGGCCGCAAACTGAAGACCAAAACAAAAGACTTCAACGAAGAACCAAACTTGCTCGGAGCTCGGTGCGAGTGTGTTGTGTGTTGGTGAGAGAGAAAGAAATGGTAAAAGCACTGCGAAGCCACAGAACCGAGCTTACAGCCAGAGCTTGTATGTGTGTGTGTGAGTGGCAAGCGAAAGCGTCGCGTCGCTGGCGCTGCCGCAGAGAAACGAAATGGAATGGCATGAAATTTCTTAGCGATCTTTGAGGATAAGCGCTGGTTTCACTGCGCGCTGCCGCACAGACGTCTACCGCGTTTCGAGGCAGACGTTACGTTCCTCCGTTCGGCGCGCAAGAATCATCGCCCCAGACTCAGCCAGAGCACAGCCAGAGCAACCTGCAACAGCAGTCGCGTCTCCCGATAAACTAGAAACAAAAAACTGGACAAAATAAACTCCACAAAAAGTGCCCAAAAGTGCAAAAGTGCCGACAACCATGTATTATCCCTGCATAATCCAGCATCATCTGGCTACGTAAAGCCCATCAAAATGTTGACTCTCATTGACTTTGTGATTGGAATCTGAGTTTCTCTCCCCGCCCCCGACCCCCAATTCTGCAGACCGGACCTCGAGTTTCGAAACCGTTTTTCATTAACTGTCTTGTGTTCTGCGCATATCAAAACGCAAAAGTGAAAGTGAGTTGCGGTGCGAGTCTTTCGGTCTCTTCGGGCTCCGTGTGCGTGAGTGCCTCTTGAATGACAAATATTGATATATTGGTACAATGAAAACCAAGCAATTTCAGCCAACCAAATAAGCGTCGAGAGAGAAACTATCAAAGAAATTAAATTCTTTTTGTGACCCATTGGATTAACAAAAAAAAAAAAGAACAGCAAAAGCCCAGCTCAAGGATACCAGCAAGCGGAATTGGAATACACGCACAGGCTATCAGCAATAGACCATTGGATTTGGATATGGCTGCCAACGAGATTATGACACCCACAGTCAATGCAAATTGTCAATACTCGACCAGATATTGTTGTAAGTTAACTACAAGGGACTGATTATACTATATCACTACTATCTCTAGATCTAGCCCAACTTGTAACAAAACTTGTTCTAGCTAAACCTATCTCCCATCGCCCACACACAGGGTGTTCGGGTTGCCTGATTAAAGCCCCTAAACTGCAGAATGCACAGCGAAAGCAACAAACAAACAAACCGTGCTTTCGGGCAACCTGCGCAGCAAGAAAGAAATTTTCAAAACAAAAAGCAGAAACGACTTTTTTATAGAAAGTTTCCCGAGGAAGGGGCGCTCACTGGCGGTTGGAGTCGGAGTTGGAGTTGCAGCCAGTTTGGTCTTGGAGTTGCCCAGTGCTGAGCGGTGTGGCTGTTGCCGAGCATCGCCAGCGACTAGCAGACGTTTCTTCTGCTTCTACAGTATCTGTATCTGACTCTGACTCTTACTCTGACTCCATGGATGTATCTGTATCTCACTCTGCCTCGTTTTCTGTGTCTGTCTCTGTCTCTGTCTTGGCTTGGCTTTAGCTTTGGCAGCTCGCTTCTGCCGCTGCTACGACACGAATATTAATAGGTGAAAGTTGTTGCTTCGTTTCTTCGTTTTTCTTTCTCGTTGACTCTGCCGCAGTCGCGGTCGCTGCTTCTGTGCTTCGCTGTCTCAGCCAGCTTCGCTGCCACTTCTACCACAAAGATCCCTTTTCGGGAGCAGAATTTATGTTTCCTTCGGGTTGTTCGTTAATTTCTCTTCTCCGCCAGGCAACTCTACTTGTTGGCCACATCTCCACCCGGATGAATGCTGCTGCCTGACTTTGAGTCCTGTCATAAGCTGACCCAGTTTCTGGCACACTTCATTGCCATGCAAATGGATTTGATCGCAAAACCAGAAATTCAAATCCCTACACCTAGAAAAAAAATGTCCCTTAAAAGTATAATTATAATTCATTTTAAAGTTGGATAATATGGATCCGATGGGGATATTTTAAAAAGAAAACTCTCTTGAAAAAGTAATAACGTTGCGATATTTTTGTAAATAAATATTTTTAATAGAACCTAAAAAATAATATATAATTTAAAAATCTATAGTTGTATCCATTTTATTAATGCTCTAAAGAATATAATACTAATGCTAAACAACTCAGGTATCTTAAAATAACCTCAGGTATTTTCGAAATCTTAGGAATTTAACATATAACATATAATTATATTTCTGAAACCTATTTTTTTTTATCTGGGTGCATAAGCTTAGCCTTCAATGTTGTTTACAACTGTTTCGAGAAACCGTAAGAGCAACAGCGACAATACCAACCCAATCCCAGTTTCTGTTTTGTCGTTTTGGCATTTTCATTTCATTTCCATTATAATTAAGCGCTTACATAACCGAGGTTTGTTTACAAACTCGGCTGGGCAGGTTCGCATTTCGAGTTCAATGTCCCAGCTGGGTCTGCAGACGGACGGCCAGGCGATTGCAACAGTTCCTGCGCGACGCGTGTGGATCTCTCTCGAACCCGAGTAGTCCGAGCGGCCCATGCGGCGTATGCGCGATATGGGTGTAGGGCCAGAGCTCAATTTCGTTTTCGTTTTCGATTTTCGTCCACACTTATTAATAGTTAGTTTCATAAATATTTACCATTGCTGACTGGCTGGCTGGCACGCGCAATTATCTAGAATGACTCATCGGGTTTTCTGCCCGTTGCCAGAAATAAAAAAATAGAAACAAAAATCGATGCCAAAAACGCTGTTGAAGTACATAACAAGAAAATAGTTTAAATGTTCGCCTGGCGTTGGCGAGCCAAGAGCGTTGGAGTGGATTGGGGATTGGAGTTGCTGGTGAAGTGGTGGAGGTTGCTCAACAATACCGTTAGATGATAAACCGCTACAAATTATTTTGGCCACCGACATACATCAATTTCTTTATAGTTTCTGTTTCTGTCTCTCTGTATATCTTTGCTTTTCGTTTTCTATTTTCGTTTCGTATGTCATTATGCAACCCGTATCTTGTCATTCCGGCTGGAAGTGTTAGGAAAGTTACTGGCGATAACCATCGGTAGCATCAGATCAGAGTGGCCCAATGTCATTAGCCACTTCTTCATATCTTGTGGAAAGTGAAAACCGGTGGTGGCCTCAGTGCCCCCCCAAAACCGTTGCGATGCTATCAGGTCTTATTTGCGACACACACAAGTGGCTTTCTACGGCTCAACCTGCGTATGTTACTTACTGCTCTCTTCCTAGTCCGACACGAAGCGGTGGCCATTATGCAATTGCTTATTAATTCTTTTATAATGCCTGCGCCGTGGCTTACTGGCCGCTTAATTGGCCATCCGATGTGCAGAAGTGCTGCTGCTGGGAAGCTAGGAAGCGCTTCGAATGCTCGAGCAAAAATGCTTTATGCAATCGCCGCGAGAAGTGATCCGTTGCCGCCTGGCAACCGATCCAAGCTCTGCCCAGCGGCTCCCAAATATAAGGCACAAAGCCATTGATCGATCGCAAAGCGGAATGGATACATTTCTCCGCTGGAGTTGCAATTAATTTGAAATTACCAGCGGTAGAATCACGCCCGCCACAGACATTATTGTTTGGCGAAAGAAAAAGAAAAGAAATATAAATGAAGCATTTGTGTTTCGCACGAACAGAAAACTATGAAAAAAAAACCCTGCACAGAAGAAAGAGGCTATTATTTTATTTTTACACCCTCTGCCATTCAGCGACTTTTTTCGCATCTTACTTTTCTCCGGAGCCCGGACTACCACAACAGCGGCCGCGGCCCTCCACATGCTCGGTTGCATATCTCACGGCGAGTCGGGGCGCTACTTTATTAGAACTTTCACTTTAGGTCCGCTTCAATTGGGGCTCCACGATGGCAGTGGTGGTAATGGTTATGGCTGGCACCTTCTGCGGTTGGCCGTTTCTGATTTTTGCTGGAATTGAATAATAGGTGGAAGAAGTGACCCAGAAAGTGAAGATGCCGAGCGATGTCCAATCAGTGCAGATGAGTAATGGCTTCCCGGGGAAGATCGAAGAGATCGGGGTGTCTTGGGCTCTCAATAGAAAGTTACCAAACTAATTTCGCAGCGTTACTAACGCGGCTTGCACGGACAACCACAAGTCATCTCATTTGGAGTGGATAATTGCAATAGACATCGCTGGAACGATCAAGAAACGGCGAATAACAAGTAAATCGGGGGGAAAAACAGACAAACAAATAAACATTTTGGCTATCGTGTGTGGGGAAGGTTAAGTTTTTATGTAAGATGCCAAAATTTAATTCGATTTTTATTTCTTGGCATATGCTGAAGTTCGCCAACATCAACAATAGTTTTAATAAATGATTTTGCTGTTTAAATATTTCTTCGGCTTCGGGTTTCGGGTTTTTTATTTGGGCTTTGTTTCAGTATCTGCCCCGAAGTATCTGCGGCACGTAATGCCGTGCGTATGTGTGCTGCTTGGCTCTTACCGCTATTTACATTAACATTAGAGCTTTGGGTTTACGGCTTTGTAGCTGGGATTTTTTTTTTCTTTTTCTTTCTTTATGCCGCTGCCGCTTCTGACAGCGCAAAGTGAAAGTTTTCGGCCGCAGCTGGCGGGCGACTGTGCTGAGCGGAGCCAAGAGTCGAGTCGAGTCGACGAATCGTGCGAACGCACCGAAATCGGCCAGATACCTATAGAGTATCCGTTTCTGAGCGATTGGCCAGCCTTGATAAGAATATTAATGCGGCAGCCGCGACGGAGATTGAAAGCAAAAGTGAGTTTCCCGGTGACATGTGTAGTTGCCCCGACTCATTAGCCAGTCTTTAACTCATAGCGCCAATTACCTAGAAAATTCAGAAAGAAAATACCGAAGGAAAAATGCAAATTGTAAATGTTTGCAGTTAGCCACAAATGCAGGAGCTGCAGAAATCGCTCAGCCGCCGTGTTGCACTTTCCAAAAGATACATACAAGAGGCAGAGGCGGAGAGAAAAATCTTTTGTAAAAGTTCATAAACCTTCTCGCCAAAACAATGAGATTGAAGCAGCCACGAAAATCAACTTCTACGAAGCAAAAGCTGAAACTGAAGCTGAAGCTAAAGTCAAAGCCAGAGTCGAAGCCAAAGCCGAAGCCGAGTCAAGCAAAATTTTCCCAAAGCAAAGACAGAGAAATGCACGGAGCAAGCGCATAAAAAATATTTTTCCTAAATTACTTCTGACGATGTCGAGGATAATGATAATTGCAATGACGATCGCAAATGCCGATGATGATGTTGTTGGTCATGATTATATGTAGTGCGGAATTTCCACAGTTGGTTAGCGTACATTCAACTGCAGCAGCACCAGCAGCAGCGACTGCAAAATGGAAAAGCAGAAAGCACAAAGAGAAAAGCCCGCTGGCGAAGGAAAGAAAGAAAATTCCCCGCAACAAGTGGCTTCGTACCGTCAATTTCGGTTTATATCATCCGAGGCTTTCCCGCTTTTTCCAGCCCATTAGCAACTCGGGAGTTTTGTCTCTCTCTCTCTTTATATTGACTTTCTTCTAGGTTTTTCACTGGAAAAATCATAACAAACAAGAGTGTTTCTTTTACCGTTCGCCTATCGGCTATCGCCAGACTCATTTGTGCATCAGTTGGGAGAAAGTAAAAGCCAAGAATTAAATGCCACTCGCTGCTGGCCGCTGGTCGGAGCCTGGTCGATGACTTACACGGTAAGTGTGCCTGGCACACGGGGCGTATGCGCATTATCGCCGCTAGTCGCTGTGGTCATGGCGTGCAGAGTGAAAACACCGAAAGAAATGCAGCCCCCAGAAGAAACCCGAACTGCAACTGCAACAGCAAGAGGCAGCCGATGGAAATCCGCATCATGGTCGTCTACAATTTCATCGGAGTCGCAGATTCGAATTGGGAGTCTGGTTACCGCGGCTTTTGCCCAAGTTGAGTCTCATGCGAATTCTTGCATTCGCCGTGGCATCTCATTTGGAGTGGAAAATGGTATATGCATTTCTCAAGTGGCTGCCACTTTAGAGTTCAGGGTGAATCAGCGAAAGCCCAACTAATTTCAAAGCTGAAAATGGAGTCTGTGTACACTCTATTGTCTTTCTTTGGCATTGTAAATTGGATGGCATCTGAAACTATTTAGAATCGTAAAGCATCGGTCCAATTCCAGCAATCAATCAGTGTCGCACGACAGACCTTATCGCTGATCGATCTGGAGTAGAATGCCGTTCCATTAATCCCATCCAGTTCCATTCTTCGGTCCTATCACTTTCAATGCGGCTATCGGGAGTAGGGCACGTCAAATGCTTCATTAATTCCGGCTTGCATAGGCTGGAGCACAGAGAACAGAGAATCGAGCGAGCAGAGAGTGGAGAATGGAGAGTGGAGAGAAGTACCCAAATCCTGACCCAATTAGAAATTCTCACGCAAAACGGAGAAGAAAAATAAAACGAAACGTCACGGTTAACAATTCCACGTTTAATCAAACAAACAAAGAATTAGGCAAGAAGAAAACTTGCCATCGCCATCGCCTTCACATTTCTTTCTTCTGACGGTGACGGTGGTGCCCCGTAGTCGTAGTAGTCGCTGTCGTTGTCGAAGTGGCTTGCTGGCTGGTTGGTGAAAGAAAAAGAAAAGTGCAGGAAGCCAAATAAGCGTGGCAAAAAGAAAGCAAGCGAAACGAAGCGAGCGCGGCTCCGCACAATGGAACCGGCCCAAAAGAAGCTTTCAACTATCCGGACAAACGGACACGCGAACGGCCATTCTAAGTAGCCTTAGTCCGTGGCAATAAAATCCCAGTTCGAAGTAGCAGCCAATTATAAAGGCAACGTGATTGGACCTCCAAACATGCCCGAAAATGAAAGAATCATAAAGATCCCAAAAAAAAGAAAGACAGAAGAAAAGAAAACAGAAGACTTAAGACCCATACAAATGGTACACTGAAAAGAGTGTCTAGGTTCTGAATTCTTCAATATTTTCTAAATTTTAAGTATTAATTAATATGAAATCTTTTTAGATCTCATATGATATTATAGAATATATTGAACTTGAATCGGATTTCCATTCTTTTGAATATCTGTTTGAATTTTTATTTATTTAATATTGTAGAATAGAATAGTTTAAATAATTCCTTCTTCGTATAAGTTAGAATTATATCAATATATCTAAAATATTGGTGCTCTTGCAGGTTCTTATAAAAACATAGTATAAACTACTCTGATTAAGTTAATCTTATAAATCTATTAAAAAAAAAAAGTCTGGTAAAATAAACCTTACTTTGTTCCAACTTAATTAATGCAAGAGGGCACTCTCCCTTTATACTCGCTTTATAGAGTATCTCTGGATGCGATAGGCCTGCAGTTCCGAGTCACAGAACCGGTTCTCAGCCCACGAAAGTGCTCCAAACGGAAGTACTTCAAGGCACAGCCAACAAGACGATGGAAATGCTGATGGTGATGGTGATGGAGAGCGGCAGATAAAGAACCAACGGCGGGCGAGAAGACTCGGCTCGTAGCCTCGGCTTTGACTTCGGCTTGGCTTTGGCTTTGGCCAAATATAGGCCAAAAGAGAAACTAACGGTAAACGTTGTTTCTTCGCTTCAGCTACAGATGCTTCAGCTGCTTCAGCTGCTTGACTGGGCTGGCAAGCGAATTGGATTGTCTGCGCAAGAAGCAACCACAGCATCAGCATCCGAGGATTTGGGTTACATAAAAGGGCGCAAACGGAAAGTAGAAACCGAGAGAAGCGAGAAGTAAGCCCCAAAGGCCATATAAGTGTGTGTCTCTGTCGGAGTAGAGTGGCCAGCACACACACACTTGGGGCGACGCACAAAACTTGCTGCGAAGAAAGTGAAACTTTTTTGTGAGCACTGTGCCCCTTGCCCCTTTCGCCTCTCCGGGAACAGGGTATACCCATTGTGCGGGGAATGGCGGATCGTGGAACTTGAGCGTGTCACGATCAAGCGCGTAGAGTAGCGCAGAAGGTTGAGGTTGTTTTGCAAGCAGCGACCGCTGCTGCCGCCTGCGAATTTTTCGACTTGTTATGTTTATTTACGAGTATTTGCCAGCAATATTTTTTTTCGCCGTTTTCGACTCTGACTCGGAGATTTTTTAACGAGTTGGGTTGGGCTAGGTTATAACGCAGCACTGCTGCTGCTGCTAAACCATTAAACGAATCGAATGGGGGCTTGGGAATTGCTCAACCATCAGCAACAGCCACCGATGGCGATCTAAGGCCCTTGCCTTGACATAGACCAGACCGGCGACTGACTAATAGAGTTTCGTGAATGCACACCCCAGGCGACCTGAGGTTTGACTCCGAAAATTAGAAAGTACCACAATGCATCGTATGGACAAGGGGCATTCTTGCCATCGTCTTGAAGAAAAATAGTTAAAGTTTTTAATGCACTTGGAACAAATGTGGTTAAAGAACTTCCATCCTATCTTTTATTATCATAAAATTTGTGGGTTTTATAATGTCAAAGAAAATTTAAAGTAATGTTTTAAGGTTCACAGGAATTATATGATTTTCTTTAAGATTTGGGAAGCCATTTAGAAACCATTAAGGAATAGATTTTCAAGAAAAATTCGTAGACGAGTTACAAATACTATTTAAAATTGGAAAATTTCTATTCTATTCTATTCTATTCTTATAGGGGCTTATTTTTTATTAGTAGTAGTTTTCTCCAAGTTCTCCAAGTGTCCAAACTTTTGTGGATGCTGCTCCTAGCAGCCGCAAATCAAAGCCGCCGCCGTCGAGCGAGCTTTTCCTTAGATCCGGCTTTGACGACAAACAATTTTCTCTGGGGGAAAATCAAGTCGAGAGCCCACGGCCACTAAAGGCACCAAGAGCTTGTGCGACTTCTTGGACCCAGTGCAGCCGCTGCCAAACAAGAAATCAGTCGCCGTCGCAGCCAAAGTCAAAAAACGATCAAAGAAATACCAAGATCCGAGTGCCGAAAGCCGAGTGCCGAGTGCCGATGCCGAACACTTGAAAGCCGAAAGCTAAAAAAGTGAACGAGTAGAAATTACGGTAAATAAATAAAGAAAGACGACGAAGAGAAATAAGCGAAGGCGAACGCGAATGGCGTCGTCATGAGCGAAAGTGAAATCTGCTAATGAATTCTTCAACGTTGAATAGTTTTCAGTCATTATGGCCAGCGTTGAGTATACGTACTGCCGTTGTATGCGGCGTATGCTTGATGAGCACTCGACGCTGGCCGTGTGTGTATGTGCTGGCCATGTAACCAGCAGAAGCAGCCATTCCAGCGATCACTTGTCGGAGCAGCGCATCTGCAACTGGAAATGGACAGGGACAGGGGACAGGGGCTGTGGCAGGAACAGGGGTATGTGGCTTCCAGCCAAGAGCGGCTGCTGCCTCGTTTTTGGCGGTGGCTTTGGCTCCCGCTTCGATTTTTGGCTCTGGTCTTCGGGGGCTAAGTAAAAGTGGCTAGATTCGTTATAGCAATTAACCAGGCAGCCAGGCAGGCAGGCAGACAGATGCAGTCGCAAATGGCCGAGCAGCCATCGAGCCATCGATGCCGATCCGCTGTCAGATGATTGCAGTGATTACTCCAGACTCTCGGGTTCATTGAAACCCGCTGCAGTTTTCTATAATTCGATGCCGTTATGGCCAGAGGTCTTAAACTTGAATCGCATTTGGCAGCTGGAGGAAAGTGGCCTCCGCTCGGATCAATGCCCCGCCATCTTTCAATTCTTACCCAACGCCCTGCCCTCCACAACTATCACTTACTCATATCCCACCTTTCATCTTGTCTGCTTGCAGGGGAGGCAGAAAAAGTCAAATCTCTGATCAGACTGCGGGCGGAGCTGTCGCCGCTGTTCACGGGCAAAAGAAATGCCTCCAAATATGCCTGGGCGTAAGTAGCAGATTCCTTTGTCGATGATATAACCTTCACCATCCATCTCTTCTCTACTCCGCAGCGTGGTGGAGCGGGAGCTCAATGTGCCGCTGCCGCTGTCGAAGATCATCAAGAAGTGGAACAACCTGCTGCAGGAGTACAAGGCAATCAAGATGTCCGAGGAGCCCAAGCGGCGCGAGTGGCCCTTCTTCACCCTGATGGACGTCTATTTCAGCGACCAGGTCAACGATCCGTCGCTGCGTCTCTTCTCGTCCACAAAGACCCTCAAGGAGACCCTGGACGACAGTGTATTCGAGGATGATCCAATTATCGCCTCGGCCATCGCTGCGGCCACCAGCGGCGCCTACATGGACATGGACGAGCTGATCCGCCGGCAGAAGGAGCGTGCCGCCCTGGCCGCCGAGCGGAAGCTGGCCGCCGCCGCCAGCGGAGGCAGCGCCGACTACAAGTACGAGCTGAAACCGATGCTCTCCAACAGCAAGTTCAACAGCAACAGCGACATGGCCAAGCTGTCCAAGAGCGTAGACGATCTATCCATGCAGCAGTACAAGATCAAGCAGGAGCTAATGCGCCAAGAGCAGCAGGAGAACATGGTAAAGATCAAGCAGCATGCGCGCCAGCAGCAGCAACAACAGCAGCAGCAGCACCAACAGGCCCAGCAGCACCAGCAGCGCTTCCTGGGCCACCAGCCGGCCCTCTCGCCGCATCCCCATTCGCATCCACACCGTCTGTCGTCCTCGTCGACGCCGCCGGGCCTGCAGCACGCCCTGCAGCAGCAGCAACAGCATCTGCTCCAGCAGCAGCAACACCTGCAGCAGCATCTGCAACAGCAACAGCAGCAGCAACAACAACAGCAGCAGCAGCATCATCATCAGCTCGCTCATCCCCACCAGCCGCCCACGCCGCGCCCCAGCTCTCCGCCCACAACGGCGCAGCAGATTCACATCACGGCCACCCAGCACCAGGCCGCCCAGCAGCAGCTCCACCAGCAGCAGCAACAGCACCAGCAGCAGCCTCATAAGCAGCAGCAGCCTTACACCGACCCCAACACGATCGACCAGTACCTGCTGTCGTGGAATAACTTCCACGGCAACATGTGCCGCGGCTTCCACTCCCTGCAGAAGGACGAGAAGATGGTGGACGTGACCATAGCTGCCGGGGGCAAGATATTCAAGGCCCACAAACTGGTAAACTAGCGGATCACCGCCGAGAACTCCCGTACTCATGCCAAGCCCTTTCTTCCCTCTTTCATGTCGTTGCAGGTGCTGTCCGTCTGCAGTCCCTACTTTCAGCAGATCTTCCTGGAGAACCCATCGAGTCACCCGATTTTGCTGATGGCCGACGTGGAGGCCAGCCACATGGCCGGTCTGCTGGACTTTATGTACAGTGGACAGGTGAATGTCAAGTACGAGGATCTGCCCGTCTTTCTGAAGGTCGCCGAGGCCATGAAGATCAAGGGGCTGCACACAGAGGTGGGTGATGGCACTGAAATCCTGTTTATATCCTATATCCTTGACTTAATGGCACCTTGACTTCTCATTACAGAAGAACCTGGACAGCGATGCCAGCGACATTAGCTCGCCGCACGAGAGCGATGGCACCGAGTGCCGCTATGAGCGCGGTACACACAGCGTCAACATCACCAGTGGACACGCCGCTGGCTACGCTGGTGGACCGCCTCCGCCGCAGCCATCGCCGTCGCCCTCCCTCAATGGACCCAATCGATGCCCCACTCCCCTGTCTAGCGGAGGCGGTAGCGGAAACTATGGCGGATTCCGTGACCACATCAAGTCGAAGGCCACGCTGGCCGAGACATTCATGAAGAATCTCAACAGGAACAACAACAACAATAGCAGCAGCAACAACTACAATCACCTGGGCAGCAACAGCAACGGACTCAACCTGTCGGAGGCGGAGAGCAACTCATTCGCTATCCTGCAGGCGAACAGCAAGAAGATGCTGGACTCGGCCCGCAAGCAGCACAAGTATCTGGCAAAGCGCAAGATCCTGATGCACTACAACACGGATCTGGGCGGCGAGAAGCGGCTGAAGGAAATGGAGCGAGAACGGTATCCCAGTGCCGAGCAAAACGACGACGCTCTGAACAACAACCACAGCCACGCCCAGGACAACATTATGGAGCCGATAATTACGACAATCGTGCCGCAGACGCCACCACCGGCCACGCACAACAACAGCTTCAAGATCCGCCTGGTTGAGAGCCATCACCTGACCAATAGCAACGCCAACAGCAACTCGAACAACGGAGGCAGTGGCAGCGGCAGTAGTCCGCATTCCGGCGGCCACAACAGCAGCAGCAGCAACAACAACGATGACGACGACGAGGAGGCACTGAATCTGGTTCAGACCCCCCATGCCAATGGTAGCCGTGCCCGCCCCCAAAGTCCCGCTGCCACACCCACACCTACTGCCACGCCCGCACCCGCAACGCCCACTCCAACACCGGACATTCAGCTGATCAAGCGCGAAGTGGAGCACGAGCTGCCGACGGAAAACAACAATGGGCATGACGAGGAGCTGGCCGGATACGAGCGCAAGTACGATGACAACAACAACAATCGCGGCATGGACATGGACATGGAAACGGACTCGAACAACAACAACAGCAAGCCAGGCAGCGACGTTGATGCCAGTAATGCCAACAATGGCCTGGCCTTGGCGCTGGGAAAACACAAGCTGCTCAGTGCGTTCAACCGGAGTCTGGAGCAGCAGCAGCAGCAAGAGCAGTCACCGGCGGAGACGGATCACGGCGGCAACAACTGCAGCAGCGACGACAACAACAACAATCACAGCCCCCATCTAGACCTGAGCACCATTAAGAACATAGCCACAGCGGAGATATTGTGCGGGCTGAAGAGCAAGGTCCTGAAGCTGGAAGAGGAGCAACGGGAGCGCGAGCGAGAGAGGGAACGGGAACGGGAGCGCGAAGCCTGCCGCAGCCTCAGCGAGATCAAGAACGCCGAGTGATCCGCCGGAGCAGCAGGTGCCGCGCGTGCATCCCGGGCAGACGATTATGCATTTGATTACACATGACATAGAGCCGATCAAAGCGAATCTATGTGTATGCTAATTATAGTTATTTATTATACCACTTAATCGTTAATGTAATTGTAATTACCTGAGACCCCACATAAACATTGGTTAGTTGGTAGGCCTAGCATTCTCCCAGCACACCATTTGGATCCCTAGCAGATAAGACTCACGAAAGATTGTCGTATCGTATCGTGTCGCATCGCTGATCGACTTACAAATTAAATATTAGCACTTTGGAAATTGGCCCTGTTGCAATACGTGTTAAGCCCATGTTAAACATATTGATATCGACTAATTATGTACGTGTAGAGCAGTATCTTGTAAGATAATACGCCCCGGTCGCACTTTCGATATTTCACAGCCGTTCTTACATTATTTATACACATACTTACATACATATAACGTACCACGAATGTATCTCAACGCCAACAATCACGCACGCATTCATACATCCCTCACAGAAATCCATTGCCCCCATTGCAATGACATCGGCCCCGTTCAGACCATGCACCCTATGGACGGGCGCCAGCCCACAAAGGATCAAATAGAAGGAACAATATATGTATCTCGTTTTTAGTTTTAGCTTGCCAGACCTTTTGAATGAGCCCTCAAACTCAGATAACTCGGTTACCCACGATCAGCTGTAAGCCAGCGCGCCACTTTCACCTTGAAGCGGTTCCGGATCTTGTTAATTGTTTTAACCGAAACCCGAACCTGAACCCGAACCCGCACCAGAAACCCATTCCCGAAACGCACATCCACATCCATTAATCCATCTATGGGAAGGGATCGGTTCGGCCGATTTGGGAACACGAGCCTCACTCAGCCCCACATATCAATCAGAATTAACAATGCACAGTGTAACTCGTACAATATTTATTCAATTTGTTTACATTTAAAGAAATTCGTGTAATATTTTTCGCTGTTGAACATTTTTTTATTGTACAAGAATTAATGAATGAATAAAGAAACCACCACATTCAAAAGTTGCTTCTCCGCAAAGGATCTCAGGCAATGGGGTGTTTCAGGATGATATACTTTTAAAGCTAAAGAAGGTACAGATATTCCTTTAAGTATTAAGTAAACATAGACAAATTGTCTTAAAAAGAATGCTGAAACACCTAGCACTCAGTTAGATAAGAAATTACTGCATACTTTTTGGCGACCCTTGTCCTTACAGTAAGCACTAATGAGGTAAGCGTGTATTTGTAATGCTGCCAACTGTTATTGCATAATACTTAGGCTTAATTTATGGGGTTGCGATCATTTGATCCTGATTCTGGTGGCAAGTTCAATGACACATACCAAGGCAAGCCGAAAATACATCGCCAAGAGAGAGTGAAAAGTCCCGAGGGGATACACTGGAAAAAGTATTTTTCTCACCCGAAATTCGGGCTTAGCTGAGGTACTCAGGTACAGCTCACACACAGGACTTACGCTCTCTCTCGTCCGCTCTCTGACTCTGCAGCTCGCTCGCTCTCCCATGGAACATCCCTGACGCACACTAGTGTGCGGTTCGGAGAAAATAAGAGACAGTTTGCTCTCAGCGGCGGCGCAGAAATGAAAGTGTGTCGAAAGTGAAATGGTGAGAGAGACGAGAACGGAATACATTTTGTGTATTTTCGGGGGTCGACGGTTGGGGGCGCGCCTTTTTGCCCTTTTTTTCGCGCGCGCACCCATCGGGCCGTTGTTGTAATTGAAAACTACACCGCAGCCCGGTCCGAAGGCGGCCCGAAGTCCTGCCCAGATCTCACACTCACGCAGTCGCGCACGCACACAGATACACACACGCGCCGACACGGATAGACACGAAGGAGAGCACGAGCGTGAACCCGAAAGGACGTCGAGAACGAGCGGAAGGCTGATGCCGAAAAGCAAACGTCGCGGCAGTTCTCTGTTCTCCGCTCTGTGTGTGGTTGTAAAAAGGCAAAAATGTCACGAGAAAAACCGGTTAATAAATTATTGCTAATCGAAATGGTAAAATGCACAATAAATAAATAAATGAGAATGCCAAAAATCGAACCGGCCGCCCGTCGCCGAGGAGTGTGCATGCAAATTTCGCTGGGAAAGCGGTGAAAATTTAGTGAAAGCGAAGCGGTGAAAATTTCCACGCAACTACGTACGTTTTCGCCGTCATTGTTTAGCGGCCATTTACTAACTGCGCAAAAGGCACCATAGGATGCGAGGAGCGGATGTGAAAAGCGGCTACACATTCGAGCCACCAGCGAAGTGCGTATCTACAGGATACAGTCCAGGCAGCCGGATGCCGCAGAATACGTCGGCAGCCAGTGTCCAGAGGACGGGACCAGGAACACTGTCCAGCGGAGCACCCTGGCCTAAGCATTTCGCTCGTCGGAACCCCTGTAATTAAAAGAGCATCAAGAAGATCTTGCCATTGAGCGGAACACAAAAAAAGGGTAAAATAAGGATATGCTGCTGCTGAAGGTGAAGACAACGACAGCGGCCGTCGCCCTGAAGCAGGCCAAAAGCATAAGAAGCGGAAGGAGCGGTAGCGGCAGGAGTGGCAGAACAACAACAATCAGCCCTGGCCATAAATGAATTTTACGTATTTCGGTATACACACGACAAACGCCGACTAGCGCCAGGACCAAAAACCCCAGGACATTGGGCTAGAGGATGAGTTTGAGTGCGCGTTTGTGCTCGAGAATGATGACGATGATGACGAGAGGACGACCGAAAGGCAAAGGGAAATGGAAATGGAAAAGAAAAGGAAAAGGACGAGGACGAGGAGAAGGACAAGGAAGAGGAGTAGTAGGAAAAGGGTGGGCGGCAAGCCCAAGTCCGTCTGCGATTATACGAGTAGTAATACACACACACGGACACAGGCACAGGCACAGCAGATGGCGTGTAGAGAAAGAGTGCCAACAGGAAGAGGAAAAAAGAGAAAGAGCGCCAGTGTGAGTGTGTGCCGGAGAGAGGAGCATAAGGGATGGTCGCCGCTTACTTTCCGCACATATTTATGTGTATTGTACTATTCGACTGCAAAAACTGCAGCAGACGCAGCCGAAGGAGCGGCAACAACAAACTGAGGCCAAACTGGCCACAAATCAATCAGCCGACCGGGAAACACCCTACACAGGGAAAAATACGTACAGAAATAATGGGTTCTTTCGATAGGAAATATAATTTCATTCTTACTATTTATTATTTTGAAATAGGGTTCATTTACCAGCTCATATTTTTATTTAATTCTCGGTTTCTCCGTCACCGTTTAGTGCTACACGTCCACTTTAAATTTAATTACCTTCTGTCTATTTGTTTACTCAAAGCAAACGGTCAGTTTTCCGATTTATCCAAAAATTATAAATTGAATATTTATATTAAAAAAATTGACCCAAATAGACCATTGAAGAATAAACTTCCTAAGCTAGGGGAACTTTAACTCAGGTTGCATTAACTTGAACTTTTTGATGTAACCTACAAATCTTTTAACCCAAAGCTCCGTTATCAAGTCTTCCTAAACTCATTTTAACTCTTCAATAATGATTTACTTTGTAAAAAATCCTACATTTTTTGATCTTGAACTTCCTTAACAGAAACTTTATAAGCAAGAAACCTTGGAAACGTTCATAAATTAATTTCTATGCATATTTATGCTACATAATTAGGTTTTTATGATTCTTGTACGCATTTTAAATTAGTCCTCGAAATGGATTTAATATGGAAAGATATTTTTGAATTAAACTTGATGAAAGTATTAACATGTTTTTCTCCGAGTGCGTATAGGAACTCAGTAAGAAGAAGTTTTCCCAGTTAAAAGATCCCGCACTCGCCATAGATGGGGTTAAAAATGAGTACTTCACCCTTGACAGTCTCAAAATGTGTGTAATAATAGATATGCCCGGAGGTGATGGCGGGAGCTACTCAAATTCAATTTCGAAATATTCGTCCTTTTTCGGTGCGGCTTTCAGTGGAATGGTGGTGGTTGTTGTTGCTACTGCCGTCGCCTGATCCTGGGAAGGGCATGTTAAGGGTGAACTCGCCGCACTCACACACGCACACATAGGCACCACCACAGACAGCGGAAAGGAGGAAGGACGGACAGACAGACAGCGGGAAGCACAGTTAGACTGGATGGCAGACGACGACGCTTTAGCTGCGGCAGAGGGCGGTGGTCGCAGTCAACGTCGACGTCACCGCCGACGCCGGTGTATGTAAATGCACTCACTCATACATATGCAGGTCCTGCGCTATACAAGCATAAATACATATATGCAACATATGCAGCTTACGTATTTCGGCTACTTAACCTACAGAAACAAAGGAGGATACACAAAAAAATGAAACGTAAAGAAGCGCCGGACTGGGAAGGATAACGCTGCGCAAGGCGCGCAAAAGGACACGCGCACCCATACATACACATAGCGCACACTCCCACACACCAACACCCAACACTCTGAGACTAATTTAATCCTCTAGCTCAGTTGAGTTCAGTTCCAGTTACCTCGGCAACCGCCCCACTCAGCCGAATTATGCGAAAGGCCGGAAATAGGAAAACTACAGGATACAACAAGGATACAAGCAACTCACACTCACACTCGCACACAGCAGCAGCAGAGCGGCAAACACAGACACACTGACACGTATATGTATACACACGAAAGCCGCTTATGTGTTACGTTATTTACTTTACGTCGTTGTGCGCTAAGCGGCATGTAAATGCCGTTATTACGCCCAAAACGTCTTACGTAGTCGTTTACGCCGGTTACGTGAATTAGAGGCATTACAGTGTTTGTGTATCGCGCTTAATAGTGTGCGTGTGTGTATGTGTGTGTGAGCCGTTACTTTGTATCTTACTTTCAATGTCATCAAAAAGGGCTGAAGAAAGATATTTCTGCATTTGAAGCGTATCACAGCCAGCTTTGATGGGCATTGCAATGAGCATCGATTACCAATTGCGACCTGCAGAGCCAGCCCCTTTGCCTCACCCACTAAACGAGAGTCTGCGGATAAGCCAACAAGTGTTTGTGATCCAAGATGTCTGATTCTTACGTAACTCTTCAAAGGGCTGTGAAATGTTACCGTTATCTATCCATATCACAGCCATTTTGATGAGTTCCGTGTGAATTTCGGCAGCCAGAAGGAGTACCGCTTCGCAAATCAAATCGCTTCTTTCTTATACCATGTCGTTAAAATGCTTGTGACCTTATGTATTCGCAATCATATCACAGCCATTTTGACGAGTTTGGGTAAAGAAATCTCAACGTTGGGCGCCATTTTCCAGAATTCTTTACAGATCCGCCCCAGACGTCAACGCCCAAGAATATATCGGAGTAAAAGGATACACAAAAGTTTTAGATGTTTTGTTTTTTGGTTTTTTTTTTGTTTTGTTTTTTTTTTGTAGTTTTTGTTTTTATTTAAATTTATAATAATTGTTATTTTTATATTCTTTTTTTTTTTCATTTAAGGAAACTTGAAGGTTTACAAAACAAAACAGACCACAACAGATGCTTCTAGATCATACGAAATATATAATCGCGAACTGATTGATGACGGGCAAAGAATTAATACGGATTGCTTTTCGTTAAATTTTCATTAATTTAAGGACAACGGCGGCACTAAAACCCAAAAAGGAAGCCTTGCTATTACATTTGCTTTTGCTTGTAAAATTAGCAAGGAAATTGTAAATTAAAGCGATTTCTTAAACATTTCGTGTAAATGCTGGCGAAAGAAGTGAAGCGGAGAAGTGAAAACAAAATTCAATTTCAATAAAATTAATTAGTTTTACCGATTTTGAGAGGAAGAAAAAACAAAATAAATCAATTTCAAGCGCTCTTAAAAAAAAATAAAAAATTCACACTCGTTTTTTATTTCCCGCTGGGGACAGGCAAGGGGTTGCCATTGCCTCGGTCATCACTCTTCCCGAAACACACGACTACATATAATATATGCTAAAGTAAGTTAACTCTGACGAGTGCTGGAGGATGATGGCTTGGCCCTTTGCCTGCACCCGTGGAAAAACTAACTTGGAATGATGACTTGGGTTTTTGGTGTCTATCGCTGTCGCTTTGCTTTCAGGGTTCCTGTGTCTGCGGATGTCGGTGTGGGTGCAGGGTGTAGGGTGTGTGGGTGTGGGTTTGTTGGATGTGCGAGGCTGTGGGGGAGGGGTTGTCGATTGCATGTGGAATTAAGATCGCCAAAGCGGACCAAAGTATATATAGCAGCGCAGAAGTACATCGAAAAATTATGTTTAAAACAATTTTACAAAAAATTTCGCTCTTATCTTAACTCGACGTTTGTTTTTGCTTTCTTTTCCTTTTTAAATTTTTGATTCGACTTCATTTGCTTTTCGGTTTACAATGTGATTGCATAAATTTTGGTTGCCAATCAGTTTTTGGAATTTACGCCTCGACTTACAGGACTTGTGCGGGCCAGGAAACGCTCCTTACAAACGCTCATAGTTGTTCACGTATTATATTATATGATTTGATTTTCGCTTTTAGCTCTCTAAATTTTTCTTTTCGTTTTCATTTTTGTTATTTTTTGTATTATTTTTTGTGTTTGCATTTGCTTTCATACGTTTGGTGTTTTCAGTGATTGTTTGTTTTTTTTTTTCTCATGTTGGTTGGCTTCCGTGCGCTGTAGAAGTCTTGCAATTTCAAAAAATGTACTAGTTTCCTTTTTTGTTTAATTGTATTTTATAATTTCCTAGTTGTTGTTGTTGGTGTTTCGGTCTGTGAGATGTGCTACAGAATGAACTGCTTTTGCACATGACATAAGGATGCGGGGATGCGTGGATTGTGTGGGGGGAAAATCGCTTTAACCGACCAAGAAAGCCGCGCGTTTACTCTGAATTGCGGATGCGTATGCGTATGCAGGTGCGGATGCAGATGCAGATGCGGATGCGGGTGTGGTGAGTGCTTCATGTTGTGTGTCGTGTGGTATGTGTGTAAATGTTGCTTGTTGATGACTGGCTGCCCGTACAGCTCCCACTAGCCGGAGGAGAGTCTTCCTCCCTCACCGTCTCCCCCCGCCAGACAGTTCGCCTTTGCCATCGCCATCGCCATCTCTGTCGCCATCGCCAACTCATGCGCCATTGCCCAGCTGGCGGCGGCATCTCACTGTGGCTGATGCTGCTGCATCACAACATGATACTGATTCTGCTGCGGATGCTGTGGCGTCTGCGACTGGAAATAGGGGTTGGGTATCATCTGCGGGGGGTGCACGCACATCAGCTGGTAAGTGGTCGCCGGCGTGGTCGGTGTGTACGCCGGTTGGGGTCCCCCGCCGGCGGGGGAGGGCTGTGGCGGCGGATGGAACGGCTGATGCGGCTGGCCAGGCGACGGTGTAGTCGACTGTGGCGTCGGCGTCATGAACTGCAGCTGCTGCGGCTGATCCTGATAGACGCGCATTTGCATCGGCGGGACATACGGCGATTGGAAATGTTGCTGGTGCGGTGCATGGCCATACTGGATGAACTGCGGTATCGGGGCTGTGGCCATTAGTGGCTGTCCCGTGGCTGTAGTAGCCGACACGTGCATCTGTGATGCAGCCATTGGAGCTGTAAGAAATTAGGGAGCTTAAAAACTGACGTCCGGAAATAAAAGGATAGAGCTAAAGAAGTTTATGAGATAACCTAGTCCTTAGGTTGTTAGATCCTGGTCAAGATCGTAACCTCTAGCAGGGAGTATGGGTATAAAAAGCAAATAGAGTAAAAATAAGAGTACTCACGATAATTGTTACGACGCATGCCTCGTGGTTGTCCGGCCTGCGGGTGTGTGGGAGGCTGGAACGGGTGCGGCTGCTGCACAACATAGATTTGCTGGTTGGCCGCCGCTGCCGGAACATGTGCTCCCGTTGTCGTGTATAGGCCCGGTCCTATGGGCACTGGCGTCTGTGGGGTGTGGGGACGTGATGGATTCGGCGTGCTGGGGCCGCATCGGGGCGTGAACGGCTTGGCCGACGGATTGAGCACGTGTGGCTTCTTCACCACTGGCGTGGTAGCACTGCTAGCAACTCCAGCGGCGGCTGCCGCGCTTGTGGCCGCAGCTACTGCTGGTGTGGTGCTACTGCTAGTCGCACTGGGAACTGCTGGCGTGGATTTTTCCGATCCCGAACTTACAATCACCGTTGTTGTGGGCGTACTGACTATGCCAGTTGGCGTGGTAGTGTTGCTGCCACTTGGGGCCGGTGAGACGTCCGGCTTGGGTGTGACCAGCTGTTGTGGCTGCGCTGGCGGCAGAGGCAGAACTTGTGGTGGCGGCTGATCCATCAATACCGGCGAGGTAATCAGCACCGGTGACGTCTGCGGCGGCGGCATTGTGTGGTATATAGGCTGCGGCTGCTGCGATGGATCCTGGACCAGCTGTGGCGGCGGCTGTTGCACCTGCGGCTGCGGCTGATGCTGCTTTGCCACATGTTGGTGCTGGGTGTCAATCAGCTGTTGCTGCTGCTGTGCTTTCTGCAAGTGGATCGGCACATGCTGCTGGGGAGGCGGCGCCTGTTGGGGCTGCTGCTGAGGCACATAGTGTGGCTGTTGGAGTGGCGCCTGATGAAGGTGCGTTGGCGGCACTTGGTGCATGACCACGTGCTGCTGTTGCTGCTGCTGCTGCATGGCTTGCTGTTGCTGCTGTGGGGGCGAGGCAGATTGCTGCAATGCACGCTGTTGCTGCTGATGCTGCTGCACTTGCTGCTGCTGTTGTTGTTGCGGCTGTTGGGGCGGTGAATTGTTGCTGGGTGCCAGTTGGAAATCCTGACCAAATTGCCGCAGCTCCTGCATTTGGTTATCGCGGGTCCGCACCTGACGCACTGACTGTGTATTCTGACCCTGCGCCTGCACATTGGGATGTTGCTGCTGCTGCTGTTGCTGCGGCTGTTGCTGCTGTTGAGGCTGCTGCTGCTGTGGCGGCACTCCGGTCTGCAGCGGTGGCGAGTTGCTGTTCTGCCCGGGATGGCCACCATGGGAGCCGTGCATGGGCTTGCCCAGCGACTGCTGCTGGGCCTCGCCGCCATAGTTAAGTGACGAATTGCTCTGGGAGCCTTGGTACTGGCGCATCTGGCGCTGGGGCAGCGGCTTATTAGCATTGGCGTTCGAATCACCATTGAGCTTGGAAGCGCCGCCCATATGAGATTGGTTTCTATACTGCGAAGAACTGCGGAAAATTAAGTTAATCATCGTTATTAATCATGAACACATTATTTAACTACCGATCCCACTTACCCGTGCATGATCTGCGAGTTACCCTGGTACGAGTACTGACCCGGCATGCCCATCGATGGCTGGTAACCGCCTTTGGCCTGGCCCACCGAATTGCCGTTGCCGCCCTGCGACACGGAAATATTGCTTCCACCGGTGCCGGTGGGATTGTTGCGCATCACCTTGCCGCCCTGGGGGACGGTCTTGCGCTTCACCATCGAACCACCGCCATACTTGCTAGACGTGTCCGCAGCCGCACTGACCGACGGGGCTTGGCCCGCGTTCTTCAGACCGCCGGCTAGCATTAGAGCTGCCGTGGACTGCGTAGAGCCGCCTTGGTTAGCCCCGCCGCCCATGCCGCCGCCACCCTGCATCATCAGGTTGCCGTCGCCGCGAGTGTCGCGGTCGCGGCCGCTGCCCTGGGAGGACATGCCAACATGCGATAGCTGCGGTCCGGTGATGCTGCGCGTCTGCTTGGTGATGTAACGGTCACTGCTCATGGTCTCCCGCAGCTGGAAGTCAGATCCGCGAGGCTTGTTGCCGCGATCACGATCGCGGTCCCTATCGCGCTCCTCGCGCTCCCTTTCGCGATCGTTGCGGTCGCGGTCGCCACGATCGCCGCGGTGTTCTTGCTCTGCCGGACGTTCCACTGCCGCAAAGAGCGCCTCCTCGTCGCCGTTCTCTAGATCCAAACGCTCTCGGCACGTTGGATTATTCTCAATCTCAGCAGCCAGTTTCTCGGCCTTGGCCTCGGCCTCTTTGAATTCCAGCGAGTCACCTTTGTCCAACGGTACCGTGTAGGACGCCAGAGAGTCGTCGAATGTGGAGGTCACACCGAACGTGTGCTCATTTTTGCGGAACATCTCGTTGGGGTCCCAGCCGTTGGCGGCACTATCCAGTTCTATGTCAATGTCGCCATTGGCGCCAGAGTCCCACGGTTCCAGTTCCTTCTCGTCCAGGCGCGCACCTGTAACATTATCATTGTTATTTGAAGTATTTGTTATTGATTATGATTGGAATCTTACCGTTGCACTTGTCAGAGATGGCGCCATCCGTCTGAAAAGCGCCAGCGGTGGCGTATTGCGAGTCAAAGTCCTTGGCCACGATGGTTACCACGGTGTCGGCCGGGAATATAATGTGTTTTGGCACCTTGCCCTCCTCCGGCAGATTCTTGGACTTAATGCACGCCGGTAGCTCCAGTGCGATGTCAAAGCCGCCCGAGAATGTGCGGAATACTCCCTCGTAAATGTTGCCTGACCGCAGGCGCACCTCCACAACGCTGCCGACCAGCGCCGTGGCTGAGTGCATGAAAAACGGGTTGTTGTAGACGCCCTGCGCCACCGGACGCGCTGCTGTCCCGCCTCCGTTTCCAGCTCCTGCAGTTGCCTTATTATTAGCTGACCTCAGGCTGCTGTCGTTGGAGTTGTATCTGCGGATGATGATAGAGAAAGCACCAGCGTTCGGTTAAATGTTATCGTTGCGGTTTGACGCCAGAAGACTCAGCGAGCGACTGACGGCAATTGGAAATTCGATGGCATTCAGGGACGGCAGCGATATCGATTCGTTCGCTGTTTGCAAACTATGACCTGACGCCCCCAACCCCGACGCATCGCCTACTGCACCTAACCCCTCGTAGAAGCAAACACAGTGCCAGTTTGCTGGCTGGCTTTTGTTTGCGTATTTTCGTTTTTTGCCTTTGTTTTTAGAACGAGCAAGAGATAATATTGTGGACGTCTCTAGGAAGACTTTATCGGGGAATCACGGCAATTAAGTAGGAATGATTTATCAACCTCAGGCAAATATGAATACATATGGGGGATTCACAGAATCTAATATAAGTTAATTTGGGTGGATAATGATTCTTTATTGTATATCTGTGCATATTAAATATTTTACTAGAATATAATTTTTGTTTACTTTTCGAGTGTTGATTGGACACTTCTTAGTTTTCATTGGATATTCGTTAATCATCATCAATTAATTGATACATAAATTATAAATTATAAATTGTAAATAAATTTATATTTATATTATTTTCAGTCGTATCTCTTATCTTATCTACCTGGCGAAAATTTGTCCTCCAGAGCCACAACTTTGGTTACCAAATATTAGGTACAAGTGTGATGAATGTGTGAAAAACTGTTTTTATATTCGTTTTAATCATTTCTGAGAGACCGCGTTTTTTATTCCGCAAAAGTTATTAGCGAAATGTAACCACTTGGCCAGCTTTGTCCCGCTGCCTGCTCAAAGCGGACCAGCTCAGCTCAGTTCATTTCGGTTCGTCTGAACGGACGCTTTGGTTTTCGGGGTGTTTTGGCTTTGCGTGCAGGATCGACGACCGTGAAATGCGCAACGCAACGCACAATGAACCCGTGGTAGGTGTGGGATGGCGAGGTAGGGGCAGGAGCAGTAGCAGTCGCAGTAGCCGTGGCAGGGGCAGGGGCAGGGATGGAGCTGGGGGCAGAACGAGGGTAACTGTAGCTGATTCACGGAGCGTGCATTGTGCACATTTTCGTGAATGAAAACAAATAATTGATTGCGCTCAAGAGTGAATCATGCGTGCGCCAGCGTCGATAAGGTGAGACGGTGCAGAGCTCTACACGACCAAAAGCTGAGAACAGAGAACGGCAAACGGATCCGGGAAATAGGCTGCGACGGAGGCACACACTCGGAAAGCAAGTGTGCATGGCCGAATAGCGAATAAATATGCATAGACGTAGAGCGGAAAACAAGAGCGAGGTGTATCGTTCGGTCAGCAAATTGTAAAGTGACCCAAATTTCGAGCCCCAGCGGGGGGCAGGGTTCCAAGGGGGCTCGAAGTGTGCCAAAGAACGAAACGAAACTCAGCGCAGCCGCCGCACGTCACAGCAACTGAAAAACTGAATAACTGAAAAAATTAAAAACTGAAAACTGCAAGCGGCGAATGGCAAACTCAAAGCTGCAAAATGCTGACAATGCAAGAAAATGCATTCGCAAAAAGGCGAGCGCGCGAGCGAGTGAGACGAGAAAAAAAAACAACAAGAAGAAAAATATAGTGCGATACGTGAGCTCGTGTGCGTGCATCTTTGCACTGTGGGCCCTCGTCGGCCCTCAGCCGCACAGTGGGCCTAAATGGCCAGCAGGGTCATCTCACCGCATCAGGCCACAGTGGCCACAGCTTTCGGCTTGTGTTGGTGCGCAAATGAATAATGGACGTGTCGTCTCTCAAACAGTTTGAGCTATAAGTATGGGACACGAGCACGAGCAGATTGCTCTGATAATTCTTAATGGAATTACGCTACAGTAAAGCATCGAAGTTCTGGTACATTTATGATACAAGATAATACTAGGAGACACTAGAATTAACTCTTAAATACAAGAAAACTGTAAACATATGGCCATGTTTAACTAAATAAAGCTACATTTTAAACATACTGCACTTTACACTTCAATTGTTAATTTTCTCAATTACTGGTTATATGTAACCTTGGGTTTGTAGTCACGTTCTCAATAGTTACTTTAAATAAAAAACATTAAAAAACTTCCGTAATCTATCCGTGAAAAATAAAGTATTTAAATTATTTTCTTAAAAATATAATTCAAAACAATGCAAGACACTCATTGATAGAACACATTTGGTAAATAATCAATTGAGCACTCTTGTGGCGTTAATTATTTATATATTTACATATTCTTTCGTTTAGATATGGCGGCTACCGTTCAAAGCTGGCGGAACGTGCCGATACTTATGCTCCGCACTGTCCACAAATGCGGATGTGGATGTTGATGTGTGGATGTGAGTGGGGATGTGTGCGCTGCAGTCATATTTCAATTGAAAATTTTAAGGGCGCAGCAGCGAATGAACTGGGGAAAAAGACGGGGAGCCAAGGGAATGATGGAGATGGATGGGATTAGTGGGAGCAGTAGGAAGGGAGGGGGTGGTGCGGGTTGTGTCAACGCGACAAAACGGAAACCTTTAAACAAATTATGTTCTCTACACATACAAATTCCATTGTGAAAGGGAAATGTAAACAAAGCATAAAAAGTTCGATGCTGAACACAGCCACTCACACACCCGCACACATTGCAAACAAACACGCACACACATGCACACCACGATGGCCCTATTATATAAGCGCCATTTGCATTTACAGTTAAAATTTTAAGAATGATGTTCCAAAAACGAGATGCTGCATCGCAGCCACCAAGAAGCAGAAGCAGAAACGGGGAAACAGAAAAAAGATAAATAAAAACACCGCGGACACGAGACGCGCTTTCACCTTTTTTTAGTGGACCGGACCGGACCGGGAGAGCGGAGAAAAGAGCTCTTTGTGGCGCTTTTGGCTGTCGCGGGTTTTCAATTTGTCAGGGCAACGGCGAACGGCGAACTGCAGAGCAAAAGCAAAGCGCAAAGGCAAAACGCAAACCAGCCCCACACACACCGCCACATTCGCACTGCATAGGTGTGTGCGTGTGTGTGTTTTCCCTCTTCGATGGCTCCTCCCGCCCGGCCCGTCATCGCCTTTCTCCGACTCTTTCCTTTATTCGCCACTGCTGCTGCAGTTGGTGCTTCTTCTTACCTTGAGATGCCGCCGCTGGGAGCGCCTCCGCCGCCACCACCTCCTCCGCCAGCGCCAGCGCCAACGGCGCCTCCGCCACCGCTGGGTCTGGCTTTCCGCTTGCTATTGTTGTTCATAACGCACCAGTACCAGTACCAGGAGAGTTAAAGCGAAGAACGCAGCAAACGAAGTCGACGGAACGCACGAAACCTGGCGTTTTCCCTAACCTGCTGCTGTGCTATTTTCCGATTTACCGCTTTACGGGCTTTCCGACTTTCCGATCTCTCGACGTGGACGTGTGCGATCTGGCGGGCGAGGCGTTTTCTAGCCAAAATAAGCAATTTCGGCGGCGTTTAGCACGGTAACTGCTGCTAATTTTTGCTTTTGTTGCTAATTTTATTTTTTCCCTGCTGTAATGCAGTGTGACCGTTTCGTGACGGCGGAAAAATCTCTGAATCTCTCCGCCTAAAAAATCCAGACATCACAAAACTCCTGGAACCTGGGAACTCTGCTGGAGGCGGAACCTGTCATATCTTGCACATCTCTAAGGCTTGTGAGTTTTTATCGGCAATCGATAATTGGCGCGTAAATAAAAAAAAAAACTTTTTTTATTTTGGATAACGGACGTATTTTTTTTTTATCAAATTAATTCATTGTTGGCCTGCTCGACTGCTCAAATAGTTGAAATTTCCCCCAAAAAATCCACACTTAATATTCGAAGTTCGAACCAAATCTGACACTAGAACCATATTTTATACCCGAACCACATCTCATAAATTTAAATTTAATATTTGGCGCGTTTTACTTAAAGGTTTTTTTCCGTAATTTCCACTACCAGAATATATCACTTAGATGACGCATTTTGTGATGGGAATCCTACTGCGCGGCCATGTCAGCGATTGGCCAAATATTTGCCTCAAATCTAGTTCACAAATATGGTTAGTCGGTCGGCTAGGCCTATTAATAACCCTAATTATCTTTTTCGATGGGCGGGTACAAAACATCCGCATATTTACCAGATCGTCCAGATAAAGCGGCAGACACCGAACGATCTTGGCGGGATTAGCCGCCCGCCGTCAAGAAACTCCCTTTACCCAGAACCGCAAACATTTCAAAGTCAGGCGTTGGTTGTTGTGCTCTTGTATAAGGTAATTGTACCTCTGGTCTCGTATCAGTTATACTAATTACGATGCTATCTCGCAGGCAGGGTCTCCATTATATACAGTAGCCGTTAATCTGTCAGGCCCACACGCCAACCGGGTTGACGGGGGGTCTATGTAACGCTTGATGATGGGATTGGGGGATGGTTAACACCTTCAACTGGTGTTATGATCTAATCATAGGAGGCACTGCGATAAAAGTAACAAGGGTTATGATATAATATAGAACTTATTTCCTTAAATATTCTCTCATAATTATTATTCCTCAAATTTGACTTATTTTAAGACTAATAAAAGTACTTCTAAACAACCTACATTTTGTGTTTTTCGATTTTTTAATTATATTGATCTGTGCAGAAGTCTATTTTTGCATTTTTAGAATGCCGGACACAAGGTGTCACCGCTTGGCTAAAGTTAATTCCATATTTGATTGATTAATTTGTGAGTTATTCGAGTCTTTGAATCCGGCTAAATTCAAAGCCAAATATTGGTCCATCGTTTATCGATCAAGGTGCTTGGAATACCACTTGAGGTGGAAAATTACTTGGAGTCCACAAGACTACACATCAACCCATTCCGTATCCAGATTCCGCCACACCTCCTCCCACTGCGCACTTGAAGCGGAGTGGGAGCTTCTGTATCTCCGTAGTTTCCGTTGCCGTTCGGGTGCCGTTGACATTTCCAGTTATATATTCGTTTTGTGCTCCGGACAGACGATCCGGGGACAGATGATTCGGGACCCAACCTTCCGCTATGTTTGCGCGCCGCCCATTCGCCCATCCACCCATCCGCCTGCGCCTGCCGAATGGGCGTTAAGTATGTCATTGTTGTGCTGATCTCGAGCGACTGTTTGTCGCCGTTTTTCTTGATTTTTTTCATTTTTCGTGTTTATCAGAAAATCTGCCCCAAGTCTCCCCACTTATTTATCATTCAAGAATTCGCTTCTTCGGCAGTTTTCATTAGATTGCGAAGCGGTGCACTTGGCTCACTCGAGTAGCAAGGATATAATCTTTGAAAAATATATCGTACAGTCTCCTCCCGCATGTCCTTCGGTTAATATTCCTGTGAAACCTATGCGGATACGTGAAAAATGCCTATTGTAAAGAAATTATCCTTTGATGGTAGGTATTCGTGGATTATAACGACTTGAAGTGAATGGATATAAATGGTCGGTTAATCTCAAGATGTGTTTGAACTTTGAAATTTAAGGACTTTAGGAGGGATTTCAATAAGTTCAATAAGTTAATTATTCACAAGAAGGGAAATTTTATCAAGGTTTCGCAGTTCTTCTAAACTGAAAACAATAATTGAAATGATTTAATAACTATTAGAATATATATTGGATATAATACTAGAGTGAAAGTAAATGAAATGAAGTTATATAAAGTCATTAAATAGTTTTAAATCAATGAATCAATAAAAGTTGATTTAAGGACTTTCGAGTCTACATTACATTAGTTGAAAATTTATTTAGCTGAACGGAAATTTTAATAAGATTTCGTATTTTTGCGGAGCTAAAGAAATAATTTGAATGATCTTAAATTTATTGGATTATATTGGATAATACTGGAGTGGATTCTATGGAAATAAAAGAAAATTCCTTTACATTTTTCCATTAGGTATAGTTATATAAAGTTTTAAATCTTTTATATGGATATATTATTAAATCAATAAAAAAGGAATTTAGCTATTAAATATTTTCAAGTTACTGCCGCTGTCATTGCTAACTTTTATGGTAAAATTATTCAAAAATGTATATTATTATTTAAATGCTTAAGAAAAACCCGATAATCGTTGTAATAAAATAGTGGGAAAGTAATAAAATTACTTAAAATATAAACAACTAAAAAATTTTAAAAATCTGTTAAGTCTCCAACATTCATTCAATGATCTCGTGGTAACGTTATAATCGTTCCATTTACACTACTTCTACGATTTTACAACTGCCATAAATGCCAGTAGCCGATCTCCCCCGTTGATTAGCAGCAAAGCAACAGCTGTTGGCAAAAATCCGGGCCTGATGTTACAAATTAGCATTAATTTTCGGTTTCTGTTTTCGACCATCTTGACTGATAATGCCCGTGTATAAAAATATTTAACTTGCCCGAACCGTCAACCACAAATATTAACATTTTGCTGAGAAAACAATGAAATAATTGCTTGATTTTATAGGGGTTTAATTTGAATGGGATTATGGTGAGTGAATAAATAAAGCCATTAAGTTTCCAATTTCCAATGTCCTAAGATGGTTTTGAGAGGTGCAATCCTTTAAATTAAGGCATGTTACTCAGAAAGTATATAAAATCTATTATTAACATGAAGACTACGACTTGCTACGTAATAGATTTTCACAAATTTGATTTGTGAGTAAGTTTTAGCGCAATTCGTGCGAAAGGTAACACCTAAATACGATATTGTACTATTATTAACCCATAGAGACACAGAGACAGATGACTAACAGCCTCCGTCTGGAGTCGGTACGCACTTGTACCCACTTTGGCGTGATAATTGGTTCGCTTTTTTCCCCTGAATTTGATTATATTAATCACCTTTAGGTTGTTTTCGATTTGTTTACCTATTAAATACAACAAAAAAAAGTGGGTAAAAAATTGTATTAAAATACGATTTACATAAAGAGCGATTGAGGAAGATAGAACTGGTTTTTCAAGGGCGGAACATTCACATAGGAACTTACAATTAAGTGGTATATGGAATGTACTGGCTCTCCAACAGAGCCCTCCCGTTCCCAATAGCTTTCGAGAATCTCAGTTATTTATATACGTAAATTACCGAGCCACAGCGAGAGGCAAACATATGTGCTAAATTACGAATTCACACAATTAAAGTTTTGCGCTTTTTTTCGCTCTCTGCTCGGCTCGGCTGGGAAGCGGACAAGCCGGACTGCTTGCTGCTCGTTTTTAATTTTTTTTTTTATTAAAATGCTAAAAACCCCCTGACAAAATCAAACAAATTCGGCTGGCAGAGCGGTTGTACCTGTGGCCATTGGCGAAACTGAAACAGAGACTGAAAATCAGTACACAATGCGTTGGCCGCGAAAGCACACGTTCGGCCTGTGGCCCAAGGGCAGGCGCAGCTCCGGAACAGCCGCCGGGCAAGCGCAGTTAGCCACGGTGGCCACCATCTACGATCGTAGGATCAGCAGCCCTACTCTCTGCTCTGCTTCACGTCTTAAGCGTTTTTTTCGATTTCTTTCTTTCAGCCAATTGCGAGGAAAAGGAGAAGTACACCGCCCAGAATGCCGATGATTACTATAGTCAAGCGCAGACTGTCAACTTGGATGCGGATGTGGCTGGCAAATATACCAAGCCGGAGGAGGCCCACTGGCTGGTGCGGCGCATTTACTTCCTCAGCTGGATCACCAGCTATGATCGGGAGCAGGCATTTGCGGATCTGATAGCCGGAATTACACTGGGACTGACCATTATTCCGCAGAGCATTGCCTACGCCGCGCTGGCTGGTCTCTCCTCGGAGTACGGCCTGTACTCCGCCTTCATTGGGTCGATCATCTATGTGTTCTTCGGCACGATACCGCAAGTGTCCATTGGTCCCACCAGCCTGATGGCCATCCTCACGCTGCAATTTTGTGCGGATAAGCCGGTGCAGGTGGTCATCGTCCTGGCTTTTCTCGCCGGCTTGGTGGAACTGGCCATGGGCGTATTTCAGCTGGGCTTTATAGTCAGCTTTATTCCGGCTCCAGTGACCAAGGCCTTTACCTCGGGCACAGCGGTGATTGTGGTATTTGCTCAGATCAAGAATCTACTGGGAGTTCGCCTCAAAGGATTTCCCTCCATCGCTGACTTCTTTACCAACATTCGTCCTACGGACGCCGTCATGGGAGTATTCTGCATGGTTGTGCTGCTTTCGTTGAGGGTAAGTTGGAAGGCTACATTTTTAGGTTAATTTGTAACATTTGATTGTTTTTTCTCTTAGCTCCTATCGCAGGTGAAATTCAAGCAGGACACGGCTGTGACGCGTCGGCTGAAAAAGATCCTGTGGTACATCAGCATCTCCCGCAACGCCCTGGTTGTCTTTTTCACCGGCCTACTGGTGTTCATCTGGGTGAAAAAGAGCTCCATTGAGGCGGTGCCCTTTGCCCTCTCAGCGAAGGTGTCCTCGGCCATGCCCTCGTTCAAGCTTCCGCCCTTTGCCTTTGAGTACCAAAACCGTACCTACGTCTTTACAGATATCCTGCACGAGCTGGGCAGCGGCATCGTTGTGGTGCCCATTGTGGCGGTTCTCGCTAACGTGGCCATTGCCAAGGCTTTCGGTGCGTATACGTGATATTTAAGATACTTAGAAAGAACTCGGAGCTATTCGATTTAAATTCTAGTCAAGGACGGCAATTTGGATGCCTCGCAGGAGATGCTGACCCTGGGTCTGTGCAACATAGCCGGCTCCTTCTTCAGTGCCATGCCCACCTGCGGAGCTTTTACCCGCTCGGCGGTGAGTCAGGCGTCTGGAGTAAGGACCCCCATGGCTGGCATATACACCGGATTGATTGTGCTCTCCGCTCTGAGCATCCTGACCCCCTACTTCCAATATATTCCCAAGGCCTCCCTCTCCGCTGTGCTCATAGCAGCGGTCATCTTTATGGTGAGTCCAGTTTCTATAATTATCATATAGCTTAAATCTTGTTTATTGAACTTAAATTTAAATATCATATATAAACAGATTGATCTGGCTCCGGTCAAAGAGCTGTGGCAGACCAACAAAAAGGACTTCTTCAGCTGGGTGGGCAGCTTCATCATATGCCTGGTGGCCGGCGTGGAGTTGGGCCTGCTCTTCGGCATTGTGCTCAGCATGATCTTTATCCTGCTGCGCCTGGGCAATCCCAAAATAGAAGTGTCCCTGAAGAAGGTAGGATATAGAGACTTTTTCTAAAGGAATCATTATAAATTCCCTGTAACCCAACGCAGCACGAGTCCACCTACTATGTGCATGTGGTGCCCCAGTCGGATATCTACTACACCGGCGTGGACACACTCCGGGCGGAGTTGCGGGCTGCCTGCAGTCTCTATCACCACGACTTCCCCGTGATCCTGGACTGCGCTCGCTTCATGCAGTTCGATGCCACCTTCAGTGAAATGCTGATTGCTGTGGCCAAGGAGATGGCCGCCAACGATGTGCTGCTCATCTTGCAGAACATGAGCCTGAAGGTGCAGCAGATGCTGCCGGTGATTAGCAATGTGCGCTTCTGGCACGAGGATGGCGACCTGTCGTCTCACCTGCAGCCGGAGAAGGAGATGGCGCCGCCTCAGCTAGAAGCCAAGGTTTAGCCCAAGATCCTACTCCAATCCTCAATTACCGCCGCTGCCGCCTGACGTCACGAGAATAATTATCTCCGGCTGACGTTCGCGTGTGGGACTCGACGGTGTTGGCGGCGGAACTTGCGTAATTTAGCCGCTTAGATTTAGTTGTTTAGCTTAGCGACTTTGTAAATACTTAAATGCATCCACTAAATATATAATATAGCTTTCACGAACAAACAAAGATAACCGCAGGGCGATCTGCAGGCCGAGATAATAGAAGCAGGTGGAGCCATAAAGCAAGCCTCGTGTTGGGCCGGCGTACGTGGCGTATGAGTAATATTCCGGAGCAACGCTCATTACCGAATTAATTGAATGGAACGCAGCTTTGTTTTTCTTTGAAATTGTTGTTTAATTATTATTTTTTTCGCTTTTTTGTCGTTCAATAAGGAAATTATAATTTATAGAAAAAGTATAATAATACAGTATAACAATTTAGTTGGTTTCCATTTGTGTTTTTTCATTATCCATTTCATATTGCATAGTACGTTTTTATCATCGTTCGTTTGTGTCTTCATTATTAAATATTGTTCGTGGAAATAAACTGTTTGTATACTCTGGTGTGTATGTAACTATAGGGTGTATCTGACTGACTGTCTGCAGCTGTATCTTGATCTGTGTGTCTGTATCTGTATCTGTATCTGTTTTGGGGTCTGTGTGCTTCCGGTATGTCCCTGCAATCGCTGCGGGAACACTACTGCTTCGGTGGACGCCGAAGTGGGGCTTGTAGATTGTAATCGTCTCTCCGATGTGGCTAAATAATACAGTGTGACTTGATTGTTAAGCCATTTACGTGGGAAAAGTTAACGCTTGTTTCATCGTGTTGGATAAGGTAATTCAATCTTCGACATTCTTAGCTATCAACTCAACTATAGTTTCGATATCTAGGCCTGCCAACTACTATTTGCCAGTTTACAATTTACAGTGTGATTGTGGGCACCGAAGGAGAGCGTGTCGGGACCCTGAAAGGATGCCTAAACTCATCCGAAGCAGTCTGATACTTCAGCATGTTTCGAATAAATGTAAGCCAACCCTTCCCTCAATGCCCCTCTGTGTATCTGTGTGCGACTGTATCTGTATTGTGGTGTGTTCCTGGTTGTGTTCAGTGTGTGTTTCTCAGTTTAAAGTAATCATTTGCTCACAATTATTTGCCTTCCAAGCACATGTACATATGCAACTCTATGCGCTCTTTAAATATGCCTTGTTTAATATATTTGTTTGGTAAACGTTTTCTCATTAATATACTTTTGTTATCTTTTATACTTTCTTCCATTTCTTGAATGTTTTGTATTTTCGTAAAGCAAGAGGTACGCGATGTATTTGTGTGTGTGTATCTTCTGTATATGAGAGAGAGAGAGATCTGATTTTTAAAGCAATTTTTTAAACATTAGGAAACAGTTGACTAGCTTTTTGTTTCGTAACTCTCGGATACAAAAGCAATCAGAAGTAGTCGTGGCATATATGCAAGTATTAGCTATATAAAATAACGATCGAGTTTGGTATTCGAATAGGTAGTAAAGGGGGATGTTGGGTAGCTCTAGGAAGTAGTAGCAAGGGGCGGCTTAGGTAATTACGAAAGGGAAAGTCGAATTTGTAGTGAACTTGTCTCCTGTGTGTGTCTAACGCTAGGTTCGCTCTCTTGTGCTTAGTACATTATATTCTTGTATTGGCTTCTGCTTTTGCCATTTCCTTGGGTATCCCATATACATATGTATGTTATGTGTGTAGGAGTAGTTCGCTCTTGGTCTTTGGTTTGGTTTAAGTTACACTGATATCTTTATCGCATATAGCTTCTATGGACATCGAACACTGAAAGATGCGGGGAATAGAAGGCGAATAGAATGTGTACAGAAGTCGAGCAGTCCAAGGATCACAAGGATTGGAGGCGGGGATTGGTTTCGGTTATCACTGGTAATTGGTAACTGGGAAGTGGTAACTGGGAAGTGGTAACTGGGAAGTGGTAACTGGCTAGTGGTAACTGGGGATGTGCACGTGCTCTCTTCTTAGCTGGACTGGAAGTCAAGGTCGCGCCCGATTTGAATGCGAAGTCGTATTTAGTATATGCGAATATATGTAAATATGTTTCATATCGATTTATTTATTACGTTTTTAATGTATGTATATTTGTTTTTGGCGCCTTTTGGGGCGTCACCTCGTCTGACGACATTGCTCAACATTCGGTTGTGTTTTGTTTTGATTTATAAATGTAATTTAGTGTATCTCAATTTAGTTTTCAATATATTTTAAATATATACATATAATATATGTATCTTTATGTTAATGTTTTGGTTTAGTTTACCTTATGTGTTTGCTTTATCTCCTCATCTTTCGCATCTCGTCTGCCTCCTAATCTCTTCTTCGCCTCTCCTTGTTTTGTTTTCTTTTGTTTTGGTTTTTATTTATAAACTGGTCAGCAACAGTAGCAAATTTAACAATGTGCGTTAACAAATAATTGTAAATATAATGTATGTATATAATATATTTCTCCGCTCACTTTGCCATGCCTAGCTTTTTGTTTTTTCTCTTGTATAATATATGGTTATGGTGTGTGGCTGTGTGTGTGTCCAGTATCTATGTATGTGTGAGAGTGGGTGGCCGCAGGCGAGGGTCCTGCGACAGTGTGGCTTGTATATGTATTTTATAGGGTGAGAGGGTTCAGAGCAGTCACCTAAACTGGCAATTTGTTAAATAATTTTACAACAATTTATCTGGGGGCTGTGGTGGCTCGTGTGCTCACGTCTCTCCTGCTGCTGCCCCTGCCGATGCTTCTGCTGCTGCTGCTGTTGCTGCTGCTACTGTCCCTCCCCCTCCGACTCACATAATATTTCTATCAATTTAATTAATAAAAAATATTACCATTAGTACTATTAGTTGCGGTTTCACGTGTTATATATATCATATATCATGGGCAGCAACAGAGCACCAGGCACCAGGCACGAGGCACGGGCCTCACATTAGCTTAGTAATCGTAATCAATAGCGATAATCATAATCATAATCGTAATAGTAATAATAGGTCTAATCTACGAATAATATAACAGGACCCTATAGAATGACCGGGGTTATTTGCCAAAGCCGAACCCGAATTTCCCGAAGAGATCTTTGCCTTTCGACAGGACGTCGCCGCCGGGCGCCGCTGCCGCGATACCCTTGAGTCCGCCCAGCAATCCGGCGCCCGGTCCCTGCGGCGGAGCCTGGGCTTGCGGTGGCACTTGTTGTTGCTGCTGCTGTTGCATTCCGGGCTGTTGCATTCCGGGCTGCTGCATTCCGGGCTGCTGCATTCCGGGCTGCTGCATTCCGGGCTGTTGCATGCCCGGCTGTTGCATTCCGGGCTGCTGGGCACCAAAGGCGTTGGCTTGTTGCTGCACTGGCTGCACACCACCGGGTGGTTGCATTGGATCCGTTTTGGGCGGTTGCTTCGACCCAAATAGACCACCGGTGGCAGCCGAGGTAGCACCAGAGAGCAGGCTAGTCGCGCCGGAGAAGAGGCCGCCCGTTGGTGCCTGCGTCGTCACCGGCGGCTGCTGTTGCTGCTGGCCCATGCCCATCTGACCCATGCCCATTTGCTGGCCCATCTGCTGGCCCATCTGCTGACCCATCTGCTGGCCCATTTGTTGGCCCATCTGCTGGCCCATCTGCTGACCCATCTGCTGGCCCATCGGCTGACCCATCATTCCAGGTTGTCCCATTTGCTGCTGCTGCTGACCGTACTGCTGCTGCTGTTGGAGTTGCTGCTGCTGTTGTTGCTGGCCGAGATTACCAACGCGACCGATCATCCCCTGCAAGGTGGCGATTGGCGAAGGACCAAAGAGAACGAGTTAGTCGGGGCTCCAATCAGGCAGCGCTCGCATAAACGAATGGCAAACTAATCGTTAAGTATATATATATATATATATTGTACGTATATTTATGGGAGTTCTTAATATTTTCATGGATTCTTTCAACGTGGCCTCTCGTTGAGTGGCCGGGTTAGTTAGTTAGTTAGTTGGTTGGTTGGTTTAGCGTTCTCATGGCAAAAACTAGGTGTTAGTTTCGGACTCGTCCACGAGCAGTAGTCGCTGGGTTACTTGAGATGGAATTGGTTGTGTTGTTAGTAATGGCAACTACGTTCGTTAACTACGAAATGGCGCTAGTCAAAAACCGAACCGAACCGATCAGGACCGCATAGGTCCTCTCTGTGCTCAGCCTGGCAGCTAAATCAAGCGTCTCCAGAGGAGTCAAGGCTCTATTGAAGGCCTCAACCGAAACGAATAACAGTAGCATTACGTGATTGTTGGCTTCTATACACATTTGCCGTGTGAAAATGAAAATTATGTAGAACTAGCAACGTTTCTCAATAGTTGACAACTGAAAATCAAACAAGGGCCTAAGGCCAAGATTGAAAATTAAGAGTTTGCATGGCAAAAGGCAAAGCAAAAAGTTGAAAAACTCTTAGAATACACATTCTGACAACGGATTTCGGACTATCCAGGAGTACTCCTCAGCAGGCATGGGCAGAGCGCTGCTTTCTTTCTGGCTCTTTTAAGCACATTGTAAAATGTACGGATCTCTTCCCTGAAGCCTTTAGTGCCCATGCCTGCTTAGTGGCGAGCACTCCCCGTGTCCTCCGGGTTGTGCGCTCGGATCGGACTTGAATGAATCTCTAAAGTTCTATTTATGTACACTACCTTAATGAAATGGGAGTGGGAGGGGCCACCATGAAGGTGAAGTTTCGTGAATGTGTCGTGGCAATCATTGAAAATCATAAGTAAACGGGAGGGGCTATTTGTCATCCTTGAATGAGTTCGAGTTGATGGACGAAACAAAAAAAATATGTTGTTGTCGGTGGTTGGTTGTTGAGTTATTCTGTTAGCTAACTTTTACTTCGGTGTTTTGATCGTTGTGGAAAGTAAGAGCTAAATGCAAATCTATTCGGGAAATCATACTAGACTTAAAGTGAGCCAGAGGAAATCATATGAAATGTCGATAGTAATCAAAAGCAAATACAGTACAGGTAGTACAGGTTCAACTGAGGTGGGGAGAAGAACTCACAGAAAATAATAACTTCAATTGACGAAACGAAAAACGCAATAACTCAAGGTATTACACATACAGTGAATCACATAGAAATTTGTACACATTACATCCAATATTCCATATAGTAGTAGTAGCAATTAATTAATATAATTAGTAGCGTATACCAGTAAGAAAACAAAAATGTATTCATATATAGGTATATATATATATATATATTTATAGATATGTATGTATCACATCTTATCAGCAATACGTTTACTTGAGTGTGTATTTTGTATCTGGCATATATATATGGTATCTGGTATTTAGCAGTTCTCAGAGATAAGGAATCTCGGATTCTGCGTGAATAAATTTGTACACATTTCGGGGTTCGCTTGCTTGTCTCATTATCCGGATTTAATTTGGTTTGCCCTCAAAGCTAACTTAAAAAATAATAACATCTTGCTTTGGGATATGAAATCTATAGAGTAACCTGAAAACCAAAGCAGATCAATATTCAAAAGCAGACTGAAGTTATGGGGCTTCAATTTAGACTTTATCTCAAGACAATTTGATGGCAAACAAGTAAGTTAATAGCTTAGAACGAGCTAGCGGCTGAATATCTCACTTTTTGCTGAAAGTTAAGGAAGTCTGTAAGCTGAGTTGGTATTGGAAAACAAACTTAACTTTATAATAACGGAAAACTTAAGATTGTGAAATACAAAATGGAAGAAATTAAATATATTCGAAATGATTGTAAGCCAAGTGGATAACGAACTTAGGAGAAATCGATGTGAATGATTGTTGCTGTGGAAATTGTTGCTGATACTTCAGTTCCTGGGTAGATCTTTATATACAAACTATACACACATGATCTTTGTTCTGAGTTCGACTACAATTATATTACACCAACATGAAGTGCGGCACTGGCAGGCTATGAATGCTCAGATATCGGGGGATATATGTAACTTTACACGGACGAGCCTCCGACTGTTATTGTAAGGTTTCGGTTTTGGTTTCAATGTTTGTATTTATAATGTCGCTGTTGTCTTTGGATGTTAACTACAAGATAAACATGTTGCTAGCTATACATAGTTACTATAATATATATATATATATATATGAATATATATATGGGTATATATAGATCAGTTGACTGAAATGTTCAGGTACTGTACTGTAAGCGTTTAAATCGGGTTCGGAACTGGAACATATAGACAAGGTGATTTATGTATATATGTAGGTGGTATGCGCAGTAGTTAGTTACAGAGAGAAAGTGGGACGAAACAATGGACGATCGGGGTTGATTTCTCAATGTCCAGTTAACACTTAACGGAAAGTTAAACTGATGGTATATATGTATTAATAGTTTTTTCAATAGCGGGAGGGAGCTAAGATGTCCTGTGTTTGCACTTTAAAGCACACCAAGTGCATTTTACTGCACCTATTATGATTTAACTTTCGGTTAACCTCCCGTTAGCTTAACTGGACATTCAGAAAGCTGCTCCGAATCGCCAAGTGGCGAGAGAGTCCGCACTACACAGCTTGTCTAGCGTGTGTGTGGGTGCGGAGAAAGCGATAGCAGTATGTAATGACGTGGGAGAGAGTGGTCTGGCGTGTTGCTCTTCTGTCTGTCTGAGTGTCGGGATAATTCGTTCTTCCGTTTTATTTCTTTCTTTTTTCGCTGAGAGAGTCGGAACCGAAAAAGTGATGAGTGACAGAGATAGCAAGTGAAGGTACAGGTAGAGGTAGTAGAGGCTAGGTACAGGGACAGCTGTTTTTTAAGTAATAGTTGTAACTGTTGTGGCAATAATAATACTGTAGTAGTAGTAGTAGTAGTAGTTTTAGTAGTAGTAGTAGGTTGCAGCTTTGTTGGGTTTGAGGTTTGTAGGTATTGAGGTGAACAGTTGTGGTTACATTTGGCGTATTCTTAACTCTTTTCTTTAAGTTTAAGTTAGCTTTAGCATTTATTTTCACAAACAAACGAAAATATTGTATATCTTTTTCTTTGATTTAACACGATACGATACGTTCGATATATCGAAAACAAAAGGAAACAAAAGAGAACGAGTATTTACCTGCGTTTGGTGATCGGGGGCAGGATGGCCCGTGTTGTCTAACAGTGTAGGGGAAGCAGGGCGAGCATCTATAGCAACGAATATAACATAAAGACTTCACATTTACCACAGCAGACCATTACAAAAAATTATTTGAAAGAAGTTGTAGTAGTCAAAACGGAAAAGATCGTAATCGTAATTGTAATTGTAATTGTAATCGAAACTTAAGTCCAACTGAGGCATCGAAAACTAAAGGAAAACCAATCGATTTACTCAATTTAGTCGCGTACAATTTGCAGTTATATAGAGTGGTTCGAGTTAGGACTGCTGAATCTGAATCTGAATCGAAATCTGTGAATCTGATGATGTCGGTTCGAGAGATTGGATATTTATTCAACTTGTTCATCTCCGCGCGGGTGGGGTTATTCAAATCAAATCAAATGAAATCAAACAAATCGCTGTTCTATATAATTCACCGCTGTTCACGAACAAATCAATGGACAACTCAAAAAAAAAAGGGGAAAATTAACACAAGATAATGGAGAGAGATCCAAGGATCTCAAGTCACTTCCAAATATAAGTATAATGTAAAGAGCTTTCGAAAATGTTGTATTCGAATTTGGTTTGCGCAAAGACGTATTCAAAATCAGAAGAAGAGGCGCCAAGATATTGTAAGTCAGATTAAATTTTTGTTTTTTATCGGTTTAAAGTGAAAGAGAGATAGATAAAGTTGAGTTAGAAATGATTGCATTTGATTCGATTGTGGTTATTATTGGTCCAGACGTAAGCTTAAGATTGTATTAAATATTACCTTTCAGCCCTATACATGTATGTATGCTTCTTGGAGTCTCTGGACTGTGTTCAGAGTTCAGTTCTTTGGTTGCACTTGCATAAGCTTTTCGTATGCAGTTAACGATATATTATTCTTTAGGTAGATACAAGTTATATATATGGGCACTTAAAATCGGCTTAGTATGGCATTATATATAAGTTAGTTAGTTAGTTAGTTATAGTTATATGGAAATAAGTAGATTTAAAAGTTAAGTATTTTACAATAATGAGAATTTACACTAAATACAGAGAGAGAATACTGCTCGTATTTGTTTTTGTTATATTTGGGATTTGGTGCTTGGAGCCCTTAGCTGATGCTGTTGTTGTTTTTGTTGTTATATCTTTGAACAAAAATGAACAAATATCAAATATATATATATCGAAGAAGCTAATTGGCAAACAAACAAGACCAACATTCAGATAAAACCAGAAGGAAAGAAGAAGTTCAACGGAAAAACGAACACAAAATCCAAAAATCAACGAGAGAAACAACGCTAAAAGAATAATATTGTTTCGAAAAGCAGATACTCGTACTCGTTTCAACGTTATCAGGGGTTTATTTGGGTATCACAGGGGTGTAAATAGCTTAGAAGTACCAGTACGTAGTTCCCTAGGTTTCCCCTCTAACCCGATCGGGTCAGTCTCGTCGTCTGTCGCAATCTCCGGCTGCAGCTGCTCCATCAGGGCATTTGGACACTACTTCTTTTTCGGTTCAAGACACATTCAGAGGACGACTTTGATTAAACTATGGCTCGGTGGTGATCAACTAGGCAATCAATTCATTCGGCAATCAGGTGCAAGTAACTCGTATCTTTAACGCAAGCAATTGCTTTGCTAAAAACCAAATAAAAACAAGTTACAAAACTCAAAACTAAGGAAAATGATAAACATTTCAGATGTAGTACTGTAGTAGTTGATAAACATGCAAGAGAGACCATCTAGAGTTTTACACGGCTAGAAAAAGGCACGCAAGACAAGAAGAGAGACAGAGTACCGAAAGAAACTGAATAAGATTGAAAACAGGAAATTGGAAAATCAAAATAAAGAACAGACAAGTTAAAGAAAGCTAAGTGAAGGCTTGTATATACAAAGGATTATCGATATGAGCATGAGTTCATGACTTTATACGGAAGTTTCCCCCCTTAGCTTCATTTTGAGCTCCATATTTCGGCGATAATGATTGAATTGATGTTAATGTGATCAATGCTTAAGTTAATAAGTTAGATTGTGTGTACAACAACAAGAACAACAACTATCTATGGTATATTTTTATTCGATTAGAATTATATTATATCATTGGAATCCAAACCAAAAAAAAAAAAAAAAGAATAACAGACCGTACAAAAAAATAAGCAAGAAGGAAATATATATATTTATATATGTATATATAAAGTTGGAAATATCGAACTGATTGGTGCTGGAAAATTATTGAATTTGTACAGAAACCAAATCGCATTAAAGATTTTAAGAAAATGGGAGAAAGGAGTTGTACAAAAGATCGTTCGGAATCGTAATGGAAATCAAATTAGCGGCGTTCAAAATCAGAATTCGTAAGTATATATTTAACTTGTTTTTTTGTTTCACTTTGAAATTTTTGCGATAGAGAGAGTTAAGACAGAAGGAGAGAAAGAGTGAAGATATATCTCTGTGTTCGCTGATCTGTAATATATATCGTTTTTGAATTAACTGAACGAAACGAACGAAAAACATCGGGTATCAGAACAGAAATGGATTGCTATAGAGTATAGGTATATATATATATTTTGTATATATTATCCCGCTTTTGGACTGGACTGGTGGACTGGTTTATGTAGTCTGGAAGAACCTGCGTAGTTATAGTTATTCATCTTATAAAGTGCTTTCGAGATTAGAGTATACATATGTTTGGTATTATTTTGTTGTATTGGCTTTCAGATTTTCTTTTTTGTTTGTCTTTTTTTTTTTTGCAAAACGAATCAACCGAAAAGAAACCGAAAACGGAAACGTGACGAAACGTAATGGTTCTTCGAATAGGATTTTTTTTTTCGTTCACTGCGCAATTCGAAAGTCGTAATTCGCCTCCAACTCAAACGGAAATCACGAAAGAAAACGTAACCGAAAAGGCGAAAATCTAAGAGGATCGGAAGCCTCGATCTTCACCAAGCCTACTTACTTTTCCCCGGCTGGCCGCGTCCGCCCATCCCTGGCATCATGTTGTCCCGCGGCGGCGGCGGCGGACCCCTCGCTCCCGGCCCCTGGCCGCGTCCCCGCTGGCTAAGGCCACCCCTTCCTGCCACTCCGCCCGGCCCCATCTGGTTGCTGTACTGGTCGGGCGCGTCCGCCAGGAAGTTCGACGGCACCAAGCCGCGCACGCCGTCCAGCTCGCCCATGTAGAAACCGTCTTCATCCATATCACCGTAAACGAGTATGATTTCGCCCGTCTTGAAACACAATTCCACTTGCTGTAAGTTGAAAGAAGATTAGTTATTATCATTTAAACGTCTCTTAGACCAAAATAACTCATCTAGAAATGAATGTTTTCATTAAATTGTCAAAGAATAGAGGTAGGTTTGTATCAAGACTACTAATACATCCCAAGTTATTGGACTAAGCTAATTAAATGTTATGGGAAGAGCTTATCTTTACTACTTTAAGCCACTTTAATCTAATATTTTATAATGGTTCTAAAGCAATCCTGAAGTGATTAAGTCCCCAAAATATTTGCTTTCTTTCTTCATATCAAATATTACGTATACGCAGTGTTGCTTTAATAAATCTTTCGACAAGCTACTAGCTGTGGTGAGCCTGATAATTTTAATATCCCATCATGGCAAAAGGACTCACTTCACTGGACTCGGGTGCCAGGACACTCTGGCTGAAGCCAGGCACTAAGTTGCCAAAAAAGCCGCCCATAAGGCCACCCGCCTGACTTTGCCGACGCTAAGGGGGAAATCATAATAGGAAAACAACAAACTCAAGAGTTCTCAATTAATCAAACCTACCTCGGCATCCACATTGGGACTCAGCTCCTGGGGATCGTAGTCGTAGAGAGCGATCATCCGCTTCACCGGCATGTTGGCGTAAATGTCGCCCCATCGGTCGCGGCTTACATTCCGCATGCTCTGCTGAGGTGCACCCTGGCCGGGCATCACCTGGGCGGTGCCGCCGACTCCCATGCCTCCGGCCACGCCCCCGGCTCCAACCACGCCTGTGCCCTGGCCCATGCCCTGGTTCATGCCTTGGTTCATGCCTTGGTTCATTCCCTGGTTCATGCCCTGGTTCATGCCTTGATTCATGTTCTGACCCATGGGACCGGTCATCTGGCCGCCGGCCGTCATGTTTGCGGTCGTATCCTCGACCTCGGAGACCATGTTGTGCGGCACGTAGCCCCGGCGACCGCGCAGCTCGCCCCAGTAGAACCCATCTGCATCCTTGTCGCCGTACACCTGTTGCGGACAATAGGGGAAGTACCCGGATGGGGCATACATTAGTGCTGTATCCGGCAATGATCGGTCAGAGGTGATAACAAGTATATAGTATCTTGTATATGTTAAGTGTCTTGTGTCTCGAGTGCATAACGCTAACTTAACGAGATTATTTAGGGAACTATTAGAAGAGAGAACAACGGCTACATAGTGGGTATAGATAGAGTACGGTATGGATGAATGGGGAGGGACAACTGGAGGGTATCTCTGAGCTGAATCTGAGTCTGACGATGTGGTTCAGTGAGTCAGTTGTGAGGGCGAAGGAAAAACATGCACCGATTCTTCATTCAATTAGCGCGTAACAAGCAAGCGCAGCCAATTCTGGACATCGGATTCGATCGCATCCAATTGCCTCCAATAAATGCCGCCTTCGATTCGGGTTCCGGGTGAAAGCTGATCCCAACGATGTTTCTGCTGCTTCTGCCGAGGCTGGAAAGTGTCTTGGTGGTTCTGTGTGGACTGGGTGTGATTAGGGTGGGACCGGATCAGCGAGCTTACCTTGATCGTGTCGCCCTCTTGGAAGGGCAGTTCTTCGTCGCAGCCGTCGGGATTGGGACTCATCGTGGAGGGGTCGTAGTCGAACATGGCCACAAAGTAGCGTGGCTTTTTCTGGGCCCCGGGCATCTGCTGCTGCTGGCCGGGAATTTGCTGACCCGCCTGCTGTCCCGGCTGCTGGCCGGGCATCATCTGTCCCTGCTGGCCCATTTGCTGCTGCTGCTGCTGGTTGAGCGGTCCTCGTGGTCCCATCATCTGTTGACCCGGCATCTGTCCCGGCATTTGACCTGGCATTTGACCTGGCATTTGACCTGGCATCTGTCCTGACATCTGACCCGGCATCTGCTGGCCCTGCATGTTCATCTGGCCCGGAACTGGTCCCCGGAAGCGTGCTCCTCCCATTTGACCCTGCGGTCCGTACTGTTGCTGTTGCTGCTGTTGGTTCTGTGGTCCCTGCGGCCTGCCAGGAATCGGGACCATGCCCCTCTGGCCTCCTGGAGCTCCCGGTTGGTAGCCCTGAACGGCGCCGATCGACGGATTTTCGAATCAAATTTGAACGAGTTTGAATTTAAAATTTGAAATTTTGTTAGCGTTAGTTTTTGAACTCTTTTGTTTTGTTTTATTTTTTATTTTTGGGAGTTGCAGTTCTTAATTGGTACTCTGTTTTTCATTCACATTGTCTTTAGAGAGGTTCTCGTTAGAGGTTAGCAAAAGTGGCAAGAGGCGTCTGCGTTTAGCTGGTTTACATTGGCGCTTCACTTTAGTAGGAAAGCATTGTGTATGTACTATGTGTATGTGGAGTGTGTGTGTGTGTGTTAATGGAGCATTACGATCTAAATACGCACAGGAACTGAAAAGCAAAAATATCTATAGTTGATAGTCGAGTAAGTACGAGAAGCTAGACGAGTATGTACGAGGGGTTGTTGTTTGGGAAGTAAGAAAGCACGGATTCGAGTTCGGAGTATCTTTTGGGAGGATATTGTATCTGGGTATCTCTGTAGCGGTATCTTCTAGTGGTTTATGTGGGTGTTTACACATGTTCTATGCGATTTCAAAGTTATATATCGAGTATTTTACATAGATCAATTGGAGAGTAAACGAGTTGGAGTTAGAGGTAGAGTCACAGGTTTGAAGAGCTCTAAGATAAGTACGTCGATCCTTTTAGGTATTACCCGGCCTATGTTTTACGTTCTCGAGTAATCATGCATTCACTAGCCCCACCTTCCCGATAGCACCTACCTACCCTAGAGACAATAAACATTTGCTAACAAAACAAAACAAAGGATCTAACGAAACTCAAGGCAAACGAATACTCAAGGCTTGTAAATACTTAAATTGTTTCGCTTTTTCAATATACAAGATCAATTATTATTTAGGCATCGAGTTAGCTATTCTACCTAAGGATTGCTAGCCAACTAACTTAAGATCTAGCTAAATACTTGTACGCAAAGTGTTACGGATTTTACAGATACTTATATTATTATTGTGTGGTGTGTGTGGCGAGGTGTGTTAGTCGTGTGTGTGGCAATATGCGAGAGAGATGTTGTGGGTAAACTTACATTCTGGTTCACTTGATTCTGTGTGGGTTTCGAGAAGAGGCCACCGAGCAGGCCACCTAACAAGCCGGAGCCTCCGTCGGGCTGTTTAGCGTTCGGATTTGGATTCGTTTTCGGTATTCGGTTTTTGGTTTCATATAATGAAAATGAATATGTACTTGTTTTCGTTTAGAATTGTTCGTTGCATTGCGTATTCCTTAAGATAATTGTGGCGGCGGAGGTAACTCCGCTCCATACTTAATTTAAAAAACTCTATTTGTAAATCTGAACAACTCAACATAGTTCAATATATTAGATTGATTTATCATTATTATTATTTCGGTAGTTGCTGCTGCAGTTCAAGACATGCTAATGTGTGAACTATACTCAAAACAACTAAAAACCCAAGAACCGAGGGAAATGATAAGATTCTAGCACAAGTTGCATGGCATATATCTGGCATATATGTATATATATATCTCGTTGACAAAACCGAAGAAGAAGGTAAGAAATTATTGAAAAGTAAAATAAAAATCAGGAGTAAGTAACTTTACATACATACAAGTTCTTTTTTGGGTGGGAGAAGGACTCAATTCAATTGCTTGGTTCTTATAACAAAGACCTGAGGAGTTCGCAGTTCTTTGACATGTGGATTTGACTTTTGTGTGAATTTTGTGCGATTGTTTCAATCATTTCTCTTTGTGTATGTATATAATTTATATAGTAGGTTCATTTGCAAAACATATCGACCGAAAGAAGAGGGAAAGTATTCAAAAATAAGAGCAGTCCAAAAAAGAGAGAAAGAGAGAACGTGTGTAGTAACAAAGACAATATAAAAAATAAGATGCGTAACGCTCATACATTTGGTATTCCGAATGCAGGCAATATTTAGGCGTTAAGCATCTTGTTATTTATATTCCCTTTAGTTGTAAGGAGAGGTAAATGTTAAAAATAAGAAACTCTTAAGGAGAGATATAGAACTGGAGAGACTTCGAAGGAAACGATGCAATGGGAAAGTTATATATATGAGGGACCGTGATTTCGGGTTTTCTGATTCAATCGTTGTGTCTGAGGGTGCGCGGGTTTACAAGCAGAGTTGGGTAGAATTTCTTTACATTTTCCGTTGGGTGAGTGGACAGTGTGATCGGGCGGATATGTTGGACTTGTCTACGGGAAACATAACTTATGTACATTCTTCGATAGAGAGTGAATGTCGGCTTCAAAGTTTTGAATATATAAAACAAACGGAATTTAGAGGAGTTCTCAAACCAATTGCATAGAAATAATAAAACGAACATTATTTACAGTGTTCACGCGGTCGGCGGCATCCCTCAAGGAGTCGCACCTTCGCCGGCCACTCACCTGGTGACCCGGTTGACCGGGCTGCGGCTGCATGCCCTGCTGCTGCATCTGGTTGGGATCGTATTGCCCATGCTGGTCCTGCTGCCCCATCATGTGTTGACCCTGCTGCTGGCCCTGCATCCCCGGCATTCCCGGCATACCCGGCTGACCGGGCATGCCGCCCATCTGCTGTTGCACCTGGCCCTGCATCCCGTGCGGACCCTGCGGCAGCTGCGGCCCCATGCCCATCTGATTTGGTCCCCGGCGGGCGATACTGTTGCGCACAGTATCTGCGGAAAATATCGAGAGATAATTACAATAAATATTAGTTATTTAAATACAGACACTCACTTGGTATCAAGATGGGCGCACTGTCGGCCGACTGGGAGTCGCGGGACTTGGTGCGGATGGTGACGGCGCGCGGATTGAAGACGCCCAGCTTGCCGATGTCGATGAGGGCGTGGTCACCGGTGGGCGAGTTGATATCGGTGACCTTCTTGCCATCGGCGTACACAGCATAGCCGGTTACTGGCCCCGTCGAGGTGGGCCTGTTAACCGGCTGCCATGTCACCAGAATGGTGCCGTCCTGCGGCCCGGCCTCCAGCTGGATCTCCTGCGGCGGATCGGGCAGACCCTTTGTGAGAGTACGGAAGTCGGCATAGGCCCCGGGCGCCTCCTCCTGACCGGGCCTGCCCGGCGTCTGTCCCACGTTGGCCGCGTGCTGGCCGACGGCCCGCAGGCTTGGCGCGCACGGTCACCCGGTATTGGGTGCTCGGCGCCAAGCCCGTGATCGTGTGCCTGTACATGCCCGGCTTGACGGTGCGCACCTCCACATTGTTCACACACACCACGTGCTGGTGGTTGGAGTTGGCCGGCAGCCAAGAGATGACCGCCGAGGAACACGTTATGTGCGAGGCGCGCACCGCCGAGGGGCCCAAGTGCGAGGTGTCCCGCCCAATGATCATGGTGCAGGCGGCATCCCTCGAGGTCTGCCGGTTCTGGGTTACGCTCCGCACGCTTATGCGATGCGGCTGCAGGTAATGAGAGAAAAATTAGTTAGTTCTTCACAATAAGGACTATTTGCAGGGAGAAGACATCTGTTTAAATCAAGAATAAGTATGCCGGATTCACACTGACGGGTGTCCAGGTGTTCTTCTTAAATTTTGCATGTCTTGAGTTGTTTTTAATTTAGTTGTTATCTTAAGATCAATCGGTTGATTTCGTAAAAACATTCATTTTTAATGAAACGTAAAAGAAAGTTATAATATTTAAATGTTTATGTTATTTCAATTGTTTGCAGTTGTCATTAAAAGATGTTTGAAAAACATTATTGGATTTGTTTTTAGCATACATAGGTAGGTGACCCATTTCGTGATGTTTTACTCTGTAAACACTTAATGGAAGTAAAAACTAATACAGATAGACCAATCAATCTTTAAGAAATTGTTCTTTTGTTTAAGTTCTTAAAATAGTGATTATAAGTATAGATTTAGTTAAGAGTGAGAATTGAAGTGAGACATATACTTTTTTAGTTGAAGATAGTCAAAAAATATAAAAAATGTATTTTAATAGATTATTCACATATAAATATGTTAGACAATAAAAATGGGACATATAATACTTGAAATTAACATGCAAACACGTAAGAAGATATGGGACTTTGTATGGAAATCAGAATAAATCATCTTGAAACAAGACACAGCGACCTTGTTCAAAGATGGTTCATTCCCAGCCAGGTGATCTTAGATCTTGGGGCTCTTTTCTTGATTTTAAAAAGGACAATTCTCTGGTGCATTGGAGACGCATCTCACCCGCGTGGAATCCACGCCCTCGATTAGTGCGCGTGTGCGTTCGTTGGCCTTCACGGTGACCTTGAGCACGCCGTCCACGTAGACGTGGTAGCTGTCGATGAGGTTGTAGCCCACTGGCTCCGGCGGCGACCAGCCAATGAGCACGCTCTTGTTCAGCTGCCGTTCCAGCGTCAAGTGCTTGGGTGCTGGAACTGCGGGGAGGAGCAAGAAGTGTGTCATTAGCCAGCTGAGTAATCCCTGGAAAACGGATCTGGACGCTGTGCATCTCGCTAGCACTAGCACGAGTCTACACACACTAAGCGGAAACACGAACGGGGGTCTAAGTCTACGTTGTGTGAATTATATATTTGCTCACATTCATGCCATGCACGGCGACGCGTTCGAGGATCGCCACAAAAATCAAAAGATTAAACATGAAAAGCGGCCTCATGGCTAGCATAGTTACCGTTGTCGCTGATGTCGTCCTGGTCGTGCTCCAGATCGGTGTGCGTCTCACTCAAACGTGCCAGGTCCTCGTGGGTGTGTGTGAGCAATGGGTTGTGCGGCGGCAAGGAGGGCAGCGACGTGGTGTCGCACTGCATCGACCCGTCCTCGGCGTCACGCAGCGTCGACAGCACCGCCTGGTGGAACTCCAACAGGTCGTCGCCTAGCAAATACGGCAAAGAAGGGGAATAGCAGTTAGCTTAGACTCTGGGAAAAAATTGCCCATGACACTCACCCACTAATCGCTGGACAAAGGAGGCGGGCACCAGGCCACGACGTCCGTCCAGCAGCTCTGCGTCCAAGTAGCCGCCCTGAGGCTCTCCGCTGGTCCACACCAGCAGATAGTCGCCGGCACACAGGGAGAGCTCGCCCTCAGCCTCCCTGCAAGGCATGGAAAGGAATTCATTATGAGCTCTGAAAATTAACAATTGGCGTAAATCGACGTATTCTGAATGTGTGATGAGAATGAGGATCCTACAATCGTTGCCAAGATTATTTAGAAGGGAAATTCTTAAGTTATTGAATAGCTTCTATTTAACTTCGCTTCTATTACTACAAATATAGCGTATACGACACGTGGTCTTCTTGTATTCAAAATCTCTGCAAGTGCTTTTATTGTTACTATTTACTTTTAATTAGTTAAAACAGAGGACTAGGGAATATCTTCCATTATACGCGGACATAACGTATACAACACGTTGACCAACGAATCTCAGGTATAAAAAATGTCTGCATACTTCTAGGCGCGGTCGTTATTGTATATGAAATAATAAGTCATCGAAGATAACATATATTTTCTTTTTAAATCTGGACTATATTTTTATAAAACGATATTTCTTTCCAAAGCAAAATATATATTTTATTAGTACAGGTTTATATATTATTATTATTTTTAAATGAATGAATTTATGGTGAGATGACAATGATTGATGATTGTTTGTTATACCAAAGATTTTGGTAGGTTTTAACGTAACCCTTTTCCAAAATATTTATAAATAAAAAAAATGCAAACTTACTCTGGAGGATCATAAGGAAAGCGAGCTATGAACACACAGCAGCGGCCCTTTCCTGGTATATCTAGCATGTCCACCTGCGGTTCGCTGGCTCCGTTCAAGCCATGATTGCGGGCTGATGGGATTACAATAAAGTAGTTAGTATAACCTCAATGAGATATCTCTAATCAAATCAACTACTCACTGTCCAGATCGAGGGCACCCAGTGCCAGACCGCCGCGGTTGTGCATCATCGATACGCTGAGGCCATCGGTAAACTCGTCCAATCCCCAGTTGCTGGGAGGGATCGGTGAGCAGGGCGAGCTGCGGTTGTAACGCGTCAACGGTATATCGATCTCGTCCAGCATCTTCATCTTCGAGGCCTGTCGCAAAGCGGCAGCCGTAAATGGATACGATGCACTGGAGGCGACGTCCAGGAAGGGCGGCGGTCCATAGGAGCTACCCAGCGCGCCGGCCGCTCCGCCGCTCAGGCCGTATAGCGAGGTGGCGCCCGTTATGCCGCCGGCACCAGGTCCGGCGCCCAGACCGGCCAAGCCGGTGGCACCCAGTAGGGTGCCGGTATCCAGCAGGCCCAGGTTGGCCATCGAGGGATGCGTCAGCGAGGAGCCGCCGGCGCCCAGGGCCGAGTAGCTGCTCGAGCCGGCGGGCGGCAGGTTATGCGAGTTGAGTGACAGGAGGGGCATGGTTGTGCTCTGCAAATTGTACAGTTGTATTGTTCCGCGCTTCTCGTTTCGATTTCGATTCGAATTCATTTCGATTTTGGTTTTTGGATTCGACGTGTGTGGTTTGTGTGTTCAATTTGGAATTTTCATTGTTTTTTGATAATATAGATTTTTTTTAATTTACAGGTGTGTTTATTGTGGTTGTTGTTGTTGGTTTTGTACAGGTGTAATTACACAAACACGGGATCAGACACACACACACACGGATACGGATGCAGACATACATATAGATCGATAACAAGGATTAATTGACATTTTACAGTTTGCGTCAATCGCAATCGGTGGAAAAGAAAGCGAGTCATCGTCGATAAAGAGAGAGAAAGAAAGGGAAGACAGAGAAAGAGCACATAAAACGGAAAGAGAGATCACAGATACACGTTTTTATTCGGCTGCTGCGAGCATCGATCGCGTCTAGAGAACATCCTTAAAATGATCTATGGTCTACGCATGATCTGAACTGAATTGAACTGAACGTGTTGAGCATGAGTTTCTGCAATGATCTGAAGCCGTTTCCAAGCGGGATTATGTGTGATTTGTGGCTGGCATCCAATCCATCAATCACCATCGAAAACGTCAATTAACAAGTAACGTAACAGCCTTCAAAAATGCAACTCTTTCAAACGATATACAAGTATGTATGCGAGGTATAAATGATGGTTAAAGAGTGAAAACTTTTTAGTTAGTGACAAACTTGGCTCAGTTGCTCACTCAATTGGTCAGTTGCTTTTACTTGTTCTTTTGGTCATTTGTAGACTTTATCATTGAAAAATTAAGCAACTGAACAACTGAACAGATGTGAACAACTATAGTGAACATGTTTACTTATTCACTGAAGTGAAAAATAGTTTATTATTTTGTCTGTATATGTCGCAAACGCATGAGTATGTGTGTACACTCAGATAAATATTAACTGAACTTTTATAAATATTTCATATATATAATAATATTTAAATGTAGACTTTAAATTTATTATATTTTTTTTTTTTATTTAATAATCATTGAACAAAAGGCCTTTCTTAGGTAATCAAAATTTACAACATAACAGATTTATAATTTTAAAAATTATTTAATCCTTTTAATAAGAAATTTCCTCTAAAGCCCAACAAATATTTTCTGAGCGTTGGTAATAGTTCTAAATTGAGTTTGCTTTGAATTTCATGAAAAATGATATATTTATTAATGTGGATTAAATGGGCGATATACATATCAAGGAGATTCTAAGTCTGATTCTTATACAGGTGATTAAGAAGAGAATTTGATGAAGTTTTCAATGAAACATGCTGCGAAAGCGATATAAATGATGCTACTTCAATGTCAACAGGCAACTGGAAATTAGGTACAAGTATTCACAACGATCTACTCTCTGAAATGGGTGTATGTTTGTGATTCGGTGGGTGTTTGTTGTACGTGGTGTGTGTGTGTGTGTGTGAATGCTTATTTTCAACAGTAATGAGACTACAACAGAACGCAATGCGGCCAGCGATCAGCGAACGAAAGCAGATGATCGCTATGGACACTATATAGAACAGTAAGTAAACGGATCGTAATCCTAATCGTAATTGCAATCGTAATATACATTATGCAAAGCTGCAAAGCTATAATAATGGCGGTGGCGTGGCGTGGGCCCAGCCGCTGTTGTTGGTAGTTCATTGCGATCGAAAATAGTTGGTTTACCTGACTTAATGCCGTCGGCATAGCCTTCATCGTGTGAATATTTACCGGCAGGGGTGGAATGCCAGTGATTCCACTCGTTCCGCTCAGCAGCTTCTCCACGGACGTCTGCCCGGCGCCATATTGCATTGATTGGATGGCATGGCTGCTCAGGCTCGAGGATATGCCGCTGATTGAGTTGGGCACCAGGGCCGATATGGATGTGAGGTGCCCGCCATGTCCCCCATGATGTCCGCTATGTCCGCCGTGCCCGCCATGCCCTCCGTGTCCGCCATGTCCGCCGCCACCGCCCACTCCTCCTCCAGCGGCGGCGGCGGCAACGGCAGCAGCGGTGGCCACGCTCTGCGAGCCAACGCTGGCGCCGCTCAAGCTGGTGCTGGCCCCGCCATTGGCCATCGTAGAGGCCAGCGATTGTGGAAGGCTTGAGTAGCCAGAGGACATGGCTGACATGGCACCTCCGCCGCCGCCACCGCTGCCTCCTAGCACAGCCCGTTTGTAACGGTTCAGTTCTTCTTCGAGTTCTGAAAGCGAGACCCGTTCATGCTCCGTCCGTGACTGGGGCTCTCCGGCGTAGCTTCCTCGGTACTCACCACTCTTTGATATGGTTCTAAATTCGCTATTTACCGTGCTCAACATGGAACTGGGCGGCAACGCTGACATGCTGGCGCTGGCCGAGGTGCGGGGCTGCTCCAACTCGGCCAGCACGCGATTATCCTGCAAGTGAAGAGAAAAGGCATTACTCAATAAATTGGGTACATCACAATAGCTCTAGGTAATCACTTTAAATATAAATATATAAAAATATAAGATTCCTTTTGAAGCCTTTCCTTATTATAAAAAAAAGACAAATCTGTCAAATGGTAATAGATTTGTTCCCTCATTTATTAGTGCTCGGTTCGTATCCCAACCTGACCAGGCATTAATTTTCTCTAGAAAAAGTTCTAAATTCAACGTAAGCGCTCCTAACAAACGCTCCTGAGCGTTTTGTAAGAATGAACCGTCTGATGAACACTGGACCCGAGGGCAGGCTGATCCGTAAGGCCAGGGGCTTGGCCTGTAGCTTGGACGATCTTATAGACAAGGCTGATGCGCTACTTCTGGAGGCTAAGAACGCGGACGAGGACATGATGAACTGCTACAATTTCCGCGACGAGAACCTGATGAAGCACCTGTCGGAGCACAATACCGACGAAGTGCAGATGCAGCTGTTGCGCGACAACGCTGAACTGAAGGCCACTGCCGAAGAGTTCCGTAGTGGCACCGAGCACATCATGGCCAAGTATCGGGAGCACTGCGATGGCGACATGTTCATTGACACCTACCATCTGCGGGAGCAGTATATGGCCGGCCTGGCGGGTATCGTTCAGCATCAGAACGAGCGCATCGAGCAGATGGCGGAAGTTATGAAAATGATTGTTGACCTGGAGGATCGTGCCTCTGACGGCAACCAGCAGGTTATTCGCCAGCTGTCAGTGGAGAACGAGCAGATGCGCCGCCAGCTGCAGATCAACTGCGGAGACCCGCTTTTTCGCCAGGGATCCCTCGGCTCCAGCGAGAGCAGCACCCAGTTCGAGCTGAGCCTGTCTTCCGACCCAGACGCCTCCGGGGCAAGCAGCCTGGACAGCTTGGAAAGTTTCATCTCTTGCCTCTCGACAACGGCCAATGGCGAACTGGATTCCGACAACTCCTCCGGACGATCAGAAGTGAGCCAGCTGGAGGTCAGCCGCCTTATCGATGAGGCTCTAGCCGAGAGCTTCACGGAGCCATCGTCCAGTCAGGCCGAGTAGAGAAACCAAACAGGACTTGATCCTGTTACAACACGGATTTTTCAACACTGATTCTACAACACTTATCTTGCAACTTCACTATCATTTTGTAATACAATTCGAAAAGGTTATAACTCGGGATGGCGATCCGTTTCTCCCTTAGCTGCACAAGGGGAGTCCAACGTATTCCCATCCCGAAATGTAACTTTTTCGAATATGTACTAACAGTATTTAACAACTTTTATCTACATAGATGATTAATTATTCGCTGAGACATTTTTTTGCTGTTTGTAACACCTTTTTACTCTAGTTAATTGCTTCATAAAGTTTTACACCCACGTTTCTGTGTTTGTTTTGCTTTTTTTAACTAACCAATTTAATAATATTGTACAAAAAAGTTAAAAGTTACAGCTTCTTACCTGCTCTATCTTTGCCATTATGATATCAATCTCGGAGCCTTGGTCCTGGTGACTGATTGTCGGTGCCCAAGTGACGGTGGATCCGCTGGCCGATGTGGGAATAGTTGCGCCGGCGCCAGTCGCTCCACTGGCGGCCATTCCGGTGTGACCACCAGAAGACACCGAGCGCGCCGCCTTGGCCTTCAGTGCCGAGGTCAGTTCAATTTGCAGCTCCTCGCAGCGCACATTTTCCAGCGCAACCTAAAACAAGGCAAGGATAAGTGGGATGCAGGAATAACCGCAGTGCTTTGATGCCACCTACCTTCTTCTCCAGTTCCCGGGCTCTCGACTGCAGATTCTCCACCGCCTCGGCATCGGGACGTGCGCTTCCGCTTAGATTGCGTATTTGTGCCAGGGTTTCCTGAGAAAGAGAATTAAGAATAAGAAAATTTTCGAAATTTTAAAATGATGCAAGTAGGTTCCCACACTCACCTGATGCGCCCGTTCGATCTCTGTGCGTCGCATCTCCGCATCGCGCAGCTGCAGACTGAGGGAGTCCAGCATTCCGTTGGGGGCGCTGCCAGCGGCCACGGCAGCGGCCGCCGACTGATGATGGTGCATCGACTCGTACGGCATGCTGTGGTGGCTGCCCCTTGGACGACTGCAATGAAGGGAGACAAAAAGGATAATCGCACATCAGAAGGGGGCTCGCAACGCACATAAATCTTTGGCAACTCGAGTTGGGCTCAAGTGGAGCCAACTCCGCTTGGCTCCTAAAAATAGTTATTGCTTTTATTATCCTCGCACTCCGTCCGGACCTCTTCTTATTTATTCATGGGCCTGGCGACTGTGGAAATAGGTCAGCTGTCGGGCTTCTGGCCACCAGCGGCACGGCACAGCACGCACGTGTCGCTCGAGGCGGGTCAGTGCGGTGTGGCGAACTTTGAACTTTGGGTTAATTGCCAGCCTGACCGTATTTATCCATGTCCATGCACAGCCTACGACGTTGAGATTGGCCTGGCTGCTACACATTTGAATATCTCTCGCTGGCAGCTATGCAATCTCTCTTAGAGGCTACCGTGACTGCCCATTGCTGGAAGCTTTGTCAGCAGTTTAATTAAGGTGCTTAGTTCAATCAATGCTGATAAACTATTACCTAATAATTGCCTAAGAGCAGTATGGAATAAACACATGTATACTATTAAGCGCTTCAATTGAAAATGAACTAAGCGTTACGCATACGCCACATTACGCATACGCTGAGACAAGGGAAGGCGCCTCTTTGTCTAGACGGCGGCAAAGACAGATGCACCCTCATATTTATCAGTATTGATTCATCCGGAATCAACGGATTCCCTTTTTCACTTCTTTTTTCCAAACGAAACTTTAATGCAGGATATACCAAACATGAATTCAATTTAGCGGAGCCTGCGCCACATCGATAAATGCTTATTAATACATCAAAGCTTCCAGTCACCCACTGCACCACCCACTGCACCGCCTACTCCATCGCCACCCACTCGATGGGCCGTCAATGCCAGTGCTTATGTGGACCGTTGACATTTAAAAGCTATGACAGGGTTTATCCTGTGCCAATGATGATGCTGCTGCTGCTCCTGATGCTGTTGATGTTGCTTACTGTTGTGGTGAAGACCCGCCCCTAAATGGGCGATTGCATGACAACATCTGGCCGGAGCCAGGCGGAAGTCTTTGGCATTTTGCAAAACGCCCTTCTGGTTCTGCCCACTGCACAATTTTTATTGGAAACTTCAAAACGGTGAGTGAGTACCTTGTAATGGTTGTAAAAACCAGAAGGTGAGCTGGCTGAGATCATAAAGTTTGAAAGAACTCAGTGCATAAGCTTGATTTATAAACAATTTTTATAATTAAATTGCTTCAATTTAAAGAGACATTTGAGCTCTCGTTGTCTTAAATAATTTTTAACTAATATCCCTTAATATATAACATCACAAGTTATGGAGAAGAAATAACTGTTGTAACTGCCGCCAATGTAATTCTACAAAATCTAATGTTATTTCTCAACAAGTTAAACCACTTTCACTGCGTGTTTCCAGGTAGGCGCCAGTAATCAGGGTAATTAACTCATTAATTGCGCGATTTCTTGCGTTTCACTTATTGCCCATTGCTCTATACTACACTTTATATGTAAATCGTAAATGTTAAGTACACACTGACACAACTGCAGTGCAGCTCGGCTAGGCTGTGAATGTGAGTGGGAAATGGAAAATGGGAAATGCCAAGTGAGAAAGGCGAAAGGCGATGGCAAAAGCACAGCCACTAGTTGCTGTTATGCACAGTTTGGGTGTATGTGTGAGGGTTACAACTGCAACAACAACAAGAATAATAACAACGCTAAGCACGTTCGCCCTACTACTGTTACTGTTACTTTGCCGCTGTTAATGGCTTCCAGCTTTTATGTGGGCGACAGAGACAGCAGTCCGGGACTGTGCGAGAGAGTCGGTTATACGGTGGCCTGTGAGCGAGTCAGAGAGAAAATGTCCCTTTTTCAGAGAGGGAGAGACCTAGAGAATGCTAGAATTGGCGCATGTGCAAGGACTTCCGAAAGTTAACAGAGCCTGGCACTGTAAAGCCTTGCTGTAATGTTGGCTAACGGCAAATGTGCCAATGTTTGCTGTGTGTGCGCGTGTGGGTGTGCGTGTGTGGGTGTACATGTGGGCCGCAGGATTTTTTAATTATGATGAAGCGCATTGCAAGCATTTCGCAATTGAAGTAGATGTGGGCGAAAGGCCTTTGTTGTTGATGTGAGTTGTGAAAGTACACAGAAAACGAAGCACAAAGGTAACTTTAAGACTTAATAAACATAAGCTTCAATTTGGGTATAACCTAACCTTCTAACGGCTTATTAAACGAAAGTCATTGCTCCCTTAATCATTTAAAGTCATAATTCTTAAGAACTGTTGTATAAAATAATCAAAAACTTCTTGAGTCTAATTTAATGATTACATAAAATGGAAGTTTAATTTGGTTTTCTTTTTTGTCGGTAAATTAATCAGGTAAAAGGCACTGTAAAGCGAAAATGGTTAAGTTGGCCACAAGTCTCCCAGTTAGTCTTCTTGATTAGCTGACAATTCATTTCGAAAACTTAAAAAACGAAAACAATAAAGCAATAAATTTTTACAATTAAAAAACACGTATGAATGAACAATTTCATATTTAATTTTAAATTTATAATACGATTGCATGAGCTTCTTCAGAGTTTTCCCCCAGTGCACATATGCGGCAGTGCTTTTCTTATATTCGCTGTGTCCTTTGTCCGGCAGTTGCCTTAGATTGCTATCCGGCCGCTGTCATTTCCTTGTTTGTCTTTAAACACAACAGCAGCCATAGCCACTTGCCGTTCCCACTCCCGCTCCCTCTACCGTTCATCCTGTCCTGTCCTGGCTTAAGCCTCCGTTGCCCAACCATAGCTAGTGTCTGTCTGTGCCTGTCGGTGACTATTTTCAGCGCCCCACTGCTTGCCGCACACTTTCGGGGGCTTGAGCAGTGCTTGGCACCATTTATCTCCACACACATATTCCGCACCCGCATACATACCCCCAAGACATGCACGCATACAGCAAAAGGAGCCTACGTCACGGGCGACTTGTTTGCCAGCCTCTCAAACACGGTGGAAAAATGTTATAGCAACCGTCAATTAATTACGCTTCGGTCGAAGGTCTCCCTTGTCAAACCATTAATATGCCAGACGAATGAAATTTGATTATCCAAATGTCCTTTAATTGGGATCATTATTTACAATATTTGATTAAAAACGAAATTCTTTTTAAATTCTTCAGATTATTAAAAAATGGATATCGGAGACACATGCAAAGTTCATGAAATGAACAATTATCTTGGTATTTTACTTCGAAAAACTTGTTCCTTATTTAAAAATTAAAATTTAAATAAAATAATGCAAAATATCCGTTTTCTGAGTGTCACCAAAAACTAAACATAATCTTGCCTCTACATATGAATTTTTTTGTTAATGTATATAACTCCTTCTGATTTACAATTAAACATTTAACGCAGTCTCAGTGCGTACTTCTAGGAAGAGGACACATCGACGTCTGTCTTCGCTGTGCGGCGGCTTGAAATTTTAATGAGTTCTTAAAGCGCAGATTAGCCTGAGCCGTAGAATGTGCACCAGGCAACCAGCCTCTCAGGAGGCCCACCAGTTCCATGAAACCACCAGAAACTGGGTTGCGGCCTGGCGCTGCTTTACACTCTATTAACCCACATTTTGGCCAAAGTCGTTGCGGCCATCGGAGTAAATTAAATGGAAAATTCCCATTCATTCTGGCCGGAGCCACGTTATCTAACAGGGAGATGGATAGGGGGAGGAGGCGTCACCTCGATATCTTCATTTCAGCACAACGTGGCGTATGCGTAACCGTATTTCAATATATATACAAGTGCCAGGCCACATAGTGAAATATATAAAAAGTCGTAATTAAAACAATATTCTGTAACTTTCGGTGGTTAAAATAATCTGGAAAGAAGTAAGAGGAGACGGTATGACGGAGTCCCTCCAAACTTTTGGTGGCAAAACAAACTACGGCAAACTAATTTAAAAACTTTGTAGCTTTTTTTCTTTCGTTTTTGGCGCTTCAACTTTAATTTACTCCAAAATAAAGTTGCCACAGAAGCGGGAAAAGACCAAAACAGAAAAGTTGAGACTGAAAAATGGCAATTTCCAAGCTGGTGTCCAATGTTGACTGAATGGCTGGCAGGGAAAAGCAATTAATTAGCATATGGCGCCTGTTGAAAAATGGAAAAATAGCCAGTTCGAAGCGAATGTTTACTGCATACTTCCCGGCAAAGATCAGGGAATGTTTAAAAGCCCATTTCCCTGTGATGGCCTAATGAGCTGACGCTCAATTAATTGAATGCTCACACACTTGACACAAGCACATTACCATGAAGTGCTCCTAATTGCGGCAATTACAGCCTAGCCTGATGGCATTGCCAACAATTACATGCATAAATAGTTCAAGTGCTCGAGCCCCGAGTTCTAAAAACAAAACGCGCACTGGAAACCGGAGCAGAAACTTTTTAAAGTCAAGCAATTACATTTAAGATGTTGGAAAAGTTCATTATCCTGCTGATGGTTTGACCTCAATCGCAGAGCCAAGGAAAAAGCGGAACCAGAACACGAGCACAAAAACTATCTCGCCTATTTATAGTTATAGCGACACACACACACAGAGAAACAGGCAGGGGCACACGAATTTCGTCGCTTCTGGCGCACAAAATACTATAGAAAAATCGTAGCATAGTTATGGGGAGCATGGTGATGGAGGATGGTGGCAAAATGGTGCTTCCCTGCCTGCGGAAATCTCATGCGGCCACTCAACCATGGTCGCAGCTTGGCTGGCAGCCCAGCATATAAATTATTGAATGATTGCCAGATGTCAAAATTGGCCAACGACGACGATTAATCCTGCGCGAAACTGAAACTAAATTGTATTGGTTTTTTCTTTTCAATAAAAAGAGAATCGCCTTTCGTGACATTTTTTCCAAGTTTTTAGCAAACAAGAATTACAAAGACAAAAATGTAATGTAACTTATCCTTTCAAAGTTTTAACAAAATCACGCATACGACACGTGGGTCCGGTTGTTTTGCTTAGCTCTTGTTGACTACAACAACTCCTGTAGGTTAAATCAGTGTTAAGTAAAAGTTATTAGGATCTTTCGCAGCTAAATCATTTCATAAAACACAGAAAATATTTGCATGTGGCTGAATAAGCTACATTATCGTTATCGATTGGGTTAGCTCTGAGCGCGTGACTTTAGATCATTGCTGAAAGCATTCCAATAAATACATAAATATAAAAAAAAAAAAACGAAATAAAAAGAATTGAAATCGTATCTTTGTATCTTTGATTTTATGTAAGCATTAATGCTTTAAATTTAATGTTTCAAAACAATAGGAAAGCTTAACCCTTGCATCTTTGAAAGATAATTTTTGACAAGAACAAAGGACTATATCCGCTAATTCCAATACGAAAACTTGTGTAAAAATGTATATCATATTAGTTTTTGAACACATTTGCTTAAAACTCGTAAAAATGTAGATTTTTACACGTCGATCAGGAGAAAAAATTCTAAACTCCAAGGGTATACAAACTACTGCTCTTCAAAACTGATGTATGTATAAATAGCTTCCTTTCTGGTTATCGATCGTCGTTGTCCTGAGTGAGTACCCTGGCTTCCGGCGCGTGACTTTAGATCATTGCAGCGGAAACTGAGAGCAGCGCCCATAAATATAAACAGAGTGCGTGGGAAGGGGGACAACAACAAAGAGCCGAAATAAAACGTCAACGGGATTCAATCAGTGGCAGAAGGGGGAAATTTCTGATACTTGAGGGGGCCACGAGGCTGTTAGGCCCAAGTTTACGGGCAACATTTACACCTACACCTACTCCGAAGCGGGCCGGAGAAGAGGAAGGTAAGCTGCGGGTGTGTGTATGTAATACATATCCGTGTTACGCACGCAGCAGCAAACAACTTTAACACTGTTGTTGCGCAGGCTGAGGCAAGTGTCAAAACCGCCCCCAGAGCCTAAAGTGGGACTTTTCGTTTGCCGTTACTGCTGCGGCCGCTCCTGCCTCTTCTTCTCGCTCTGCTGCTGCTGCTGCTGCTGGAAGCTTATGAATATGAAACGTTCACATACACACACATGCGACACATGCTTCTGCTCCTGCCGTTATGGCATTTGCATTGGTAGTCGTGCTCTGCTCCAGTTTCGCTGGCCATTTACATCTACTTACTTGCCTCTCGCTCTTTGCCTTTCTCTCTCTATATCTTGCTCTCGCTCTCTCTGTGTGTGGGTGGGTATGTGTGTGTGCGCGCCGTTTTTCGCTAAGCTGCACTTTGACTTGATTTACTTAGCTTTTCGTATGTTTTATATTATTTATATTAAGCACCATTTTTCGTTTTCATTCAACGTTTCGATCACACTGGTTTTCCTGAGAAATTACTCGCATTTGCATATTGTATGATTGTACATTTCCATACACATGTATGTATGTATGAATGTACATGCCCCTGTGTGCGTGCGTGTATTGGAGAGTGTAATTTTACGTTGCCTGCTCTTTTTTTTTTTCTTACACTTTTACTTTTCACTGCCCCACCATTTTCCGGAATGCGACTATTTTCCGCACTCAGCAGCACTTGGCCTTTTCACTGCACTCGCGATTTTCATTATCGGTTTCATCGAACTAAATGAAAATTTTCACGCAGCAGCAAAAACATTTGGTGTAGAGCGAAATTTTCGTTAGCTCGCTGCTCGCTCGCATAACGGTTCTTTTTTTTCGGGAGCAGTGCGAAAAAAGTTTCTGCCCCCCGATTTATACACTTTTTCTCTTAGATGTCGATTTTGGTTTCATTTTCATTTTCTTTTTCGATATTTTCTTTTTGGTTTTAACACATTCAAGCACTTGTATTTATTTTTATTTATTTTTGATGGGTTAACAACGGGATGCGAACCTTTTTTGCTGCTTGTGCTTCTTGCTCGCTGCTGCTGCTGGTAGTGCTGCTTTTTCAGGTCGCCTGTTTTCCTCTTCCACGTTTGCGCTGGGAAATTCACATAAATGCATAGAGTTTACACTAGGCTACGAGTTGTACATAATATCCGAAAATGCGATTAGACTAATAGCACAGCGCGATCTCCGTTTTGGCAGCTACTAATATAGAAAAAAACTATGCCTAGATGGCCACTTTTTGTGGGTAGCAGTTGGCTTTCAGTGCGAAAACCAAAAAGTGGGTCATCTCGGTCGCGCTGCTCGGCTGGTTTGTACTCTGATTTCTGCCCAACTGCCTGCCTGGTCCGTGCTCAGTGTGCCAGAGTGGCCCAGTGCCCAGTGCCAGTGCCAGCAGTGCCCAGAGTACGGGGAATCGATTTTTCTTCTGTCAAATGACACTGAAAAACGGGCAATTTTCTCCCGCTTTGGTACGCTCTTTTGGGGTTGAAAGTGTACAAGTTGCTCTTACCTTTACTATCACTGTTGTTGCTGCTGCTGCTGTTGGCGGTTAACACTGGCCAGCCCTGTTAACCTTTTACAGGGAGAACTCCTCAGATTTAATGAGTTGTTGAAGGAATCTCTAGGGATTTATCCTTAAAAGTCAAGTTCTGGTTTATGTATGTATGAAATGGTTTATTTATACCCACCAAGAAATCGGGAATGGAACATATTATGGGTTTATGTTGATGTTGTATCCCAACTATCCCAATGTGAAATCATTGCCTACTTTTTAGAGTTGTTGAAGAGATTAATTGAGGGCCATATTTAAGTTTTACATTTACATATTTAATAAAAGCGTAAAATAAACCCTTGATTTATTTTAGCCAGACCTTATCTCGTTCCCTGTATTTTCTCCATGATAATGATAATAAGCATTAAAATAAGGGAAAGACATTTGTTCAGTTTGGAATATAAATACATTTATTTGTCGTTTTTGTTTTCGCTATGACTACATTATGAGTTGTTCCTCCATTTTTTTTTTTTTTTTGCGTTTGTTTTTCATGTAACATTTTTTAAATAAAATAATTTCTTTATCCATCCTGTTGATAGTGCTGTCGGCTACTAATGTCTTTCGCATCCGCATTTTCAAATCGAACATATCATTAAGTAAATGATTATTATGTATAGTTCATTTTTGTATTTTCAAACTCTAACAATTAAAAACAGTTAAAAATTCAAGTGTCTTCCGTTTTCTCCCTTTTGTTTTTTTGTTTCCTTTTTTTGTTTTTGTTCTTCCCATAGTACATACATATACATTTCCTGTTTTTCTCATTTTTTCACTAATTTTAATTTTATTCGTAGTCGCTTTCTCCTAAACAAAAACAAACTAGCCGATGGTTGTGTCGTTAACAGAAAAAGAATGAATTATTTACAATAAATTGTAAACAAAAAAGAAACACTCGCACACGCATCGTCTCTCTTTTTCAAATAGTTGCTCAATAGTTAATTACAATGTTTTAGGCTTTGCTAAATTTAGTGTCCGATTATCTGTAATATATATATGATGTACATTAGGCCTATTTATTTATGTAGTTACAACAGATTTTTCATTTGCGTTCAAACATTTCAACTTGGGCGTTTTTAGTCGGGCGATTTTCGTTATTGAAGTAAGTGTTCTCTCTTGGTTTTTATATGATTTTTGTTGTGTGTGGTGTGCTTGTGGTTAAATGGTTATTTAAAAATAAAATTAAAATGCCACTAAATTTGCCATAATTAAATGGTTTAATTTCCTACTCGCATTTACTCTTAACTGTCAGCATTATTTGATTCGTTTGCCGTATTAGAAAAAGTGCACTTATGAATACTGCATTCGGTCTGGAAATAGAGGCAAATTAAGTAGAAATCGATTAGTCGCTGGATTACTTCGGATTTGTTGCTGAAAACTTTGTAAATTATTTATAGAAATCGCCGTCGATAAGCGAAAAGGTCAAATATAATGAGAGACTTAAAAATCGAAGCCAAAACGGGGCAATTTGTGCGATTTACAATTTAAAATAACCACCGCCCCCGACCCCAAACTAATGCTCCGGCGCAAAATGATAAACCAAACAATGCCCGGAACGCCAATGGCATGACATCATGCGCTTTGGTTGGCCAGAAACGATAAGAAACCAGATATGAGCCGATTAAAGAAACCGGCTATCACGGGCGTCGACTCATATCGTATGATAACACCCAATGTAAATAGTAAATAGTAAATATAGATACTCACTGTCCTTCTTTGAAGTACTCCTTCAGCGTTGTGCTGAACTTCTTGGAATATTTGACAAACTCCTTCTTCCGCTGCTCCACAGCCTGCTTGCCCGTAACGCCCGGTATGAACGAGCCGATCTCGTTGACCACATCGAGCAGTTTCTTTATGGCGCTGGCGATTTCCCTGCAAACGTTTTAGAAATTTTTGTGAATATGTTGATGAGAACATTTAACTGGCTTTTATAACTCGAGGAACAAATTAGGTGGAATGGGAATATAAGGTTGCATTAATACAGAGTAAGCCTCTAATTTGTTTATACTTTCTAGATTAGAATTTGCCATTTCTTAGGGCTAAACAATTAATGATCATATACAAAGATATTTCTTCAAGAAAGTTAAGCAAATATATCAAAATATAACATTATTTTTAGAAAGTTTAAAGGAAAATATTTACCAGCCTAATGCCACCATTTCTTGAGTTATAGAAACCACCTCAATTTTAATGTTCGACTTACTTAATAGTCTCCAGGAAAGTCTTCCTGTCGTTTATCTCATCGGGGATGCGGCTGAGGATCACCTTCAGGGCCACGGACTTGCGGTTGAGCTCTTGGAAAGGCTCCTCGGTGCGCGTCAAGCGGTATTCATTTACTGCCAAGCAAAGGAAAATGGTGAGAGCTGAGAAACACAATAGAGCTAGATGCTGCTGCGTTGGCGTCGCCGCCGCTACTTACGGTCCGCTTCCGTAATGTTGCCCTGCAACCGGAGCACGGCCTCGTTCAGGTTGACATTTAGATCGGCCCGCCGCACGATCGTGGCCACGAGGTCGTAGCAGAAGCCCGGATTGTTCTGCTCAGACTTGAGAATGGCCGAGCGCAGAGACTGGGCAGCGCCGACGTCGCGTCGCTCGAGCTGCAAGCAATAAGCAATTACAAACGTTTGTACGTTGGCACTTGGGTTTACGCAACAGAAACCACAGCCACGGAATCTGGCGGAGCTGAAGGGCTCGCGCTCGGGCTCGGGCTGGGGGCTGGCCCATCTGGGCACTTACACTTACCTGTGAGAAAATAGGCCGCAGTATGACGGGCAGAACAAGAGACGAGGTTGGCTCGCCCATGGTCATTTCTAGGTAACTCCGAATGCGCTCGGTTTGGCTGCAACGTTGCTGTCCTACTGCCGTTGCCTAGATCGCCTGGCGCATGCTGCACTTACACGTCCACTTCCGCCTTCCGTCCGATGCTCCGCTGTCTCGGCACGCACTCGCACAAGCCTCGCAAATCAAATTAAAAAATTAAAAAAATTGTGTTCACAACAAAACCAGCACATCACAAATCTCAACGCCAGAGTGGACAGGCCTAGTTACGGTGTAAATACCAGAAATGGATTGGTTTTCCTTGAACACTCGGTCACACTGTCGAGATGCGTTGGCAATAAATTTGTAATTTTATGTTTCGTTTATTTATTACTATATTGTTTCATACTTAGTTTCTGTGGCAGCTTTAGGAAATTAAAATGCTTATCAATTATTTATAATTGATTTTAATTATATTGGTATTCCAAAAATATTAAATTAAAAATACGCAAAAATCGTTTATCGAAGTATCGAAACAGCTGACTGTACGTTTGTTTATTATTGTTTATCAATTGGTTTATCACTGATAAGCGAAATGACCAGCCACGATATCAAGCTGGAGGTCTGTGTGGACTCCATACGGTCTGCTTTCGCCGCCGTTGCCGGCGGAGCTTCCCGCATCGAACTCTGCTCGGCGCTGAGCGAAGGCGGCCTGACTCCCAGCGTTGGCACCCTGAAGACCCTCAAGGAGTCCATCGCACTGCCCGTTTATTGCATGCTGAGGCCGCGCCGTGGAACTGACTTCGTCTACAGCGACGAGGAGATGTGCGCCGTGCTGACCGACATGGATCTGCTGCGCCAGAACGGCGCGGACGGCTTTGTGTTCGGATCACTTAATCCGGATCGCACCATCAACGTGGACCAGTGCCGGCATGTGATGCTGCAGTCGGAGGGCCTCCCGGTGACCTTTCATCGAGCCTTTGACCTCACCGATCAGAAGCGAATGCAGGAGAACGTCCAGCTGTTGCGGGAGCTGGGCTTCAAGCGGCTGCTGAGCAGCGGATTCCGTCCCTCGGCAGCCGAAGGTCTCGATAACCTGGCCCAGCTGATAGCCAAGCACCACAGGGACTTCATAGTTATGCCCGGTGCCGGAATCAAAGTGTCCAACCTGGAGGAGATCCTCACGGTGAGCCGCTGCATGGAGTTTCATGCCTCCGCCATGGACACGGCTGGCGAGGACTACGTGGCCCCCACCACCCAGATGGAGTGCGATGTGACCATGGGCAAGCAAGACATTGATCCGTATTACGGAACTAATGCAAATGTTGTCCGCAAAATGGTAACTATCGCAAGCGCAATGAGCTGCCGCTGACGATTCTAGTTCTTACGTACACCTAAGCCACACTTTTATTCCTTGACTCTGACAGTATAAGTAGTTTCTAGCCGTTGTTACCACTTAAAGTAGTCCTTTCCCAAAAATTCCAAACAAAATTAATAAAACAAAAAATATATTTCGGTCCAGACTTCACCCCTCAATCATGATTTCCGAAAGAAAAGAGGCGTCATTTAACCAGCACTTGGACAGCGTGGAAAATGTATTGCACACGATGGAGCACTACAGTCTTAAGCTGAATGACCAGATTGGCGACCTTAAGAAATTGGTGGCCACCAACCGAAGAGTAATTACCAGGCTTAAGGAAAACGAGCAACGCATAAAGTTACTTCTGGAAGATTCCCCTAATTCCCTTGATAATCAAGTGGGGCCTGGGAAGGAAGTGCTTAGCCTGTGGAATTATGTTGAGAAGGACCAAGAACCTGTTATTTGCCATATGCACAGGAATTGCAAGGTGACCAAAATTCGGGAGATAAGTTGGACGCATTGTAAATCCTTGACAAATGACATGTTAACCAAAGAAGTGCAGCAGAATAAGCCGTACAAAAAGTCGAAAATGGTTGATCTTCGAGAACGCGGTGGTCTTAATCGACAGGTGTCTTTTGACCTCAGTCAGCACCAGGCTCTAATTTATAAAGGTAAAGGTTGACCACATAGCAGACCATTTTCTTATCAAATCTACGGATTATTTCAGCAAATTGTATTGTGAAGATCATTGAAAATCTGGACATGAGAACAAACTCAATTAAAAGGGTTAAACAAGTTTGCAAGCAGGCGCTGAAGGCCATGTCCGAGCGTCAAAAGGAGCTGTGGTCGGAAGGACCGAGAATTCAGAAATCTAAGAAAGCAAATTTCTATCTATAGCAATAGTAACAGCTTCTGTTATTACAAAAAATATTTAATGTGTCTATCCAAAATAAAAATAATTTATATTTTAAATAATTGAAAATAACGTAGTTATGGGGAATTCATCGATACTACCAATCGGAATGCCAACATATGTAGCATACGTTCAGGCGCCCACCGCGCAGGCGCCAAGAAAAATTGATTCACTTCGTGTTTGGCCAAAATGAAGTCCTTAGATGCAGGGGAATTGTGATTCTACCAGTTCCCCAATCAGTCAGTCTCATTTCCATTCACTGTCAATGTCTACAACTGAAGCTTTGCATACAGAAAACGAATGGAACCTCTCGGCATGGACTTGGACGATGTGGCGAGCCACCACCACCACGGGTTCGGACAGCATATGGCCACGTTCAGCGTGGAGGTGAGTCCTATCCTCCGCCCCCCAAGCTATGTGTGTGCTATGTGACTAAGCTACGCCACCCCTGCAGACATCCGCCGTTCACAGGAAGTTGCAGAGCAAGGTGGAGGCCCTGCGGATCCTGCGACAGGAACTGGAGCAATTCCGCGTAGAACGGGACCAGTACAAACTGGTGGCGGAGACCCTGCAGCTGCGCTACTCAGCTCTCAAGAGCAACAGCGAAATGCTCGCCGTGGGCGGATGCGGAGCCCTCAGCGAAAACTCCAGTCTGGCCGCTCTTCTCCACGAAACGCGCGAACAAAACCTGAAGCTGAGCACCGAGGTAGAGGCTCTCAGACAGCGGCTCAACGAGCTCCAGGGCGACATGGAGCTCCTGCGCGAAACGGAGGCCAGCAACAAGGCCCGGGTGCAGGCGATGGCCAACGAGAATGCCGCCCGAAACAAGGAGGAGCTGCAATGGCGCCGCGAGCGTGCCAATTTTATCTGCCACCTGGAAGGGCTCAAGAAGCGGAACGCTCAGCTGGCCTTTGATCTCAAGGCGGTAATCGACGAGAAGGAAGAGCTTATCACAGAGCGGGATGCATACAAGTGCAAGGCCCATCGCCTCAATCATGAACTCTTCGTTGCCCTCAGGGCCAAGAAAACGCATCCGAGGGTGAGTAAACTTGTGGCTTAAAGAGCATGTAATTAGCTTTTTCATACTATTTGCCTTTCAGCTTCTCGACATCGATGGGGTTTTGCTGGAGAACAAGTACCTGCACGAACGTGTGAAGATCCAAGAAGGCGAACTAGAGTTGACCAAACAGAGTATTTCCAAGTACAAGGTACATACAACATATTTAAGAAGATAGAAAATCGATTTAATCTGTATCTTTTCTATAATTTAACTTCCTGTAACCTCGTTATCCAGTCCATTTTAGACGCAAAACGCAAAAAGGGCATAGTAAAGCTTGGCGGAGGCAGCACAAATGATGAAACTATACTAAGTCCTCGACAAGGTAAGTATTTTACAGGATCCGCTTTTACCTGGCTTTATGTTTGCCTTTCTTTTTAGTGAAAACCATCCTGGAGAGCGGCATTGATCTTCCCCAAAAAACCGAAAGCTTACACGACCTGAAGTCCTTGTGTCTGGCGCTACTGGACAACCTCAACGACAAGAATCTGGCACTGACGCACCAGAAGAAGACCAACAAGTGGGAAATCATCTCGAAATGTATTCATTTAATGCTCACTCCCAATCTCACATAGAATACTGGCTGGCAAGATGACGGAGCTGGAACAGCGCTGGCAACAGCTTCTCTCGGGAACTGAGGAGGACGCGGCCGCTGATGAGGGCCAGGGAGAAGAGGAGGACTACGGCTATGCACCCTCGCAGCTGCTCCTCAACGGTTACTGCGCCGCTATGGTTGATGACGCCGACATCAGTGGCACTCCGTCCATTGCCCCGGATAACGAAGGTGGCACCCTCACCCCAAATCCAGCGGATTCTAACCAGCACAAGGTTGCGCCTGAAGCTCTGCACTCTGACGATGGAATGTCTTCGCTTTCCGCAGAGTCCGTTGACTCATCCGTTTACGGAGTTGATGTGCAACCGGAGGACTTCCAAAAGTCTTCGTCGGCCACCACGGATTCGGGCAACTGTGGCTTCGGCAGCCGTTGCAACGGAACCCCGCGTATTTCCAGCGCCGTCGCTCGGGAACGGATGGAGGATCTAAAGGATCTACCCCCGCACCTGGCCACTCTGGTGCAGAAGGCCCTTCACGAGCTCGACATGCGCGACTACGAGGCTATGGTGACGATTCGGGCCGAAAACGTAGCTGCTATTCCGTAAAAGGGAAACTATAAACTAGTTCAATGTTCATTATGATTTACAGAGAACCAGATGGAGCCATATCGCAGTGTTGAGAAAATAATTACATATATGTATATTACCGCAACGGCGTACAATAAAAAACTAATTGAATATATTATGGAAACCAAATTTTCGTTTAAATTTTGCGCTCATTCTGCCACAACGTTGGCCAAGTGTTGCAAAGTTTTGCTACTTTGACAGTTCCAAGCCTTTTCCAACACCGGTCTTGGTATACATTTTCTGATAAGAAATAAACATTGGCCCAATAAAAGTTTGCAAAGTTTCTGAATTAAAAATGCCTTAGGACGCCTGTAGAAAGTGCCATGTAGAGTTAATCCAAGTGCCACCCAGTGTGAGAATGGAGCACCAATCAAAAGCCATTGCAAAGCGGCCCATACAAAGCCGATTCTAGTCTGGAAGAGATTGCCCCGCCTCCGCCGTTCCGACCCATCGCCAAAAATGTCCAACGATGTGCAGGTAGCGCGGGTGGCCAAGATAGCCACCGACGTGCCACGACGTAGTGGCAAGCAACGCGACCTCCAAGGGAAGCAGCCCTCCGGCAGCGTGGCTGGCGAGGATTTCGAGTATGTCTTCGGGAGCATTTCGCCGCGGGGAGCTGGACCCAATACCAGGCATTTGGTGGGATCCTTCGAGCTGGAGTCCTCGCCGGAACATACACAGCGCGACACCACCACCACGGAGAGCGACAACAACATATCCAGCTGTTCCACGCTGGACATTGTCAACAAAGTGAGTGATTCCATTGATTCCACTGAGAGAAATATAGCTTCGTAGAATCTTAAAAAAAAGTGGCTTAAATTAGTACTAAACTGATAAAATACTTAATTAGGCAATATTTCATTATTTTTATTCAAATTAAATGAAATTAATTAAAGCCACAAAATCCATACAGTTCTCCCCGTGGAGTGGCGGGTTTGGGATTCCGGGTGGTGCTTAGTGCGCAGCTGCGTGTCGTAGGCCGAGGGTCAAGCTGCAGCAACGTCGGCGGTGGCGGGGAAAGCGGATGCATCGTGCTCGGATGACGACGTAATCGCCAGTCGAAATTTTCCACTGGACCATGATTGCGGAGCAACTGCTTCCGCGCAGCCTAAGCTGCCTGTGCTGCAGCGACACCCCTCCATCGATGCCCAGCGACAAGCGGCGCAGTTGGGAGTACACTCTTATGGCTCAGCCGCTAGCAAGGAAACCCATCAACGTGATGCCTCCAAAGATAATCATCTAGAAACCTCACGAAAGCTTGCCTCCTCTTGTATCTCCAGGTTGAACAACTGTCCGTGCAGCAACTGGAGAACCGGGTGAGGGACCTAACACAGCGACTGCAGCAGTCCGAGCGACAGCTAAAGGAGAGCAATGCGGAGCGGGAGATATGCCATAAGCGACTGGAGGTGGTCAGTCAGGCGCACGAGTGCCGCATTACCGAAATGCACTGCGTCATTGCGGAGCTAAGCAAGAAACTGCGCAGCAAGCAGGAACATATCATTGTGGAGGAGCAGGAGCCCGAGGGCAGTGGTGAGTGAGGCATTTTTGAATCCACCAAATATTTATTAATCCCTATTTTGTCCAGAGCTGAGCTACCAAGAGGGCTCTGTGTACAACTCGGAGCTCAACCTCACCAATCCCGATGCCGAGTGCCAGACGGAACCCCTGGAGGACATCGAGGGCGCCTGCAGTGCCGCTAGTGCTGATCACTTTGGGGGACATAAGCCACAGCATGAGCTCAGCCACAAGGGCCGGGTAGAAGCGTTGCAGGAGGAAGTGCTCCATTTGAGAGCTCAGATCGCCTTGCTCCAGTCCGAGATCGCCACGAAGGATGCCTGCGTGGTGGAGGAGCCGACCAAGGTGGCCTTTTTCGGTTGCGAGTCGGAGGTTAACGAGTGTGGTCAGCGGCTCAATGATCTGAATGGTATAACAATCCGAAGATGTACATTCTCCTCCATAATAACTCATAACACATATTCACCTATACACCAGCCTGCGTCTCCTTGACCAGTCCCCAAAAGCGAGTACCCGCCGTGCCGAAAATGGCAGAGAGGGTAAAGTTGCGCTGCGCCAGTAAAATGGAGCCCACCGATGAAGATGCATCCAATGAGCAGCACACATCCTTGAACAATGAGGTAAGCTGGAACCTCCTTTGAAACCGAAGAACCAAGTCAAGTCAAGCTAATCCCTTCCAGCACATCAATCTGGTGGAGCATTTGGTTTGTGAACTCAAGGAGCAGAACCTGTTCATGGAGAGCTTCATGGAGCCATTGCAACTAAGTAGGGAGTTGGACAGACTGCAGCGAAGAGTTGAGCACTTGGAGATGCGCAACACCATGCTGGCGCTGACCCTGGATGAGTGCAAGGAGCACACTGAGCACCTGTATTTGCTCTGCGGAAAATACGAGTCCAACGCGGTGGCCTTACAGCTGGCGCTCAACTGCAGTGATCGAGCCATCGAGGCCTATGACGTGATGCTGGCTTTGCTGGAGAGCAAGTAAGAGTCCTCCCAAGAGTTTTTTGCCTGTGACTAAACGTATTCTTTAGGTTAGCGCTTCTTGGGGAGAAATCAGCTTCGGAGGCGGAGGAGAGCCGGCGATCAGTAGAGGCGGTGGCCAGGCATCTTTTAGCCCGCCTCGACAGCGAGAAGAACGTGTGCGAGAACAGTCTGGGACCGTGGCAGCACAATATTAATCTGGGCACCGAGGATGCTCCCAAAACTGGACGTTCCTGGTGCACCGACGACGACAACCGCCTGCGTTACCATGTCTCGAAGCTGAAGGGGCGACGCTCGAGCGTCCAGCACACCATCGTCAGTCTAGAGTCCCCTTTCAGTGATGTGTACGAAAAGAAGCGGCTGGCCTTGGAGAAGGAACACGAACTCTGCGACGAGGACAAGAAGTCGCCCCTCGATCTGGAGACAGCGGTGATTATGCAGGAACTGCTCGAGCTCCGGGATGCAAACCTGCAGCTAAAGAACAAAATGGAAGAGGCCGAGCAGGAGCGACAGAACGCCAACGAGCGGGTGGGCGTTCTTCACGAAGCCCTTAAGCAGCTGCAGGCCAGCAACCGGGTCTCCTACTCGGAGGCGGAGCACGCGGCCCTCACCGAACAGCAGTTGGTGGAGGCTCTGACCCGCGAAACGGAGCTAAAGAGTCGCATCCAGGCGCTGTTAGTCAATGTCACGGCCACACAGAAGGCTTCTGACGAGAAATATGAGCAGCTGCATCAGAACGTGCGCGAGCTGCAAAAGTCCAACCAGTAAGGATCTCATTCATTGCTACTCCCATTAGGAATCTAAGACAGCTCTTATTTACCTCTTTCAGCAATTTGGGACAAATGCTGGAGCACAACAAACGCAAATACCAGCTACGAGTTAAGAAGCTGGAGCAGAAGATCATTGACCAGCAGTTGGGGAACGGCCAGCAACGCCACAACCATGTCCCTGAGACGACCCTTTAGGATGTGTAAGGACGTGCATGACGGCATTCCAGGAGCTGCTGCTGCTCAGGTGCAATGCGGGCTAGCTTGTCACATATCCCGCTTAAGATCTTTCCCTCTCGATCATATCGCTTTAATTACCCCAAATGCAATGCCCAACGCACCTGCACAGATTCGCTCCTGGATCCGACATGACCCAGACAGTATCACGAATGTGCCATGCGACGAACTGGCAGCCAGCTGGGGCCTTGCCCCGCGGATCAGGCTGCACCCACTAACTACGTACTCATATAGATACATAGACATAAATACATATTCATGGTGCCAAGAGCAAGGCTCCGATCCTGGAGCATCAGACTCTGCGCCACAAGCAATTACATACATATACATATACATACTAAGGAGTTACTCACGACGCATATGTACACGGGATCCTATATTTATACAAAGTATTCGCATTTTGCTTGTTACATATATGCATTCAATATGTATTAAAAATTGTACAAAATATAACGACTATTGAAACTATACTTATCAGGTATTTGAAATGTGCGCCTATTTGTAGATGTTGTGGGGCCTCAGACCTACGGAAAATCTGGCAGCACCAAAACTTTATAAGTTCATTATTTAGAGGACTCCTTGAGTTTTTAGGTGGAAAATTGAACTTTTCACATTCCCCTCAAGCCTTTGCATCCTAAAAAAAAGAAATTTTACCGCAACGATTGGCTGTTGGTGCGGCAAATTAAAAAAAGTACAAATATCCTCGCCATATGGCAACGTTCAATCAAATGTATCGATAGCATCCATAGCATAATCGTTGGTGTGTCATCTTTAGTTCTTGTGAAATAAACATTTTCAATAAACAAGACGCGCACATTCCTGTTCGTATTAACGTAGTTGAATATGAGTGCCATTGTGGAGACAGAAACCCCTGATGGAAATGAAACCGTCAGGGCGGAAGCTAATGGCTCCGATGACGGCCAAGCGTCCAAACGAAAGTCACCCCAACAAGACGAAATCGACGAAAACATTCAAAACAAACGCATAAAACCGGAGGAGTCGGAGTCTGTGGTTCCCATTAAAACCGAACCAAATCCCGATATTTCAGTTGCAGTAAAAACCGAGCCGGTAGATGAGGATGCTGGGGCAGAGGCAGAGCCTGCTCCTGCTGCAGCCTCCAGCAGCGATACTGGAAGCCTCCAGGTAAAAGCAGAACCACCTGCAGCGGCGGTGGTTAAAATTGAACCCCCCAATTCTAATGGACAAGCCTCCGACGACTCTGCCGTGACGTCGAGCAGTCTCAGGCCGTCATGCCGCTTCGGCATTCGATGTTACAGGTAACCCACCACCTTCATCATCCCTACACATAGCTCTTGCATTTTCCCAATCCATCCGCAGACGCAATCCGGCACATCGAAGTGCTGAAGCTCATCCGGGTGATTCGGACTATCGCCGGCCCAACTTCCCCGAACCGCCACTCGGAACACCAGCTTGTCCCTTTGGCAACGCCTGCTATCGCCGCAATCCAGTGCACTTCCAGCAACATTCCCACCCCGCAGATTGTAAGTAGGATGCCTCGCTGGCTCTGCTTGCTTCAGGTTGGCTAAAGGTCGCTCTAGTCAATTCCGCGCAGAACATTCGCAATCGTCTGCGCCAACGACGGGCCCAGCGGCAGAACGGCAACAGCGGACCCGCTGACGAGGATGACTTTGGGACAGACGACGAGGACAGTGACCCATTTGGAGGCGACAATGACAACGATGTGGACTATCGTCCAGGAGCAGACATTGACGAAGATGAAGAGGATGAGCTGGAGTTCGATAGCCAGCGCATTAACACAGATGACTATGACTAGCGGCGTAGCATCTACTACCTACACATTCATTGTTACTTTAGAGTTATCCGTTCCGAGTATCAAGTTACTTCAATATATTTTCCTTTGTTGTACGCTAGTTTTACAGCGTATTTTATTAGTAGAAACCCTCGTCCACCTCCTCGGCTGGCTTTTGGTCAAAGGTAGCTCCCCATTTGGCAGCTTCGCCTCCACGCACCTTCACATTGTAGCAGACGTTCTCCGCCTTGAGAACGCTCTGGCGCATGGTGGTGATCTTGCGCCACAATTCGCGGGCTCTCGGGCAGTGGAGACTAATGTACCTGAAAAGAGACCAAGATCACTATAAAGTGTCAATGGAAACTAAGCAGGCTTACCCTGTATAGAAGTGCTGCAGGGTCTTGCAGGTCTCCAAGCATGTGTCAGTGTCGCCGCTGCCCAATGAGTTTATGCACCGGCGCATTAGCTCCCCGGTCAGATCGGACAGTCCCAATACATATTCCGTTGGGTCTACGAAGAACTGAAACTTCTTGGGCACCTCCTCCACCACCGGCTCAGCCACAGCTTCCACTTCGGTTACGCTGGTGTCCTCGCCCTTGGCTTTGCCGGCTTCCTCCACATACTGCATAACCGCCTGCAGCGCTTGCCAGTCAGAAACGCTCTTGTTCTCCTTTGCTCCATCTTCGCTGCACAGATACTCCATGTAGGTGTAGGCCTCGATGAACTCCTGCAGCCCGGGCGAGTAGGCGCCGCGAAACTGATATACATCCTGGTCGCGCAGCTCCAGGGCGACGGCCCGAAAGTTTACCTCAATCAGTTTTGCCAGGCGCTGGCGTGCCTCCTCCAGGACCTTCTCCTTGTTCTGCTTGCGCGAGTCGATAGAGTGCAGCAGGAATATGATACGCTTGGACTCGATGGTGATGTCGCGGCTCAGCTTGACGATGCGCTCGTGGCGATCGTGCTTCATGGTAAGTTCAGCGGAGTAATTCCGAAAGGCCTGAATGATGGGGTTCTCCTCATCTAATTGCGCCGCCGGCTGACGCTTCCTAGGAGCATTATTTCGGTTGCCACCGCTACCGTTCTTCGGCATATTGAGATTCTCAGTCGTTTGTGTAAGATTTACGTCTTTAAACCCAATAGGTACACTGCAATTGACCGATTCTTCGGTGTTTGGTGGACAATTGTTTTAAAACAAAATGTTGCCGGCAGTGTGCCCAAGTACAGCGCTGGGAAAGTTAAACGAAATGGTCACACGAATTATTCGATTGACCGATAAACTCATAAGCCGGGCCGTGGCCGATATCTCTGCCCTTTCAATAATTGGTCACACCAATCCTAAACTGTTTATTGTTCGTGGCAGAATTTAACTTGGAATTTGTTCAAGTTCTTTGGCTGGAATTAATCAAGTTCGATTCCACGGCCATGCATGACCCCGCCACGAAGCCGGTTCACTTGCCCGCTGGCTCCACCAGCACCGCGGAGAAGCTGTGCTTCGACAAGACCGAGTTTATGAAGGTGAGTAATCAATCCCGGAAAGCTTATGATTCTGTTGTCAATACACATCGTCAAATAGGCAAACTTCTCGGTGGACGAGTTTCTTCACAAGAACCGCAATGCACCCAGTCTGGAGCAGTTACGTGACAATTTGGGGGTGTACTTGAAGGGTCTTCGGGCAGCGATGATCGATCTCATCAACGAGGATTACGCGGACTTCGTCAATCTGAGCGCAAACTTGGTGGGCCTGGACCAGTCCATTGAGACCATCCAGCGGCCACTGGAGCAGTTCCGTAGCGACATTGAAAGCATCCATGACCTGATCGACGAAAATGTGTCGGAGCTGCGAGCCCAGTTGGAGGAGAAGCGTCAATTGCGGGAGTTCAAGCGCAGCCTGCAGAGCCTGAAGAAGGTCTACGAGACAATCGCAAAGCTGCAGGATCTAATTGATCGCAAACTTAGCGGAGATCAGCCGGTTCAAGCAGTGGATCTGGAACGCGCCGCGCTGGACCTGATTCAACTGCAATTTCACGAAAAGCACTGCTCCAAGCACCTTAATGTCGACCAGCAGGCGAAGATCCGGCAACTAGAGGAGCAGCTGCACCAGCATCTGCGCCGGTTCTTCAACGATGCCTTGGGCCAGGCTCGCAACTCAGCGCCGGAGCACCTGGAGCGTTGTCTGCGCATCTATATCACCCTGAATGCTTGCGGCCAAGCGGAAAGCGCTTTCCGGGAGGACGTGGTGGCGCCCTACATGAGCGGCGTCATTGGAGAGCAGCAACTGCAAAACTCACCGCAGGGTCTGGCAGGAATTTACAGCAAGATTCTCAACTTTATTTCCCTGCACATGACCGACCTGCTCCGCTTGACGCTCTACTCTGACAAGTTTCCGGGATTTAACTTTGTGGTGAACAGCTATTGGGCCGATGTGGAGTCGCGCCTCGAACTGCACATGAACTCTATCTTCGCCCCGGGCAACTCGGAGGTGTTCTATGTCAAGTACAAGTGCACCCGCGACTTTCTCGCGAAAATAGAGGAGCTGTTAGCCAGCAGCGGAGAGCAGGCGGTGGCCCTCTACCGCCAGCACAAGCAGACAAAGAGCTTCGAGGCCCGCTGGAATCTCCCGGTTTACTTCCAAATATGCTTTCAGGTATGGGAGTCAGTTAATAATCGAAGCACACTCTACCATTTGATTGAATGTTACAGGAAATTGCTGGGCAATTCGAGGCTAAGCTGGAGCCAGTGCTGCAGGATGACACTTTGAATGCGACGAATACCGATGAAAAGGCCTACAAACTAACCACATTCAATGCCGCCAAGGAAGCTATGCAAAGATGCTGGGCGGAGGGTGTTTACCTGCCCGAAGTATTTCCCAAATTCTACAAGCTGAACGTGCAGATAGTGCTCCGTCTGTCGCGCTGGATCACCGATGCCATAGCCGTCTCCAAAGGCAGCAGCTTCGCCAAGTCCTTTACCAGACATCAATTGCTGATTGCTCTGCACTCGGACATCCGCAAACTGGACGCCTATCTGCCGGAGCTTCAGCAATTAATTGTCCAATCAGTGCCCGCTGATCAGCGCTCGAAAATGTTCAACGATGTCCTGGGCAAATCCATGGCCGCCTTGGGCGATGCATTGGGTGGGCATTTGTCGAGCATACAAAATACCTTGGTGGAGCTGCTGATCGGCGAGTGCGAGACAGAGAATGTGCGCCAGGTGAACGACTTGCCACGCCTGTATCGCAAGACAAATCGAGAAGTTCCCTCCCGATGCTCTGGCTACGTGGAACAAATGATTCGTCCACTGAAGGCGTTTGCCCAGCAACACGAATCCCAGCTCGGCACTCTGGTGGTGGAGCAAATCCTCTCCGAGGTTGCCAGTCACATAACAAAAGCGTAAGTGTAAATACCTTGACGTACAACGAGCTTTTCAACAGGCGTTTCTTTGACTCTCCAGGTATTTCAACGTGGTAAGTGATGTCCTCACGTCTGTCCAGAAAACCGAGGAATCATTGCGCAGGCTACGGAACGTAAAGAGTGGCGGATCCGGTGGATCCGGCGCACCTCCCACGCAGGGAAGCTCTGCTGTGATGTCTGACGACGATAAGATACGCGTTCAGCTGCGTGTGGACGTCACTGCCTGGAAGCAGGAGCTCGCCAATCTCAACTTCCAGGCGTCGCAGATCGATAAACTGTCCGAGCTAACCGACATGGTGGAGGACAGTATCAAGCTTAGGGACACCAGATCCTCCTAGATGCTATCAACGAACGAACGAACAGTTATTAAACATATACACTTCAGTTTATTCTTGTTAATAATCGACTTCTTACGATTCTTTAGGCACAATTAGTGATTGAATTAGGACTACGAATTGTATATAATATATTATATATAGGGATATACGTATATCATATATAAATGCATTGATTTTCACAATCGTTATGGGTAAATACGGGCATTTCCTCTGGAGTTACTCGCTGTTGGAATGAAACAGAGAAGAGATTGCAGATATTTAGCGACAGTGCTTGTCTGTGGCCACCATACGGATAACGGATAACTGATAACGAATATTGCAACACGGCAGGCAAGGAACCATGCAAAAAAGAACTCAAGCTTGCGAAGATTTTTATATACATGGGTATAGGGTTTTGTGTGTATATAGAAATGAGCGTCATAACGGAGGAGAAACGGAAAAGGCAGGCTCTCGGAACCAAACAAAACAAAACTAGGCAACCCTGCTACATTACAGTTTGAGCTCCTCGGTGTCCGGCAGCTTGCGGAAGAACCATTGCACCTGCTCCTCGGTGACCTCGCTCAGCTGTGCGGGCTGCCACTTGGGCTTCTGGTCCTTGTCGATCAGCAAGGCGCGTACACCCTCCTTGAAGTCGCTGCGCTCCAAGTGACGCACGGCCAGCCGATACTCCATAATCAGGCACTGGGCCAGCGACAGCTGCGAGCCGAGCTCCAGCTGGCGGAACGTGACCTTCAGCGAGGTGGGCGACGTCTTGCAGAGCGTCTGAAATAGACAAACAAGCAGGAATTGGGTGATTATTTACGTGCGCCAGTTGTGCGAAATCGTGCCACAACCAAGGCAGCGCTAATTGGCTGAAAGCCGTTCCAAATATTTGAGTGTTAAAAGCGCGCCAAATGCTGATTGGTTCAACCAATTAACATCTGATTGTGCTCTTATCACTGTTAACCAAGTATTTCGCTCACCTCAATCGTCTTATTTGCCCACTCGCTGCCGTCGTTCTTCAGATTCTCGAATATGCCCTCGACGGAGTCCGCCGAAAAGTTCTGGTTGATCTGCTCCAGCACCGGCTGCAGCGAGAACGGCTTCTCCGGCGTGGAATGGTACTTTTGGAGCAGCTCGGGCACGTCATCCGCATCGGGGCAGTTGAGCAGCGCCGTCTCCAGATCTGAAATCTTGCTGCTCTCGCAGTAGTGCGTGGCAATGCCCGAGTAAAAGACGTCACCACCGCGGAGACGGTATCCTGTAAGCCCCAAATAGAGGCCCAGCTTACCCTGCAGGCGTGGCAGAAAGAAGGAGCCACCCACATCTGGGAACAACCCGATGGCCGTCTCCGGCATGGCGAACAGCGTCCTGTCCGTGGCCACGCGATACTTTCCATGCACACTCAGGCCGACGCCACCGCCCATGGTGATGCCATCGATGATGGCGATGTAGGGAATCTTGTAGTTTCCGATGAGGGCGTTGGTGCTGTACTCCTCCCGAAAGAAACTCTTGGACTCGTCGGTGGGGCCCGCCTCGACGAGGGCTCGCACATCACCGCCGGCACAGAAGGCTTTCTCGCCTGTCCCCTTAATTATCAGCAGAGACTTGGACTTTTCACACTTCTTCAGGTGTTTGTAGATTTTGCGCACCATCTCCAGGTTGATGGCGTTCAGCGCCTTGGGGCGGTTTAGGATGATCATGCCCTTGTTGGACGACTCCGTGGCCAGCACGGAGGAGGAGGAGAGGCGCGCGGAGAAGGCCATGGCCGGGGGGTTCTTTGTTGACATTGCTGCTCCGCCGATCAGCGGCAACTGGCTGTAGGTGCGATGACCGAATGTGTACACCAACCTTTGAATTGGGCTTTGCTGGCGGGAAAGCATGGCTTGGGTTAGCTATGCGCCTTCATTTGCACGCAATTTGCATTACTTACCATGTTGAGCGGCTGTCTGTCTGCTGGGCTTTGTGTTTTGTTCTCACGGTGAGCCTCACCTGTTGCGCAATAGCATTAGAACTATCGTCTACCTATTCGATGAGGTTATCGATGGGGGTGAAATCGATATCGACTATTCGATTTAATCACAACAAAAAATTGATACAAATCCAGAGTCCGAGTTCTGAATTAAAATAGTGAATTGAACTTAAAAGTACTGGGTAAAACGATGCTGGGCTCCCTTCCCAAGGCCGGGCTGCAGAGCATGGTCTGCCAGTCGATCCTGGTCCTGATTTGTCTTGTGTGCTACGGCTGCGGCGGCCTCCGTGGGGCTACGTTTGTCTTCGACGACACGGTGGCCATCGTCAAGAACCGGGATGTCAGCGTACTGCCCACCAACTGGACGGCGATTTTCACGCACGATTTCTGGGGGGCCTCCCTGGTCAGCGCAGACTCGCACAAGTCGTTCCGGCCGCTGACCACCCTGATGTTCCACTGCGAATACGCTCTGCTAGGCCTGAGCGCAGCTCACATGAAGTTCCTCAACCTCCTGCTGCACTGCGTCAACACGCTGCTCATGTGGCGTCTGGTGCGATCGCTGTATGTGACGGAGATCAACACGGAGCGATGGGCCACCATTTCGGCGGCGCTGTTTGCTGCCCACCCAATCCACACGGAGGCGGTCTCCGGAGTTGTGGGACGAGCTGAGCTTATGTTCGGAATGATTCACCTGCTCTGCCTGCTGCTGACCGTGGCCAACACCGGAAAGCGCAGCTCACAGACCGTTGGCCTTGTCCTGATCCTCACCTCGGTGGGCATACTCTTCAAGGAATCAGCAGTGACTATTCCAATGTCGTGTGTGCTGCTGGATTACTTTCAAAATGGCTACTACCTGCTATCGTACCGGGATCAGTGGAATCTGGTGCGCTCCCGGGTGAGCTACGTCGTCTACTTAGTGGGCACTTCGGCTCTGCTAACCACCCGCTTGTGGTGGCAGGACTTTGAGCAGCCAACGTTCAAGGAAGTGGACAACCCAGTGGCCCACAACGAGCACGTTTTGACCCGCGGACTGTCACAGCAGTTCTTGTTGGTCATGAACATCTGGCTGATGCTCTGCCCCCACTGGCTGTGCTACGACTGGGCTCTGGGATGTGTGAAGCTGGTGACCAGCATTTGGGACCTGCGGCTGCAGGGCGTCATCGGATTCTACTCCATTGTGCTGGTGGCTCTGAAGAACTTCCGACGCCTGCCCGGCATGATGCTGGCTCTGGGGCTGATGGTAGTTCCCTTCCTGCCGGCTTCGGGCATTATCAGTGTTGGATTCGTAATCGCGGAGCGGACTCTTTATGTTCCATCCATCGGCTTCTGCCTGCTGTCCATCTACGGGTTTCTCTACTGGTATGACAGCAGTTCGGGCCGAGCTTATTGGCGCCTCTGCCTGCAGGTTCTCCTGATGGTTCTCCTCAGTGTAATGATGCTGCGCACACGGCAACGGGCCACAGACTGGCTAAACGAGGAGCAGCTGTTCAAGTCCGGCCTGCAAGTGTGTCCGGACAACGCCAAGGTGCACTACAACATCGCTCGCTTGGCCACCGATACGGGAAACAATACCAAGGCGTTCCAGCACTATCACAAGGCCATTGAGCTGTATCCCGGCTATGAGTCCGCTTTGATGAACCTCGGGAACCTGTATCGGGAGCATGGTCAGCTGGCCACCGCAGAGGAGTACATCCGACTGGCTTTGCAGGTGTATCCCGCCTTTCCGGCGGCCTGGATGAATCTGGGCATTGTGCAATCCGCTCAAAAGAAATACGCCCAGGCGCTGGCCAGCTACGAGAAGGCACTGAAGCACAGGGCCAACTTCGCCGTGTGCTACTACAACATGGGGAATCTGTATCTGGAACAGAAGCTCTACTCCGAGGCCCTGCACCATTGGCAGCATGCAGTGGGCCTGAATCCCCGGCAGCCGAAGGCCTGGGCCAACATCCTCACTATGCTGGACAATAGGGGCCTTCATGAAGATGCCCTGCGCCTCTCGGATCAGGCTCTGCTGCACTTGCCCAACGAGGTCAGCATCCTGTTCATTCGGGCCAATGTTCTGGGCAAGATGAAGCACTACGTTGAAGCGGAGGCGATTTACAAGCGAGTCATTGAGCTGGAGCCCCACAACATGCTCTATCACACGAACCTCGGAGTCCTCTATCACCGCTGGGACAAGAGCCAGGAGGCCATCGAGGCGTATCGAATGGCGATAAGCATTAATTCGGGTAGAGCAACGACAGCGCGGGAGAATCTGAACAAGCTGCTGAAACGCCTGGAAAGGGAGGCAAAGGTCGTCATTGAAAGGTAAGCGATTGCATCTCAATCCCACCGCAGCTCGTCCGAGTTTGAAAGCAATTTGTAGTTGATTGTCTAAGAACCTTGCACCTTAACAAAAAAGAATATTTTCTACTCAAGTCCAAATGGGTGTAAAAACAGAGAGTTCTGTTAATAACCAAAAAGGTTGTGTGCTGAGTCACTAGTCGCAATAACCAATAGTCCATGTACTTACTCATTGGTGTCCCTGAAACTAGAATAAACCATACCTAAGTGAATGTCCATCTCAAATCCCAGTATTTCCTATATATAACACAGGTCGACAGCTTTTTGCAACCAAGATCCGGAATAGACTTTTCCTATAGTTTTTTGATGCGCTGGACTTCAGGTCCACGTCTCAGAAAATTTTCAACACTTTAGGTTTTTAAAATATTTGAACATAAAAACTATTGAAGCTACAGAACCTCAAAAGAACCGAAAAAATGGAACATCTCAAAAACCTTACATATAGGAAACGTTCCGGGACTAGATTTAAGTTCTACTCATCAAAAACTATCGGAAAAGTATATTCCGGTTCATGGTTCTACGATATTTTCAATATTTGCCGGCCTGTTTAGTTTTTATAAGTAAAATTACGTTTAGGATAATTAATTTATTTATTAATTTACGAGGGTATTATATACAATTAATGTTACAACTAATTAATGATCGAACAACTAAGAGACGACTTACATAAATTAGCTAGAACGTAAGAACTACATGAAATACTTTAGAGAATAGCGCAATGGTTGCGCCCGTGTAAAATGATTATTCAATTCCATTAAAGATTCATGTTTTAAAATAATAATACCGCAGATTACGTAAGTTTATATATAACACATGTGTATAAACCGTTCAGGCTGCTGACGAAACACTTTGGCAGAATGCGAGACTACAAGTCGAACAAAAGAGAGAGAGGAATTAACGCGGATACGTCGGTAAATATTCAAGATACATGCCACTATGTACTACATATGTATATGCGTAGGCGTAAAGGTACAACAAAGTCTTTGTGTTTGAGATACGGGTCGGGTCTGTGGGGTTTTTCGGAGGCGAGCAGGCGAGCAACGGCAAATAATAGTGAGCAAATAACACAGCTAGCACAGCAACAACACAGCAGTTATGGCGGAACGAACGATCTACAGCAGCACAAACTCCTCGCTTTCGCTATCATCTTGGTCATTGTCATCGCCCTGCTGCGCGGCGGGTGATAGCTGGGCGCCCAGTTCTTGTGCCAAAGCGGCCACCTGCTTTATGAGGGGCTTGTACAGCGAATCGCTCATTTCGTCCCGCTCATGGTCCATGCAACGACCCCGCGAGAATGTAAACAGCGGATAGTTGGTATCCAATTGCTCGGCCTGTTGTTGTGGAGCTGCCACCTGTGGCATTCCGGCAGTTGCCCCCGAGGCGCAGCGCATCGGATGCAGATACTGGAAAGGATTTCCAAATTATTAGCAGGTATTGAGACATGTAAACCGAGTGCTTAGCTCACCAGTTGTACGCTCTCCATAAAGTTGTCGAAATCACTCTTGGTGGCACAGTAGAAGCCGATGCAACAGCTGGGATCCATCTTGCTCGACTTGAGCTTTCGCGGCGACTTGCAGTGGAAGGTCTGCAGCGAGAAGTTCTCCTGGTTCACATCGACCATCTCTTGGCAATAGTGCGGATCAAGATGAATGAGCCTGTCCTCCTGGAAACCCACAAAGTACAATGAGTGCTTCGGCTTGCCGCCAATGATGCCCAGACAGTGCTCCGTGCTCAGCAGCAGCTTCAGGCAATGGGCATACGCCGGATTCAGTTTGTCGCTGCCCAGTCGCAGGGGTATGAGCACAATGAGACTCTTCCAGTGCTGCTGCTCCGTCTTGGGCACTTCCGCCTGCGGCCGCTTCGCTTGTTGCCAAGGCACATGGGGTTTCGGCGCCGGCTCTGGAATGCTGCACTGATCTTCAATATCTTGCATATAAACTGAAAGACGGAAGCGCTGTTATCACAGACCAGGTCGTCGTTATCAAATAAGACTCTGACCATGAGTAATGGGCTCAAGCAACAAGACTGCTACCATTACTCATGTTCGTATCAGGTTGTCATCGGGTTATCTAATTAAATTCAAAGGTTTCCCCCACTTGTACTTACTGGTGCAGTCCTTGGCTACGTAAACGCTAATATTGTCAAAGTCGGCATTCTCCTGGGCTGCATGCTCCAAGGCGTGTCTGTGGATAAAAGTAAATATAAAATAGCCGTGATAAAGATTCCCGATCTCCGATAAGAATGTTAGCTCACTTTAGCAAATAGGAGACAGAGGCGGGGCCGTACCAATCGCCCGGTTTCTTGCCCAAGCGCTCACCCAGCCGCACCAGGGCGTGGATGGAGAAGGGGCTGCTCTTCGAGGAGCTGTCCCCGAACCATTTAACGATCTTCTTATGCATATTATCCTCGTAGGTGGAGTGCAGCTGCGATTCCGAGTCGTAGCGCCAGCCTGCAAATAAACAAATGTCTTAACATCCCCATTATAATCCCCATCATAAACTTACTTCGTCCCAGGAAGTGACAGATAAGCCCTTGGGCCAGCAGCATCTGTCCACTCCGCAACATGCACCCCCAGCCGCAGTCTGATGTGTAGTTGGAGCCATTCATGATGGGAAACTCCCGCCGATAGGTCATCCATATGCGACTGTAGAAGTCACGTCGAAAGCCTTCAATGCCCTCCTCCCAGGGCTGTTCGCCCACTTGGTTTTCGGCCGCGTCCATGCCCAGCTCCTGCGGCACCACAATTTCGTCGATCTGCTGAGGATTAAGGGCGGGATACAGGGATGCGGACGTCGACGATGTGGCCTGTATGCTGTCGAACGCGGATGTGGCGTTGTCGGGCGACGAGTCCGCACCACTGGGCAGCTCCGTGGTGGAGTTCTCCATGCTCACGGGCGGCGTGAAACGGCGATGATAGCACCGCCCCAGCAGCCACACCGGCTGCTCCTTGGAGAAGCTCGTTTGGCGCATCTTGCCACTCCACCCGTACTTGACATTGTGCCACATGGCCACCAGCTTTGACTCCATCCCCTTTGTAGGCGTCCGATTGGCCGCCAGGTCACCAGGGTCATCGCCGTGCTGCTCCACGTGACCACAGCTCGCGCCGCTGCCGCTACTGCCTCCATATAGCTGACTAAAGGCATTCATGAAACGCGATGACGTCGATATTTTCCGCTGAGGTGTCGCTGTCGCAGCACTTTCCGACTTGAGGTTCAAATTCGCACCTGATGTAGTCACGGGAGACGGGGAGGGGGCTCGCGGAACGGCGAATAGGGTGCGCGGCATCGTCTGGATGGGGGCTGCTTGCTCCTCCTCGACAGCGCCATCCTCCACAATGGGCAGCGACAGCGGGTCCGCATCCTGGAGACCTGAACCCATCCGGCTGCCCTCCACAATCGCACCCTCGCCGGTGTCGAAGATCATCAGTTTGTCGTCGGTCAACTTGGAGAGGAGGTCATAGTTCATCTGCTGGGGCGCCGGGGTCATGAAAACAGAGGCGGAAACGGCGGATGAGCGACGACGACGCTTTGTTCGCAGCTTGGGAAGCTTAAAGAACTGGGGCATGGCAACGGCAGTGCGAGCCACTTGCTGGCCCTGGCTGAACTGAGATTCGCCCGCTGCCGTGCGTGCTAATTACAAATGTTTACTCACCGTTTATTTGTTGACAGATAAAGATAAAAACTACAAGTTGTTTTCTTTATTCTTACGTTCTTCGGTATCGGTGCCTATCGCAGCTATACCATCTCTAGTCCTCAAAATCGATAAAGCTATCGATATCGATACCCTTGTCTGCCATTCACGTGTCGACGCCAGTTGTTTGCCATTCACGTGTCGACGTCAGAAACAGCTGTTCGACTGCAGTTCAAAACAAATCGGTGGAATTTTCTGTTAAAAATAATATTTTCCAAGCAAAATGTCCGAGGAGATCCTTTTCGACTTCCTGCACGCGGAGATAGTCAATTACTGCCTGGGCAACAACAAGGTAGGGAGCAAAAGCAATTGAAAACTCGCTACTACGAGTGGTTGCACCTTCCAGGAGCACGACCTGGCCACTTTGGAGTACATAGGCTTCACCACCGGCTACCGGCTGATAGAGCGGCTCACACGCGAGGTGTCGCGCTTCAAGGACGAGCTGGAGACCATGAAGTTCATTTGCACCGATTTCTGGACTCTTATCTACAAGAAGCAGGTGGACAACCTGAGGACGAACAACCACGGCATGTATGTGGTGCAGGACAAGGCATTCCGCTTTCTCACGCGCATCTCGCCGGGCACCAAGCAGCTGGAGCACGCGCCCAAATTCGTGGCCTTCACCTGCGGGCTGGTGCGAGGGGCCCTGAGCAATCTGGGCATCAACAGCACTGTCACCGCCGAGGTGCAGAGCATACCGGCGTGCAAGTTCCACATAGAAGTCAATAGGAACTAGTTAGGAAGATAAGGCAATGGTTTATTACTACAATAACATTATATTTACTACACACTAATCTAGGCTAATCTTCTCGTAGAACGCCACAACGTTGCGGTCGGTCCAGTTGAGGCGCTCTCGCAGTGTCCACTGGTTGCCGGGTAGCTGGGGCTGAACGGGATTGGGATCTGTGTGGATACCCAGGGCGGGCTGTGGGCCAATCAATATTATCCATCTGCCTCCAAATACATCAAGGTAGTCCAAGAAAGCGCGCCGATTGTTAAAATAGCAGAAGAGAAGCGCGCAAGGAGGGGCGTTTTCGCAGCAACTGTTGAGGAAATCTGCATCCAGTTGGGTGGAATTCTCCGCATAGTTCAGCGGTATAAAACTGCGCACGGAGTACTTGCTCTGCCACCAGTTACGATCCACTTCCAGGCCGAACATAGAGGCTTTCTTTCCACCAGCTGCCGTTATCAGCCATTCCAGGAGCCCGGTGCCGCAGCCAACGCTCAGGACATTCCGGATTCCATGCATGGACAATAGCTGATTGAAGTAATCCAAGTCTGGTGCCGTGGGCCAGACCCAGAGCAGCTTGCGCTTCAGCTGCTGCTCCAAAGAGTCGCCCAACGCCAACAACTTTCGCCAACTGGTGTCCGCCATGGCACCATGGGTTAGGTAATATATCTCACGCAGAGTCTCGACTTCCGACCGCTCGTCGCACATATTGAATACTGATTGCTGACACACTATCGCTGCTTCCGATGGCCGGCGAACTTGGCACTGACGTCGGCACGCGGAAATATGGCGAGCGGCCAACAAGACGGTTTCGCTTCGGTTCGGTTCGCAATACTTGACTTATCGTTAATAAATCAGCCGCCCTGTGATGCAGGGCAGGGATGATAGACAGCGCTGGCATGCCATCAATTTGTGCGCCCCTTTTCGTATGAGGCTTTGAAATTCTTGCGCCAGTGCATCTCGCTAAATTTGGAGCTCCCGCCGTGGCCCGGGCATCTTGGTTGGCTCTGCTGCAGGCCGAGATCCTGAGCGTTCTGTACCGCGGCGGCGTCGTCTACCTCATCAAGGCTTTGCTCGTTCGAGTACTCCTCGTTGTCCAGGTCCAGGATGATCTTGCGATACAGTTGGACGTTCTTCTCGGGCATGGCGTCTGGCAACGGCATGGGCACTGGGTTGGCGACTGGCTTTTCCAGCGGCATCTCAGGATGCGGAAGTGGCGGCGACTGTGGCAGCATCACTGGCTCCACATTGCCAACGCTCTTGATTACGCTGTTGTACCTTAGACTCTTCAATGGTCTCTCCTCCACTACTGCTGGCTCCGGGGCACAGGAGTTTGGCGTTACTATCTCCACACAGTTCTCGAACGCAACGCCCGGATGCATGGAGCGCATGTGGCGGAGCATGTTATCCTTCCGGTTTACCGTGATCTCACATTGAGCACAGCGGTATCGCTTGCCACCAGTCATGTGTTGCTTCTGGTGGCGTGCCAAAGCATCGGCATCGTTGTAGCTCCTGCCACACAGGGGACAGGATAGACGCTCGCGATTTGAGTGACGCTTCATATGCAGCCGAAGCGTGGACTGACGCAGGAAGGACTTTTGGCAAACCTTGCACTTGTGCCGCACGCTGTTCTTGTCATGCTTCCGGCAGTGTTGGTTCAGATTGGCCTTGTTTTGGAACTGCTTGGAGCAGAGCTCGCATTTGTAGGGCAGGCCGAGATCAGAGTGCGCGGCCAAATGGTCGTTCAGAGAGCTCTCCCGTCGAAACTCCTTCTGGCAGTGCGGACATACATGAAGTTCGGTGTTGTGGGTGCGCATGTGACGTTTCAGGACTACTTGCTGCTTAAACCGCTTATGACAGACGCTGCAGGAGTGCTTCGATTGGTTCTCATGGCTGCTAAGGTGGTACTGCAAATGGGAACGGGTGGCGAACCTCTGTGGGGGAAATAAATCTTCTAAGGGGGCTGCACCTGGCCTCGACTATCCTCGAACTTACGCGGTTGCACTCATTACAGCTAAACTTCTTGAGAAGATCGTTGCCGCAAGCTAGGTGGTAGTACTGCTGGGTGCGGCTACGAAAATCCTTGTTGCAGACTGTGCAGCGATAGCCCTGATCCGTGACTACAATGCACTTGTCCGCTGCGGTCCTCGGTTTGGCATCCGGTTGGGCGGCGGGGGCACCACTCTCCTGGCTTGCAACGCGGCACTCCAAGCAATCGGAAACATCCGCTACCAGACAGAGGCGACACTTGGTGTGGCCGCAGCTTTCGGTGACAAGGCGGTTCTGTCCCGTTGCCTCGCAGCTGCACCGCGGACATTTGTTCATAGTTGACGCCTGGATAACATGAGGAAAGCAGGAAACTGCACTTGCAACTGCAGTGGCTCTTCTTCTTGCTGCCCCACAGCAACCAGCTGCTGTCCCCGTCATTCACCGCGAAACGTAAAGCAATTACACTGTTAGAAAAACGTATTGTTTTGTATTTGAAATCTTTTTGCTTACAACTAATAACGATTAAGAAATCCCCTATACGAGAACTATGAGCTGTTGACCTCTTCCTGCCGCCTATTCGCATATATTTTCCAACTCCAACCCGGCCACATGGCCGGGAAACAGGTGAGCCTTCTGCATGGGTACCTGCACAAAGTAGCGTTCGCAAAACTTGTGATTCCGCCGGCACAGGACTTCCGTGAGTATTGTACTGTAGCTAACCTTCTTGGTGATCAACAGTCGCCGGGACTCGCCAGTACCATAGCTGTTGGAGCGCAAGCCCAGCCTGCTGGCCATCCTGGAAGAGGAGAAGACAATTATAAGCGGATCTTAACTGTGATAGGTTTAGGGTTCCTACTGGTGAAAGGCAGCGCGCTCCTCCTTCGAGAACGTCGGCTCAAACTGCATGTCGCGCATGTCGTCCGAGTTCACGTAGTTCTCTATCAGCTTGCGGTATTCAGCGAGACTGCCCTGCAGATTGATTGAGCCCAGTCCAGTGCGGTTGCTCTTTAGTAAATATCTAAGGAAATATATGATCTTTTGTTCATTTTCGTTAACATTAAACCGTGCTAAACACCCACCCCACTGGCTCTTCCCGTCCCTGCTTCTGACGGCCCAGGCCACCGCCTGTCCAGCCCATCATTCGCATCATGTGGTAACCCTTGTTGCTGGCATCCAGCTTGCGATCGCCTAGGCTGTCTGCCGACTCCTTGGTGACGTTAATGTTCACGCCGTTCTTGCTCTTCTCCACCTTGATGGTCTCGCGGGTGGCGTTCAGCTGAGGAATATAAACCGAAACATTTAGAATATACGTCAGATTAGATATAGCGACTATTCCTGTACCTTTATGCTGTAGCAGTGGGACTGTATGAGGAGCAAAGCCTGCTTAAAAGCTGCCATTTTGGCCACCTTAAGGTTTTCGCCTTGGCCGGAGGCTATCACCTCGTCATTGAGCAGTATTTCGGCATACTTTGTCGTGTCGCTGGGCGGCTGCTCTTGGCTGGCTCGCTCCTCGTACTTTATGTTAAAGGTGGTGCAGGAGTTGCGAAGGCAGCTGCGCCCGCCGGCCAAGTACAGTATGAGCGGGCCGAAGCGCAGGCCCTGGTAGAGATCGATTGGCTCGCCACCGCCGAAGCACAGGCGTTCTCGTGTGAATCTGTTCGAGCTATCCTTTGGGGAATCCGCCGCGCGTGGCTGATTTGCGGCTGCACCCCTGCGTCCTAGTTGTTGGAATTATGCATTAGGCAGGCTGTGGTCTCTGGCTCGTATAGTTACTAGTAATATAAGTGATTTCCTCCCGTTCTCTACGCTACTAATTGTTCTTCCGTCTACCTTTAGCGCGCTGCTCCGCCGCGTCTGAGGCCGAGACAAAGGTGCGCTTCAGACGCAAGGCACGCTTTCTCCGGAAATCCTCTGCAATCTCCTTGGACATTTCGGCCACCTGGTGCATGGTCTCGCTGGGGTACTTGCAACCGAGGAACTCCATGTTGACAAACGTCTGGGCTAGGCACACGAGGCGCTCCTCGTCGAAGTTATCCTTGTGGGCCAGCATGAAGCTGCGGCGCAGGTCCCAGTGCTCCTCGCTCTCGTATTCCGTGCGGTAGGAGTCAACATCCCACTCTCCGGATCCGTAACCGGCGTCCGATTGCCTCTTGGCTTTGATTTTCGGCTGTTTCGGCTTGGTGACGCCGCCCCCTGCGGGTGCATCCTCCTCTTTTCTCTGACGCTTTGCCTTGGCTGACATTATTATTAATTTTTTAATACAGTTTTTCGTTGATTTATATTGTGAGGCTAAATAAGTTCAGCGCCAGAGTGACCAATGTTAGAATAAAATATACATTTTCTGGTCACACTTATAATTAGAGGTGGAGACATCGGCGATATTTTGTAATAAATAACATTAAAAAATTAAAAGAAAAATTAAACTTCAAAATAAATAAAAAATAACATTAAATTGGCCTTATTTGGTTTGTAAAACTTGACAAAATCTGTTATTTTCAATTTGTTGAAGTAAAAATTGGAGAATAATTTATATTTCAATTTTTATTAAACAAAAATACTTAAAATATTAAAAAAATAAATAAATAAATAGAATTAAATTCAATTTATTTTTTTTTTTATTGTAAAAATTATAACTTACGATCCCTGGTTTGTACGGTTTATTAATTTAATTTATTTGACATCGATAGTCGCCATAAACATCGATTTCGTTGCTCTCACCTTGCCCATCCCCAGCAACGGCTCTCTCTACCAACCTTTCGTCGTGCCGTGTGTGTTTTTAAGTTCCTGGTTTTAATTCATGATTTTTTGGTAACTTGATTAAACTTTGGAGAGCTACACGACGCAAAGAACGCCCCAATTAATTGCCAAAGTGTCCCCGCAGCTGCCAGCAACCGAACCGAGTGGACTAACCTGCGAAAACAGAGCCAGCAGCTGAAACTGCCAACATGAGCATACCCAACGAATATATTGCAAAGACGGAGGATGTGGCGGAACAGGTAATATTCTTTGGCAATACTGTGATTGTGGCACCTGTGAGGGGTCCCAAAATAACTCCCCCACCGCCTTAGCATTGTCCGGACACTGCGTTTACGGCGATTCTCTGCCAGCTGCCCTCTCGGAAAACTGCCAACGTCACCCAAACGCGGCAAAGTTCACGGCGCTTGTGTGCACTATAATCTCGTCCGCTAACCAACTAGGGGACTAGGTGCGAGGTCGTGCCGTGATTAACTCCCGATTGGGAGTACCCTTGATCCCACTCCCGACTCCAATTGTCAATTGTTGCGTCTGCAGCAGGCGAAACGCACACAGCCGCGCGTCTCTGCCTGCGTGTGTGTGCGAAATAGAGAGGCAAAGAGAGAGGAGAGCTGTCTCCGCAAGTGAAAGTGCTGCGAGAGAGTGAGGGGCAGTTGGACGCCAGCGACCAAGTCGAGTTCCGTAACATAGTGGTCGAGAAAGTCGGCGGCGGTTTAAACCAGCCACTGACGTGCGCGATGGTGTGCGTGCTCGGTATTTATAATATTCAAATTACACGGAGAGCGCAGTCAAAACCCGTTAGCTGGCAGATAGCGATCGGGAGATAGACCGCCGAGAGACACGTCACAGTCATTGACTACCCGAAAGCCACGCTCAACTACTCGTTATCATCGTGCGGCGGCCCTTATCGCCTATCAGCCCATCCTGATCGCACCTAACTTGGCTATCAACTCCTATCTACTCTACTCCGCTCTCTTGCAGGTTATCAAGCGCGGCAAAAATGTGCTGCCAACGGTAGCCCGCCTCTGCCTCATTGCCACCTTCTTCGAGGACGGGCTTCGGATGTACTTCCAATGGAACGAGCAGCGCGAGTACATGGACATGAGCTGGGGCTGCGGCAAGTTCCTGGCCACCGTCTTCGTGCTGATCAATCTCCTGGGCCAGTTGGGTGGTTGCGGTATGGTTATGGCTAGATTCAAGGTTGACATCGCAGTCGGACTGCTCTTCTTCATTGTCGTGCTACAGGTGAGGCGGAATTGAAATCATCTTGCAAGCAATTGACTTCTCACCATTTTGTTTTGGCAGACAATAGCATACTCCATTCTGTGGGACTTCCAGTTCTTGCTCCGCAACTTCGCTCTGATTGGTGCCCTGCTACTCGTTTTGGCCGAAGCCCGGATCGAGGGACGCAGCCTGTTTGCCGGTGTGCCATCGATGGGCGACAATAAGCCCAAGAACTTCATGCAGCTGGCTGGCCGCATCCTGCTGGCCTTCATGTTTATCACCCTGATCCGTTTCGAGCTGAGCGTGTGGCAGGTCATCCAAGATATCATAGGCTCCATTCTGATGGTGCTCGTCGTGCTCGGCTACAAGACGAAGCTGTCGGCCCTCATCCTGGTAGCCCTACTGACGGTGCTGAACCTGTACCACAATGCCTGGTGGACCATTCCGTCCTACAAGCCACTCAGGGATTTCTTGAAATACGACTTCTTCCAGGTATGTTGATACTAACAATTGAATATGCCGAGTGACTTTTGTTACGAATCCCCTCCTACCTTTCGTCCTTGCTTGCAGACGCTCTCGGTTATTGGTGGCCTGCTCATGATCGTGTCCTTGGGCCCTGGCGGCGTCTCCATGGACGAGCACAAGAAAAAGTGGTAGGGCGGGCAGAAAGCTACCGCTCCTCGAACGAAACACTTGAAACAATTGACTTTTACCGTGTTTTACTCTTTCCGAGAAATGTTAGTTAGGATTTTACCATAAAATGGGACAACAACAGGAGCAGCATCAGCAGCAGCACAACGCCGGCACGTATAAGAACTTGACAAATTTCAATAAAGGGACCTTCGCAATACCCTCCTCCCCTGGCCCACTCATAGGGATCACAATCGCCCGGCACGCCCCACCAATACTATCATTCGCACACATTCAACGACAAACTTCGACTACATTTAAGACATTTTCTTTTTGTACATAATGAGAAAAGCTAAAAAAAAAAGGGCGGCCCACTTGAACCGCCCTCCAAAATGAGAGACATAACTGAATTTTATATTGATTGCTTGTCAACAACAACCACATTATTCGCCGATTTTTTATATGATTTGTACTACGCCCTTATAAGTAAGTTGTGTATCCTTGGTGTTTGCGTTTTGTTGTTTGATAGAAGTTTGAAATGAAACCGATGTATAAAATATGATGAGTGTACCAATATTGACAATGATTTGTTTCTTTCGTTTATAAGCAAAAGTGTAATAGAATTAAATTGTAACGTTTTAATAAACCTAAAAGAGGAAAATTTGAGTGCTGTGCGATTTTAAATTTACCGCGATTCAACACTTGGTCGTTTACCAGCACTGCCGGGTCGCTAGCTGAGGAGACTTAACACCACTGGCTTGTGGTCACAATAAAAAAAAAAGGAAAACAAACCAATTACCAAAACTGTAAAGGTTAATTGTATACCCTGCAATTAGATTCTTAAAAATGTATTCATGTTTTATTCAAAAATTTTCGTAGTACAAAAATTAAAGCTTATATCTTGATTAAAATTAATTTAAAAACAGCAAAGTTAATATTTTATTCCCATTAATTATATGGTATATGATATATACTACCTGCAACATAGAAAACACTAATCCGAAAGTTTCAAATTGAATTAAAAATACATCGACTTTAAATACGTTGCACACTTCACACGAAAAGCATCATACCCTTCGCGAGGGTATACAAATTATCAATGAGCGCTCGGCTTTAAATAAGAGTATGTCCCCCAAAAAACACAACATTTCGTGTTTGGGATTCATAGCGCTCGGACCGCTTGCAGCGCGATTACTCATTTTCGCCGGGTAAGAGTTGGTTGCTCGTCGTACTCTATCTTGGCCATAGTTCCTGCTGTCGCCTCTAATCGACAACTAGGAGGGCATTTTTTGTACTCTCGTGTGGGCGTGTGGCAATCAAATCAAAACAATATTAACATTATGGCAAAATTGCGCTACGAGTGTGTAACGTAAGCAAAAGTGAGCGGGATACATTATAAACTAGTTTGCACGCTTTTCACTCTCACTCTGCAGCGGGCGAGAGCTTGGCCACAGTGATACCTCTAGCGAAACACTCCGTTCTGTTTGCACTCCTCCAGCGCATGCACCACTTGCTGCTGCTGTTCTGGCCTTTCTTTAATGCCATTTCTACCTGGCTCAGCGGTTTTTACCTGTGCACAACAATAACAACTAAAGTACACAGGTGGACAAATGTTTTTTTGAGGCTTATGTGATATGCGACGATAAGGTTAAACCCAACCAGTTGATTGTTTCAATTAATCCAGCAAACTGTTTATTGCTTAATTGCACTTGTTTTTGTCTTACAGGAATCGCCTCCATCGCACCACAGAGCCACATTCAGGTTGGGACTCGTTCCGGCCGCCAGCTATCTTAGAATCAGGATGAAGTATTTTGGCGGAGTCGAAGGGTGAGTAGAAACGCCAACACAACACCAACCACTGTTTTGTAATTCAATAACCAATCGCGGTGATTAATGAGTGTGATTAAGTGCTATGCGTTATCCATGGGATCGGTCGGACGGAGGCGATAAGGGTTTCGGGGAGTGTGCTTCAAAATATTCCGCGGGCTTTAATCATAATATTCAAGAGTTTGGTACAAAAACAGTGCTAGATCTGGGCCTTGATGAACTTGACCAGCTTGGTCTCGGGTATCCGCTTGTTCCGCGTGATCAGCTCCTGTCCGTCCATGAAGGGCCTCAGCACAGCGGGTATTTCGATGCCTTCGCTCCGCTGGTACGACTCCAGCAGGGCTATCAGCAGTCGGGGAATGGCAGTAGCTGTGCCGTTGATGGTGTGGGCATGCAGGACCTGTCCGTCGCTTGAGCGGCGATACCGGATGCCCAGCCGCTTGGCCTGGTAGTCGGTGCAGTTACTGCAGCTCGAGAGTTCGCCCCACATCTGACGGCCTGGCATCCATGCCTCGATGTCGTACTTCTGGTATGCCGGAGTGCCCAGCTCACATGGTGGCATGTCTAGCAGCCGAAAGTTAAGGCCCAGACACCGAAAAAGATCCAACTCGATGTTCTTAAACTCCTCCAGCTCGGTTTCCGACTGCTCGGCCGTGCAGATGGCAAACATCTCTACCTTGGTGAACTGATGCACCCGATATATGCCCTTCTCCTCCTGTAGTCCAGACGTCTCGGCGCGATAGCAGCGACTGACGGCGGTCACCTTAAGGGGAAGCTGCTCCTCCGAAAGCTGCTTGCCCTGATATAATCCGGCCAGCGCCATTTCCGACGTGCCCGACAGGCACTCGCCAGTGTCCAGCTTGTAGACCTGGGTGCGCTCGCCCTCGGTGCGCATGCCACAGGATTCGATCACTTCGCGCGGTAGGATGTCAGGCACGGAGATTAGCTTGAACCCGTGACCCGTGACCGCTTGGAGTGCGTACTGTATGATGGCCTGCTCCAGCATGGCCAATTGGCCGGTCAAGTAGTAGCTCTTGTGGCCCGTATAGTTGCCCAAATGATCCATCCGGAAGAGATTAAGGGAGCGGGCCAGCTCGGAGAACTCTTTTAGATTGGCCTGCGGCGGCAATTCTCTGTGCACGTACTGGGCCAGCTCCCGCGGCTCCACGCCGTAGTCCTGCAGTCGTGGATGCGTGGCATTGGGCAGCTGCTCCAACTCTGAGCGCAGCCTGCTCAGAGTGTCCGGATCGCCGTCCTTCGCCTGCTCCACGAGGGAGCGGATCAGCGGCAAATTGTTTTGGTGTTGACGGAGCACCACATTCCGCTCCAGCTCATCGAGCTGGGCACTAGTTGGAACCGGTTGCCTTGGCGCCTCCGCCGCCAGCGAAGCTTTTGCGTCATGCGACCTTTGGCGGCGCAGCGTCAGCAGCGGCCGCAGCCTCCGGACATTTGTTAGCAATTTCATTTCAATTAACTCAACTTATTATAGAGCAAACGCCGGCGATCGCGGGGTTCTGGTCACTATACCGACGAAATCATTAAATGTTTCCGCGTACAATTTTCGTTAATAATTCTGCCGGCTGTTTGATAACCCACTGCAACGAGTTGGCAGGTCGCTGGCCAGCAAGAGAGGGAGAGAGTGGCTTTCTGCGCTGCCAACTCGCTGATTCCCGTTGACCGTTACGTCACGGAAGCACGGTACTCGGTTTGAATTTGCTGCAGAGGTATTTTTACGAGCGAAGTAAATTGGACGTTGGTTAAAAATAGTTAAGGCGGCGATAACAAATGCCTTTTGTTGTGCCCATTTTGCATATGATTGGCTCAATTGAGCCCAATAAGCGGTGCACTTTCGTCACGTTACTTATCTTGGCTTATCCATCCGTCACAGCAGCTGCAATGTAACGGTATTGCAGGCCCCTATTTTCCCTTTTACTTTCCAATTCGGGATAAGATTCTATGTTTGGATATGCCCATATATTATACTCTGCCCGCATTTGGACTGCGGCTAATTGGGACCTGTGGCACGACCCGTCGTCTATGCGTTGTCGAATTCAATTTTGTGCGTGTGACACGTTTTCTTTAAATGAATTTGTCAATTGGCAGCTTCTTCAATTTCAATTTGCGGCCGCGAGATCGGTTAATTCGCTTCAATTTGATTCCATCGCCTTATTTATTGTCTGCGGTCACAGCCCCTTTCACCTATTGTGTAACGATAAAGAGAATCCGGAAATAGATTCAGGAATTGCGTCCCTTTCTCTCCTTTTCAGGGGAGCCACGCACTCCAGGCTGGTCATCTGCGATGAGACCGGTCAGTCAGTGGGCTCTACGAGCGGCTTGGGCACCAACCACTGGGGCATCGGCATCCCGGAGTGCGCCCGTCGCATCACCGACATGGTGGAGCGGGCCAAGGAGGAGGCAGGCATATCCAAGGACACGCCCCTCACAAGCTTGGGTCTAAGTCTCAGCGGCTGCGAGCAGGTTAGCAATCAACATAACCCCTACTATTCAACAGTCCTTTAGAATATGCTTTGATCCCAACAGGAGGCCACCAACCGCGAACTGGAGCAGGAGCTACGCACAACATTTCCAAATCTGGCCGAGAGCTATGCCGTTTCCAGTGACACCATGGGCAGCATGTTCACAGCATCCTCCATCGGCGGCATGGTCCTGATCTCGGGCACGGGGTCTAACTGTCTGCTGCGCAATCCTGACGGCTCCACCTCGAATTGCGGCGGTTGGGGAAACTTCCTCGGGGACGAGGGCAGCGGTGAGTAGAGATCAAGCTGACTGGGGTCGTTAGGCTTATCAGCAGCTAATGGTTGTTTAATGTCATATGAATACCGCGATAATCGGCTGCAGCTGCGATTAGGATTGTCTGATAGCGTTGATTGCCACTGACTCATTGCCACCGTTGTTGTTGATTCATTTTGACCCCCAACCCTTCCACTTCGCAGCCTGGTTCATCTCGTACCGCGCCGTAAAGGTGGTCTTTGATCACATGGACAACTTCGAGAAGTCGTCGGCCCCCGTGGAGAAGACCTGGGCCCTGATCAAGGAGCACTTCAGCATCGAGACACGGTACGATTTGCTGCCCCACTGCTACGCCAAATTCGACAAGCCCTTCTTCGCCAATCTGTGCAAGAAGCTGGCCCAGAATGCAGAGAATGGTGACGAACTGGCACGCGGTTTGTTTCGCGAGGCCGGCGTGCATCTGGCCCGTTTGATTGTTTCTCTGCTGCCCAATGTCCACAAGGATCTGGTCAAGTCGGGTGACCTCAGCGTGGTGTGCGTGGGTTCGGTGTGGTCCAGCTGGGACCTGCTAAAGGAGGCCTTCACCGCGGAGCTCTCCAAGACGCCTATTGACTTTAACCTTAAGATGGTCAGCATCACCAAGAGCAGTGCCTACGGAGCCTGCTACCTGGGTGCGGATAACGCCAAGTTTGAGCTACCGCGCAACTATGCGGACAATGTCACAGTCCTGCACACGTACACGGATCCACGGAGGAAGTCGGAGGTTAAGACCAACGGGGTGGGCAAAGCGCCAGTAGCCGTGTAGTTGTTAGATGAATCCATTCCGAAATAGGCAATCAAAGTGGCCAAGTGTTAGCAGACGCACTTAGCGGCTTATCTATGATGTTGGATACCAGATACCCCTATCCCCAAAGTTATGACTTGGTGCCAACCGAGAGAGTATATATTTATATTTCATTAGCCTTGATGAGCTCCTAGGTGAACTTTAATAAGTTGGTTAGCTTCCTTGCTTGTTTTTTATATAGTTAAAATTAAAAAACACAAAAGCCCTTTATCTAAGCCACCGAAATAGTAATTTTCCGACTTATTGGGTTTGTTAGAAATACGTATGAAAATTTTATTCGATAATGTTCATTGTATTAATTGTGTAAATGTGTCTCAATGTTGGCTGTTGTTACAATATCTTCCATTATAATTGCTGCATCTAATTTGTAATACTTTGATTGTATTTAAAGCCAATTCGTTTTTATTTCGCCGTGCTGTCTGTCGTCAATTCTTTGGCTAATTTGATTCTCAAATCGGGGGCGCAAACGAGAGCGTGTCTATTTTGTAGCGAAGAAATAAAGAGAGGCCAAACGCAATGTCTTAGCGATCTTACTATAGAGTATTTGGGATAGCTAAATATAATGCAATGGGGATCAATACTATATCTATATATATATATATAATTGCTTGGATAATACATTTTACGTACTGTACGAATAAAAAACATTTCCAATAAAATCGAATTTAAATAAAACCCGAAACTCCAAAACAAATTGTCAAGATTTGGGCGAGACCTTGGCTCTATCGGTTCCTACATTACGACAATGAGTTCCGCCTTGTGGCGTGAAATTGTATCTGCGATTAATTGCGCTTAAATGCATATTCCCGACCGTCGATCGATTCAATTGTTCATGCTCTGGCGCAATCTCTGCGGATCCTGGTAGTGGGAGGACGACGACGATATGACCGACGGATGCTGCGGCGGGGGAAAGCACCGCACATGCTCCACGTTTGAGCCCTCGCCGTCACCACCCTTCAGATACTTGTTGAGAATGGAGAAGATTTGTGAATTTAATACTTGGAACCGACGAATACGATCCACCATCCGCTTGAGTTGCTGCAAAGGCAAATTGAACTTTAGCTTAGCTTTGACCAATTAGCAAGGGAAACTCACAATGCCCTTGACGTCTTCATCCTTGCCATCGACGCGCTGTACCCGCAGAATGTGGTAGCAAAAGTCAAGAGCCTCAAAGCGCCGCTGCTGGCCAAGCAGGACAATCATGACGCAGCCCGCCCAGTTGAGGCCCTCGCCGAAGAGCTCCTCAATGGTGTACTCCGTTCCTCTCACTGGAATGCAATAGACAAACTGCAGGGCGGACCACAATCGATGGAACTCTGAGCACTCGTCCACATGGATAATCCCATTGGCGGGCGGCGGACCACACCACACCGGATCATCCAAATAGCTCTTCACGCGATTGAGTATCACCTCGAAGATGCTCAAGCCGCAGCACAGGCGTTCGCGTGTAAGCAAATCCCCCTCCCGTGCGATCATGGCTTGCTGTTGGTTGTAGAATTTCGTTGGAATCTTTTCAATAACTGAATTCTTTGGAATCTTACCTTAGCAGTGCCGATCTTTTCCACATTTGACACGATTTGCAGGTTGGCGAACTGGGCTTCAAGTCGCTTTTGCTTGGCCTCCGGTTTCTCGTTCTCTGAAGAGGTAAAGATGCACAAGAGTCCCTTGAAAAAATACATTAAAGCTACATACCTTTGCAGAATGGCCTGGGAAAGATGTTTTGAAAGAGAGCCGCGTGCAACAGATCGCACACCTCCTCCTGGGAGAGTGCCTGTTCGATCAGCAGGCAAAAAATTATGCTGTTGCCAAACTCCCTGAAGGACTGAAACAGCTCGGTCTTGGCATCCGGATATTGCACGATGTCCGTAAGATGGGCCTGATAATAGCTCAGCACGCCCGGGGATCCGTACTCGCAACGAGGAAGCTTGCAGGACTTTGGCATGGCAATCATCAGGGTCTTGGTGAACTGCAGCAGTGAGCCCTGGATCAAGGGCTTAACAATGTCCTTGAGTATAATGTCCATGACAACGGCAATGCCCTGGTAGCCGAGCAGGCGGCACATTGCATGGAAATGGGGCGAGCCAACAAAGCCAGTATACTGGCCATACTGGGTGGAGTAGGCGGCATTCAGCTGTTTGGAGCCCCAAAGATAATAATGCGACATTTGCGGCGGCTTCTCCCGCTGAATGGCCTGGGACGACGACAGATTTACTTTGGTGCGAATAAAGCTAAATGAAGAAAATTAACATTAAAAGTAACTTCATTATGCAGGGCTCGTAATAATCCTGATAACTTACCGATTTGTGGCTGCATTGTAGCAATAATTTACCAAAAAGTCATAGTTTAGCTCCACAAAGACGTGCAGTGTAATGCGGCCGTACGGTGCCAAAACATTGTGATTAGCCTCCTTGACCATGCCATCAAAGTTGTCCAAGGCCAAGTATTTGCTTAGTAACTTGTGGCAAATGCGATTGGCCTCCAACAGTCCCTCCAGTTCCTAGAAAAGCAACATGTAATGCACGTCCTTCCTGCTCTTTATTTGCTTCCTGAATTTACTCACCACAATGCCAGTTATATCGTTGCCCTCGAAGCGGCTGATGGCCAGCTCAATACTCTTGTGCATGTTGGCGTTTATGCGCTGGGTTACCAGTTTGTTTAAGTCAATGGAACGACCTGTGGACAATTGGAGAAACAACATAAGTAAATAAATGTTGTAATCTAGAGATATGCCTGCTTACCCAACAGCTGTACATGTCGCTGCTTTAACAGGGTCTCATAGCGATTGTTTCGGGGATATGACTGAAAGTTGAAGCCGAGCACTTCGCACTCCAACCGGAATCGCTTGTCGAGGAAAATGCTACCCGCCAACTGCTTGTAATGGGCAAAGATCTGTTCGCTCAGCTTGTAGACAAACTGGTCGAAGCACAGATTGACCTCGGCCTCCACTTCATCATAGAGGAACTGCTTGCGGAAGACGGTGAGGGCATAATGCGCCGAGTCGTTGTACAGATCCAAAGGATACAAAACAAATCTGGAAAATATGAATACTGTCCTGTGAGTAGGTCTTCAAAAAGTCAAGCTCTCCTTTTGATACTCACTCCATCATCGAGGGCTCCTTTGTCTGCAGAATGTGATCGGTGAGGATCCAGGGCATAGACATCTCTATGGGGAACTGAATGCGCTTCTCCATAGTGATAAGATCCTTGCATTCCTCGTTGTGCTGGTGCCGCACCAGGCACTTGTTAACCTTGCGACCCATTGTCATTTCCAAGTAAAATTCACGGTACCATAGCTGGGAGAGATCGCAGCACTTCTGCAGCGTGTCGCTGAAGTTGAGCAAGTAGCTCCAGTAGAAGGAGGTCTTGTGGAACGTGTCGATCTGCATCAAGCAATTGCCATCGATGTCCTTGCGCAACGTGCGCTTGCCGCCGCTCTTGTCGGCAATCAGCGACTCCAACATCGTGCGCACCATGTACAGCTGCGTAGATGAGGGGCCCACGTTGAGGCGGGGAACCTGTATGCGGAAGCCGCCGTCGGGATCCTTTTTACCCTTGGACACTGGGTCGTCGATGGGCTCGTAGCCCTTCTGCCAGTCGGCCGAAGTCTCTCGCACCGACATTATGATGCTCCGGATCAAATCCTTCTTGTTCTTCACCGCCTTTCGTAGCGGTTCACGCAGCGAAAGTTGCACAAAGTCCTGCAGCTCCGAGTAGATGTTGCGCCGGATGGCCTCGCACAGAACGGTTTCAATGCGCGCCATCAGCACCTGCAGGCCCTTGATCATGGCGATCACCTCGATAAGGGCGAACTTCTCCTCCGAGGTATAATTGTAGCGGGTGGCCCGCTCATATTCCTCGGCCTCCACGGGACACTCCTTGTTCTGGTGGTGGTCGGTGGGGTGGAGCAGCTTCCAGGAGTACAGCTCCGTGACGACGCTGGTCCACTCCGATAGCAGTTGGAGGCCACGCAGGGCGAGGTCTGAGGTGATCCGGTTCTCGGCGTCAGAGGGATTCTCCTTGACGGTGGTGGTTACCTCGTTTGTGTATCGGGCCAGTTCCGATATATACTTAACGTGGTCCTCGCGTATCTGGGGCAGATGTACCATCAAATCCGCCTGGGGGCTGATGGCATTCGAGCTGGAGAGCGGCCACTTGCTGGAGTCGAAGTGCTTGCTACGCTTGATGTAGTTGAAGGGGGCGATCTGCATGTCGCCGAAGAGCGGCACCACCTCCAGGTTCTTAAAGATGCGGTCAATGCGGTCCAAGCGGATCTTCTTCTTCTGGTCCAGCTTATTGATGTTGCAGGCATCGCTGTCCATAAGGAACAGGCCGAAGCCCATCACCTTGACCAGCATATGCTTCTCCTCCGGTGTCAAGTACATTTTGGTCTCAAACATGTGTACGCAAATGTTGACCACGTCCGAGAGCAGATCTTCGTAGCCAACGATCTTCTCCAGCGTGTCCTTGACCGTGTCGCGAATTTTGTTCTGTGTGGCCAGGAACATGGAGAGATTCTGGGACTCCTGCAAGGTGTGCGAGTCGGACATCACCTTAAGGAACTGGGCCGCGCGCCGATACGTGGAGTAGTCGTTCTTCACACTCGACTTCATGTTCTTCAGCTCGTCCAGGACGGCAAACATGTTGATGAACTTGCCCAGCGTCAGCAAGTACGCCTCGGACACGAAATCCTTGCGCTTCTCGGCGTGACACAGACGCTTCACCTCGCCCGAGAAGGCCTCAATGGCCTTGCGCTGGAAGTACATGAAGTTCAGCAGCTTGTTCACCTCCGGGGCCAGGACCTCCACCGTCTTCTCGTAGATCTCCACTCGATTCGGCTGCTCGTTGGACTTGGGCTGCGGTATGGCGCGTGAGCAGCAGCGCCAGGTGTACAGCATAACTGCATGCTTCTGCCCCTCGTCCAGCAGCACATTCTGCGGGCGGAAGTGGGAGGGGGTGTGAGTAATTTGACCCAATGAAGCAGAGAACTTTGGTATATCTTACCAAATTCGCGTGAGTGGTTGCCTCCTCAATGTACTTGGCGATTCCGGTGACAAATCCATTGCGGTCCTCGAAGTTTGTGTCGAAGTTTGCCTTGTAGATAATGGAACAGGGCTGGGCCTCAATGCACGGCTGCTCATCCGGCAGCGACAGCTCGTCCAGCACCTCCACATTGGACAGCGCGTCCGCTAGCGTAATCTTCTCCGTCATGCTGTGCTCTTTACCATGCCTCCGGAGGCCCGAATTAAATGCAATTTATCAAGGCGGGGCTGCAATTCCCCGAAAGTACGATTTTTTCGCCTATCGCTGCCACAAATACACAAACAGTTTCTTGTCGTTCACGCGGAAGCGCCGACACAGTCTTAATTTCGTACCGTTTTTGTGTCGTATTCAGGATTTTGTTTCTTGGTCACACTGATCCGCTTTCCTGTGGTATTTTTAAGAAGCTCCGCATCGGTCTGCAGTCGGCGTCAGTTATTCAGTTTTTGAACTCCCCTTTTTTATTTGCTTTTCCGTGAAAAGAAGTCCATATCCTTGCAAGATGTCCATGTTTTGGGGTAAGCGGTAGCATTTCGATTACTATATAAGTAAAGCCTCTGGATGATCACTTGGCACTCATGGGTCCGGGCGGTTTTTGTTCGAGCCACGTGCTTGCCCCTGTCGCGGTGCCGGCAGCGTGGACGGCGGCGCCATTTGTATCGTCACGTTTTAGTCTGTAAATCATACAAATCTTCCCGCCGTTTAGGTTTGCATATGAAGCCTAGGCGCAAGTACTCCCAGACCATTGTGAAGTCCTTCCACATTTCCGGTGTCGCCATCGATGAGGGCGAGAGTGCCAAGCTCTACGTTACCAACGAGACGGAGAAGTTCATTGTGGCCACAGTGTCGAAAGCCATTCCCCAGGCCCCGCTGGACCTGAACTTCAGCAAGGGCGACCAGATTACATTCAATACGGAGGGTGAGTTCCGTGAATTTCGGAATTCCTACTCAGAGATGCACAATTCATGTTTTATTCGCTTTGCAGGCGATGCTACGGTATCTCTGTTGGGCTATTTGCACGACATCGACTCTGACGATGAGGACGACGAAGACTATACCATTGAGAACTTGCTCAAGGATACAGCCAAGCAGAATAAGAATGGGAAGAAGGCAGGAGCTCAAGCTGAGGACGAGGAGGACGAAGACGAAGACGATGAAGATGAAGATGGTGAGGAGGAGGAGGAAGACGATGATGACAGTCGCCTAATTCAAGAGTACGAGTCGTTCCTAGAAAATGGAGATGAAGACGACGATGATGATGACGATGAGGACGAGGACGAGAGCGCTGAAGAAGAAGACTCCGATGACGAAGAGGAGGTGGAGCAGCCCAAGGCCAAGGTTGCCAAGCTATCACCGGAGGCTAATGCCAAGAAAGGTGCCAAGGAGCAGAATGGCGTCGCTAAGAAGGAGAAAGAGTCAAAGACTCCGCAGAACCAGAAGACCAAGGCCGAGGCCAAGAAAGAGCAGCCCAAGGCAAAGGAGCAGACTTCCAAGCAACAGCTAGGTGAGCGCACCATTACCGGTGGCGTGAAAATTGTCGATGTCTTTCCCGGCAAGGGAGAAGAGGCCAAGCCGGGAAAACGCGTCTCCGTCTACTACATCGGCCGCCTGCAGTCGAATAACAAGACATTCGACAGCCTGCTTAAGGGCAAGGGCTTCAAGTTCGCTTTGGGCGGTGGCGAGGTGATCAAGGGCTGGGACGTTGGCGTCGCCGGCATGAAGGTGGGCGGCAAGCGTCGCATTACCTGCCCGCCGCACATGGCCTACGGAGGACGCGGATCTCCCCCGACCATCCCACCCAATTCGACACTAGTCTTTGAGGTGGAGCTGAAGGCAGTGCACTAATCCATTTAACCCACATCATATATGTAGACTCGTAAAGTAGCCATTAAGTACTTTTCTATGCAAAACTTGATAACATGTTAAAATAAAATAAACACACTTTGTTTTTCGCGCTGTTCATAGATCAACAAGTTTATTTTTTCTCCTTTCCCGGCTTCTGGGGCAAGCCGACCTCCAGCAATGGTTCTGAATTCTGCTTCCAGTGCTCCAGCACATAGGGGAGTCTTTCACTAGGATCTGTACTCCAGTGGTGCAGACGGCACTTTAGCCGCGCCTGCTCCAACTTATTAATGGTCACGGTGCAGTAGAAGTCCTTGTTCTCCTTCTTCAGATCGGGGCCCTCGATGCGCTCCTTGGGCAAGGTTATGCACTCCTCGCGGCAGTGGAAGCCGGCCTTGCGCAAAGAGGCCTTGATGTGCCACGGCTCCAGCACCCACGGTTCATCCTTGTTCATCACCACCGCCAAGACAATGGACTCTAACATATTGACAGTGCGCTGGGCGTATGCCGAACTATGCTTCACCGCCGACTTCTCCGCCTCAGTTTTGGCGTACTTGGCCACGTTCTCCGGTGTATTGTAGTCGGCCAGGCCAGGGAGGAGCAGTTTGTTGTAGACAAAATGTGGCTTCATTGACACCACGTCCCCCTTGTCACCAACGCCCTCCACGAAGGTCTTCAGCACCGCCTCCATGTTTGGCCGCTTCTTGACCAGCGTATCCTCCACAAGCTCGTAGATAAAGTATTTGGCCCTCATCCGGCGCGGCTTCTCGTTGGTTTTGTGCAGCGGCGGGTCATATTTGCGCTTGAGCACGAATGTGGTCTGCAATCAGGATGTGGTGAGTGGGGATCGCTTCCAAGATTGCTATTAGCACTTACTCGCACTTGTTGCTGCAGGCTGGTAGCCGATTTAAGCAAATTTAACGGCGTTACGTAGATATTCTTCAACATTTTTACCACCAGTCGGAGTTGCCAGACTGCACACGTGCTTTCAGAGCTGCCAGATGGTAATACTTCAACGGTTGCTGGCGTTTTTGTACCCGGTACCTAAAGGTACATATTTTCGGGGATGCCCCAACGACTCAATGATTAAAAATAAAAACAAATACAATGTCTTACTTTATATTTAATCACTTAGTGTGAAATAATTTAAGATTATATGAAAAAATACAAATACATGTCTTGCGGCAGGATTTTTACTTTTTGAGTCGATCCCTATACGGCAGATTATACCACCGATACATCGAGATAATCGATTCCTCATCGATTTACTCAACAGAGTTGCCAGACTGAAAAGCTTTAAAGTGACATTTTTCAACGGATGCGCTCACCGAGACACCATTGTGTTCACTCATATTTTACAGAATTTAATATTCCTGGAAAATGTTTTTTAGTAAGTGGTAGCTTTCTATGTATGGGATTTCTGGACTTCTTTTGGGTCCGTTCGGTTTTCGTTCGACGCCATTTTCTTCTTGTTTCGTCCTATTAAGAATAATATAATTCATAAATTTCCCGCTATCTAGGTCTAAAAATGGAGCCTGGGAACACCTACGTTGGCTGGACTCAGAATGATCTGCACCTATCGGGTGTGGCCTTCGAGAAGGGCGATATTGCCAAAATTTACGTAAAGTACCAAAAGAAAATGTCCATTTTGGGCACTGTGTCGCAAGTGATTCCCCAGGCGTTGCTGAACTTGGACATTAGCGGAGGCGAACAGATTACGTTTACCGCCAAAGGTGACTTTGACTTCACTAATGTTTATATGTATGTAGCTATCTAAATTTCTGTGTTACAGGCAATGCCACGGTTTCTTTATTGGGCTACTGGAGCGATGATGATTACAGTTACATGATGCGAGCGTACGATAACGAAGAGCCGTTCAAGTTCAAGGTTGTCAAGGCATCACCCAAAGCTAATGCCAAGAAAGTTAGCAAGAAGCAGAATGGCGTCGCTGCTAAGAAGGAGGAGAAGGACTATGATAAAGAGAACCTGTCACTTCTGGGAAATGTAGATAAAGACGTGAGTGGTGAAGAAGTCTCCGCTTTGATGACTAAACTAAACAAAACTAAAGCAGACTAACAAGCTCAAATAGCTCTTTTTATTCGATCATTTTGAAGAATATCTTGTAGCAGTTTTGCAAGGAAGCACACAATTTTTAATTTACAGCCCAAAAAGCTATTAAAGAAGTAATTGAAAGACAGATTTGTTGTTCGAATTTATTTACATAAACACTATTTTACAATCCACGCAACATTTAGGGTTCGATAGTGTTCTGGATCCAGTCAACATACTTGCCCACCAGCGTGTAGACACCCGGCCAGCCGGCCAGGCCGCATGGTGTTGGTCCAAAGGAGACAACGCCCGCCAAAAAGTAGTACGTGTTCACCTTGTTAGTATCCAGTCCAATAAGCGGGCCACCGGAGTCGCCGCGACAGGAGTCTACGCCCTCCTTGCCGCCCGCGCACATCTGAGTCTCCTCCAGAAGTATCTGCTGGCCACTATAGACGCCTTGGCACTCGTCCAAGCGGAATCCCTCGACGGCTGCCTTGAGCTTTAAGGGACTGGTGGACTGCTGCTCCGTCTTGCCCCAGCCCGCCACGTCCATGGTGATGCCGTCGAACGTAGCTGCTCGCAGGTTCGCATCCAGTGGTAGGCAAATCGGACGCACAAAGTCGGTGTACTCAATCTGCTGCCCGAGACGCAGCAGTGCGATATCGTTGACTTGGTTCTTGGAGCCAGGAATGTAAGCGGGATGTGGCACAGTGCGTTCTACGGGCACATCTAGATGCGGGGGCGCGCAGTCCTTCATGCCACGCACATCTACCTCGCAGTCGGGATCAGTGGAGGTGTCCCATTCGCCCAGACGTACTCCTGTTAGTCGCCAATCGGTGGGCAGCGATTTACCATTGACACAATGAGAGGCGGTGACCACGTATCGGGTGCTGATCAAGGAGCCGCCACAGTGATGACCTTTCTTGCCCTCAGCTGCATAGTGGGAAAAATGATAAGTGAGCTTTGACAGTGATTTCCATTGCTCTCACCTTTCGTGTACTCGATCAGCGCCATCCAAGGGAACTCGTCAATCTTTGTCTTAACGCCACCATAAATCCGGTTCGAGAGTATATTGCCGCACTGGCCGGGCAGCGGGAGCAAACTGGTGCTGGTGATATTGGGTTTAGTCGGCGTTACTGCCGCCGGCGAGCTGTCCCGATAGCGATCTGGGCAGCAGATCAGCACCTTGCCGTTCGTATAGCCGCACTGGCTGCGGCTGAGGTACAGGCGGTCTGTGTCTCTCAGGGGGCTGGTCGTCAAAATGCCATAAAGGTATTTGCAGTCCTCCAGGTGGATGCACAGTGCCCGCTCCCGGTTGGGCGTGATGCAGCGTCCATAGTTTGGCACCTGAGCAGCCTCATTGGGGAAATAGAACTCTGGATGTAGAGGGATTAAAGACGCATGTAAGTAACCGCTTTCATTCATCAAGCTAACGATTCGGTATTGTGAATATCTTTGGTTATTAGTTATAGAAGCGTGGAAACAGGTTTTAGAAGGCCCGCGGCAAAACAAATAAGCTTGTCATTCCCAGAAGATGTGAATCTTGCTGGAGTCCCATAGCAAAAGACTTCAATTTTATTTACTTACGGCCCGCCGATGATTTCGCCAAAATGCCCAGAAACAGGCAGATAACTGGTAGTTGAAACATTTTACGTTTCGCAAGCTTAATCCTTTCTTAAGACGTCGTCAGTGGGTATTTGGTTTGGCTTTAGCCTGGTCTCGGTGCTAAGCGGTATCACAGATCGATCGCAGAAGCAGTTATCAAAATAAACGGCACGATAATATGGACGATACAGATGTGATGACTAAATCGGAATTCCCACAAAGCGGAGAGCGGAGTGACCGAAGCGAAGCTTGGCACACGACTGAAGCTGGGCCAATGGCTTCACTCAGTGTTCTCACGAGCTTTGTCCCATAAGCTTTTCGGGGTGACTCGAAATCAGATACGAACAACAATAGTGGGATCAGATAGGTGATCTTAGGTTTAATATAAATGATTCTTAGTCTATAAAGGATAAGTGTCCCGAGGTACTCTTATCAAAGTTTGTTGAGTAAGCTATTTCTGTATCATACTTACAAGAATTAAACCAACCTTCGTTGTAACCTTTTCTCGCCGTTATTGAAGAAGGCAAAGCTTTACAAATTTTCATATGATTTTATTGATCCCAAATCAATATACATATTCATTGGGTATTCTTTAAGACTTTGGCATAGAAGGCTTTGGATGAACTTGCTTGGCTTCGGGTGCCAAGCGAACCATCGCTCATTGGTTGGTTATTCCGTTGATGCTCCGCACGATCCAATCGGTAAAGCTACTAACCAGCGTGTAAACCCCGGGAATGGTGGTCACACCGCACAGCGTTGGTCCAAAAGCCACGATACCAATTAGTGTGTGGCGTCCCATTGCTCCAAATAGACCAGAGCTTCCGTCGTCCATAAAGGGACCGCCGCTATCTCCGCGGCACACGTCGTTCATGGGCTGTCCCTGAGCACAAAGATGGCTCGGCGTGATCACGATCGGCTGCTGGAAGTTCTCACTGAGGCTGGCATAGGCAATGGCGCAGCTGGTGGTGTTTACTATTGGCAAGCGGATGAAGCGCACCGTGGAGGAGGAATTGTTTGGCCCAGTACCTAGAGATGGGGGAAATATATATTTTTTCAGGGATAGTCGGCAATAAACGTAGTAAGCAGATCTTGACAGTAACAGTTAGTTGAACAATTCAACAGACCAGATATAGACGATCTACATTTTTATTCGAGACTCACTTTCCGGATTCCTAGTACTCCAACCGGCTGCAACTCCCGTTTGTCCAATCAACCTGTTACCCAGGGTCGTCGAGCTGTTCAAGGGTAAGCAAATGGGCGTAATGGCTTCTGCCATTACAGGACATAAGTCCTGAGATAGTAGTAAGGAGAGTCAGGAACACTTACCCCCTGTGTTGTTGAGTCGCAGAAGAGCGATGTCGTTGGCATATCGGGGCTGGTCATAGTTCGGATGCACCATAACCTGGCTGATGGCCAACACATTCGACCCATCTTCGCCTCCAAATCTCACATGGGATCTGTTCGAAAGAATAGCCTGGCTTAGAATGCACCATTCGCTTTCTGATTTCAACTTACAGTTCAAGGTCGCTGACAAGGTTCACCACACAATGGGCGGCGGTGACAATGTAGTTACTGGAGATTAGGGATCCAGAGCAGCGGAAGCTAATACGGCTGCTGGCTGTAAACATAAGAATAAAAAGACCCATTAACCCATTTCCTTATCTATTCCTCAGCCACTCCCAGGAAAAGATGTGCGTGTGTCCCTGTGGCAGAGGCAAAGCACCGCCACCACCTCCAGGTCAAGCCACTTGCCAATCTCAGGGAGGAGGATGTGGTAGAGGTCCTGGTGCTTCTTTCCACGGCGGTAATGCTACCGATCCTTCTCGCGTCTGTAGTGATACCGATCCTTCCCGTGATAGCAAACTTGCCGCTCCTCCCCCGAAACGAAAGCCCTGTGGCCCAAAACCCTGTGGCGGTGGAGGCCCGTGTGGAAAGTGTGGCAAGGGCGGACCTGGGGGAAAAGTAGGTCCTTCTAACGGAAATGACCCTGGATTTTCGGCACCTCCGAACAATCGAGGACCCGTGGCCCTGGGACTGGCTGCTCTACTCTTTGCCTTTGGAGTATATCTCACCACAAGAATGGGCATCGTGGCCAACGAGATTGGCTAGGATAACCAGGGAAATGGTTCGCTCCAGACCGAGATCTTTAAGAGATTCCTCATACACAAACACACAGACCGGGTGTTGCGTTGATTTGGGGATGGTTCATTAAATTCTAAATTGAGGTTTTAAAGCGCCTAATGGGGTACTCACTTCGATTGCGATAGGCGATCCTGGCCAGCCACGGATACTGCCCTGCTGTGGCCTGACTTCCACCCAGCAGCCGGCTCTCCACGCTTATGCCGCACCCTGGCAGGTTACCTTGGCTTATCGTCACGGCGTCGGGTGCTGTCGGTGTGGTTATTGTTGTGGCTAAGGGAGCTGGACCCGGGATAATCGTTGGCGGTAGAGTGGTAGTGAATGGTGCCAGGGGAGGTCCTTCACTGGAATCAGCGCTTGTATCGTCTCCGCCCTGGCGCAAGAAGCGCAGATCCCCGGGAAACACAATTGGTCTGTCCATGGGATTTGGTCGCGGAGTACGCGCTCCATCGCCCCTACCGTGTTCTACGTGATAGTGAAAGTGGTGTCCGCCAAATCGTTGGTCAAAGAACTCTGGTTCCACTGGCTGAGGACAGTTTCGTTGCTCTTTGAAATCCCAGTAGTCATGCAGACTCGTTTCCATTTCCAAGTAACCAATGTGGGAGTGGGAATGCGAATGGGGGTGGCTGCTACCCTTGCTATCACCAAAGTCATCCCATATCCAGCGGTCGTCCGGCGGTGCAAAGCGCAGCATGCGACTTGGCTTGGCCGGGGATGATTCACCGTGGTAGCGCTTGCGCGATGTGGGACAGCAGACCAGCAGCTCAAGGCCTTGGAAGCCGCAGCCTGCCGAATGCACCTTGGCGAACACGGCGGACTGCTCTCCGGGGCCATGGTGAAGCAGAAGGCGGGCAAAGGGCGGGCACTCGCCCAGGCGGATGCACTGGCAGGCAGCCGTACCGGGATACACTAAAATGAGAAGAACCGACTAGAGGATGGATGACTAGGCAAGAAATAACAGCGCCGCCAAGGTCAATGTCGGCAATCGCGAACCAGAAAACCAGCAAACCAGAAGTGCCCGCGGCAATTACTCACTCACTCACTTTTGTGGAGCGGCGTTCGTGTTCGCGACCGCTCGCGCGGTTTATTGCCCTTCGCTTGGTCGGCTGGGAATTTCTAGTTGGCCTTGACCCACTTAGCAGGTTGTTCCTTAATTACCCAGCCCGTGAGGCACGTTCGCTTCTTCAGTCTTTCGTTCTTGCGGAATAGGAATGCCCGGGAGTACTGATTCACTCACCTCTCAGGAGCAAAAGGATGCTCAATAACAGACTGGCGACAAGAGCCTCTGGACGACGCATTTCATTTGAGATAATTACAGAATCGAACTCCGCGGGCACAACGTCGTCGGTCCAAGCGCGAAATTGAAATAAATTGGTCCAATCTCCACACCAGCGCATGCATATCTTACTTCCACTTCCAGCTCTTGATTTTGTGATTTCGATTTCAGCGGCGGCGGCGGCGACGAATCACAAGCGGAAAGAGAGCGACGCGAGAAAACCAATTATCAGGCCGTAAACACAGATTGGCCAAAGAGCAGCCGTAGCAGATCCCCGAGCACTATGAGTAACCGGCCAGCGGCCAGAACAGCCACAGCCACAACCCGATGACACAAAAACATGTTTTCAGGTCGAACCGAGCTAGTTAGCAAAGCAACAAAAAAAATAAAATAAATGTACAGGATACGGGATATGTGTAGAATGGATGGAGCATTTTACTTCTCTTTTAATGATGCTTACAATTTACAATTTATGCTCTCTTAAGATACTCGATGATGAGGGCCAAAGGGCTGCAGAGTGGGAAAAAGTCTTACTTCTTGGCCGAGAGCCCAGGATTGTGGGCTTCGATTCGATTACATAACTAGAAATGCATTGCGTGGAAATGGAATGTCATGTGGCGGATGGCGTACAGCTAAAATACTTAACTAACTCATTAAGCCTTTTCATAGTCGGTCTGGTTTGTCTTTAACGAGCGGCTCGGTTGCATCTCTAGGCAACCGGGGGAACTTCTGCGGCCGAGGCTGCCACGGTGACTGTAACGCTATTCTCGACCTGTTCTACAGGTTCGACAATCGCTGGAGTCGTGGAAAGAGATGGGGATGGCGATGGAGATGTATTCACTGCAATCGTTGTCACTGCAGCCGCTGGATAATGGCCATTTACATCGGCAGTGGTATTGCCAGCAGACTCTGCTCGTGGCTCTTCTTCCACGTCGTCGTCATCATCAACGGGCGTCTCTTGGCTCAAGACCGCCGCTAAGCGATTGTCATTGTCTGCCTCAGCCTCAGGAGCTGGCTCTGCCGCAACCACTGGCGCTGGAGCTGAAGCTGCGACCTCAGCCTCCACAACGACCACCGCCGGCTGCTCCAGTTCATGCTCTTCGCCGCCATCGTCGCTCGTTGCCCCATTTGCATTTAAATGCACGGCAACGTCGCCATTGTGCACACCATGGGGCCCCCTCAGCTCATTGATGATCTTCTCCCCCACCTTCTCGTCGATCTCGCTGATCTTTTCCTGTAGCTTGCATTTGAACTCGATCGGCCATTTGGGGCTCCATTCACGGAACAGCTTAATCTGCGGACAATGAACCGTTAGCACGGCTGCTGTGCTGCGCTCCAACTTTCTACTATGTACTTACGCGGCACTGGAAAAGGCTCATGGGCTTGTCCTGCACGACTGCATTGGCCAGGGAGTTCACCAGGCCGTTCACATAGACACCGCCGCCCACGTCTGTGCTGCAGCCACGAGCCAGATACTCCACCAGAACGTAGACAAAGTCGTCCCGCTGCAGCTCGCTCCACTCATTGAACCATTGAATAATGTAACGGAACTCGCCGTCTATTGATAGATTGCTCATAGACATCTTGATGCTGTTTGTTTATGTGTTTGCTGCTTTTTCCCACGACGGTGACGCCCCCGCACTGACTCTGGGTGGTGGCTTATCGATCAGTTTCGCGCTGCACTGGCACGGATTCGGGATCCGTTGGCGTTAATGTCGATGCGGCTGCAACTTCAGACTGGTGCCCAAAGTGCTGAATGCTAGCGAACGCTTCCAAGTTACCACAGTAAAACCCGTTTCCACTTCTATTTTTCCCACAGCTCGGCTTTGTTTAAGCTAGGGATGCGCACGTGAGTAAACTTGGTTTCAAACTGTGCACGCACCACAAAATTAAGCTCAGGCTTTTGGTCAAACCCGCTTTATTCATGTTTCTAAGTTAGTTTAAGGATATTTTATTCGTAGGACACAACTGTCAAATATGAAATTCGTAGTTTTTTCTTTTGTTTTCCTATTGTGCAAATTATTTTTGCAATCACACGTGAGACGCCGTGACACGAGCTCGGCTCTACTGCTAACCTAACTCAAAACAGCTGATTTTCGATAAACGTTGCAAAGCCCGTTATCGATTGCCCAAGCTGCGGGGGAAGCTTTAAAAATTAGCACAATTTCGTTCCGGAAGGCCAGATAACGTGCTTTTTAAACGGAACGCGCCACTGTTTATACAAGTGGCTAACCCGATAGACCATAGTTCATTTATCGCCAAGACTTGCCGCGTGTTGAGCAACACTAGTACTAAATTCGTCTGTCGTTTTCCAACCCTCGAACATTTTCAGACAGTAAATAAGTTTAAGAAAATAATTTTGTTACAAAAAAACATGTCTTCGTCCGAGCTAGAAATAAAAAAGGCTGCCGAGGGCCAGCAGGAGCAGCAGGGCACGGCCACTGCAGAGATTACGGGGCCCAAGGAGCCGGAGGCGGAGACAAATGCCAGTTCGAAAGCGGAATTGGATTTTGCCGCGGCCGAGCAGTTCAAGAATCAGGGAAACGATTTGCTCAAAAGTAAGTACCGCCCCCGCATCACTTGCACCGCGATGCCCACGCCAGGTGGACATCGTGCAGGCGTCAGCGCCAGCGCACTCCGGGCGACCCTAGTTTCGGAGGGCCACTTCACCCTAACCTTAAAGCGGAGATACAGAAGCTATCGCTGTGTGATAATTTACAAGTCTTCGGCCCCGGCCACTTCCACTCGACGGGCCTAATTAGTAATACTGACCGCCTTCCCCTCCCCTCTCCCCATGCGCAGCCAAGGAGTTCACAAAAGCCATCGACATGTACACCAAAGCCATAGAACTGCATCCGAACAGCGCGATATATTACGCCAACCGATCGCTGGCGCATCTTCGCCAGGAGAGCTTCGGCTATGCCCTGCAGGACGGCATCTCGGCGGTGAAGGCGGATCCTGCCTACCTCAAGGGATACTATCGCCGGGCAGCGGCACACATGTCCCTTGGCAAGTTCAAGCAGGCCCTCTGCGACTTTGAATTTGTGAGTAAGCGTACCCGGCAGCTCTATGACTCACTAATGACCCCTGAAACGCGAATGCACTTAACTTTTAGGTGGCCAAGTGCCGACCCAACGACAAGGACGCCAAGCTGAAATTCACCGAGTGCAACAAGATCGTCAAAATGCGCGCCTTCGAGCGGGCAATCGCGGTCGATAAGCCCGAGATGACGCTCTCCGAGATGTACAGAGACATGGAGAATATAAGTAAGTGGCTCACCGCAGGCACCTCCCCAGAAAAAGAAATAAAAAGGTCATCTAACTTCCAGCTATTGAGGATGACTACAAGGGGCCACAGCTGGAGGACGGCAAGGTGACTCTGCAGTTTATGAAGGACTTAATGAGTCACTACAAGGAGCAGAAGCGATTGCATCGCAAATTTGCTTACAAAGTGAGTTCTATCCCAACGTTATTATCTCCTTTCTCTTAAACCTCCCTTCGTCGTAGATACTCTGCGAGATCGATGCTTATATGCGCGCTCAGCCCCCGCTGGTGGACATCACTGTGCCGGACGAGGAGAAGTTTACGATTTGCGGCGATATTCACGGCCAGTTTTACGACCTGATGAATATCTTCGAGATAAACGGACTGCCGTCCGAGAAGAATCCCTACCTGTTCAATGGCGATTTCGTAGACAGAGGCTCCTTTTCCGTGGAATGCATATTCACGTTGTTTGGCTTCAAGCTGCTGTATCCCAATCACTTCTTCTTGTCACGTGGTAAGTGGCGATCCGCCATGTCTTTTAAACACGAATTAATCGATCGGATGAACTCCAGGCAACCATGAGAGCATCAACATGAACCAAATGTACGGATTCACCGGTGAAGTGACGGCCAAGTACACCAGCGCCATGGCCGATATATTCACTCAGGTCTTCAACTGGCTGCCGCTGTGTCACTGCATCAATGAGAAGATTCTGGTCATGCACGGCGGTCTCTTTTCCTCGGACAATGTCACCCTGGACAATATCCGGCGAATTGAGCGCAATTGCCAGCCGCCCGAGGAGGGGCTCATGTGCGAGCTTCTGTGGTCCGATCCACAGCAGTGGATGGGACGCGGGCCATCCAAGCGGGGAGTTGGCATCCAGTTCGGTCCGGACGTGACCGAGGCGTTCTGCAAGAACAACAACCTGGACTACATTATACGCAGTCACGAGGTCAAGGATATGGGCTACGAGGTGGCCCACAATGGTCAATGCATAACAGTCTTCTCAGCTCCCAATTATTGGTAAGTACTGCTGATAATTGCTGAATTACGTACATTCTCCAATTTATGGGCTTTTTCTTTCAGTGATACTATGGGAAATATGGGCGCATTTATTACCATAACGGGAAACAACTTGAAACCAAATTACAAATCCTTCGAGGCAGTGGTAAGTGTGAGCATAGAATGGCGCAGACGGTGATGTATAAACGATTTCTATCCTTATAGCCGCATCCCGACGTGAAGCCCATGGCCTATGCCAACAGCCTGATGAACTGGCTGGCGTAGTCAGTTTCCTAAATAACTTCAATAGCTAAACCACAACACAACACATACACATTTTCCAACAGCTTGAGAACCCACAACCGCAGAGCAGTGCAGCTTAAAACGATCAAAGAGGCAACGGCAGAGGATTCCGAGGAGATGCTCAATAGACTTTATGCACACAGCGAGCTGCTAGCTTCACTACTTAAGTACAAGTATTGCGAGAGATCGAGGCGCGGAGAGCCCGATGAGGATGATGAAATGGAGGACAGCAATCATTTTATAAATTCAGCTATATTTGATACAGATCGGAGATATGTTATATTGTATAGAGTGGCTTTAGAAGTCGGATGCTAAGTTATATCGGTGCCAAGCATCTGCGGTTCCACTTGTAAGTGAAAAAATTGCAAAGAAAGAAGAGACAGTGTTTGTTTATGCATAGCATTTAATCATTTTTGGCTACCAAACGGGAAATTCTATTTCAATTTTGTTTGTTCGCGAACCACGCTTCATTTGTGTATAAAAAACGTTTTGTTCAAACAAACCCTTGCCTTGTTTATATTTAATAAAACTATTCAAGTTAGAGATACCTCAATAATAAATAAAAATAATCCAATGATTTCTTCGATCCCTAAACTATTGCATACTCCTCTTACGTACACGAGCAGACAGCATGTGAGCTGCCCGAAGCGCATTAAAAGACACATCTAGCATTAAAGCCTGTAATGTTAATCATCGAGTGAACCAGAAAAATCAGAATTAGAGCAATTGTGAAATACATAATAAAAAGGACGGTTGACTGTCTGTTGTTCTTTATTGGTCAAGGTCGTACGCTTTAGGCCCACTAGCCGCTAGGATGAAGCCCATGGCCTCGAGGATCTGGTTAACGTTGTCCTTGTAGTCCTTGAGGTGAGCCCGCTGCAGGAGCGTCACGTAGACAAAGGGACCGTTGTAGACCGCCAGCTCGAGGAAAAACTGTCTGGCCAGCGTCTGCAGTTCCGGCGGCTGCTCCTGCGCGAGGTAGAGCGCCGCCGTCGACATTAGCTCATGCAGATGCTTTCCCTCTATTTGAAGGCCGAGTATGAAGTCGGCGAGGCTTTGGAGCAGCTTCAGTTGCAGCTTGTACTCCTGGGTCTTGGCCTGCTGTTTGGCTTCCGTGCTGCTGTGCCGACTGGCTGCCTTGAGGAACTGCTTCAGTTGAGGTATCACATCGCTGAAAAGGCGGCATTTACAAATGCGCAAGGAACTCGGGGGGGAAAAGATGATAACTCACCTGAGACTTCGTTTCAGTATAAAGTCCTTGGCATAAATGCCCAGTAAGTGGAGCAGAGTGAAGCAACGGTTGAGGACCAGGGCATCCTTTTGGCGAAACTTCTCGACCAGGGGCTGCCACACCAGATGAACCAGTGGCAGGAGCTCGTTCTCGTAGGCTGCTAGCAGGGGCAAGCCACTGGAGAAGCATTCAATGGCCGCTATCTGCTGTGATTGCTCAGCGGTCGAAACGAACTTGATAACCTGACTTAGTATGTCCTTGACCATTTCCACATGGCGCGGCAGTACTGGCTTCATGGGTTCCGGTACTGTATCATCTTCTGCACCTGCATTCTCCTGGTCATCCTGGGCAGGCGAATCGGGCATATCGGCATCGCCATTCAAATCGTCTAGCAACTGTGGCTTCTTAAGCGCATTCATCCATGAGCTGAGAACACTCTGTCGCTCATCGTCCACTTGCATTGGCTGATCGACAGCATTGACCTCCGCCTCGGCGTCACCCTGCCAGTTGGAGACGTGCTTTAGGAATGCATTAAACACGCGCAAATACGAGTGCACATTGGCCGTCTGGTGGGACTTGGAGCACTCCTCGCGTATGGTATGGAAAAGGCTGTCGAGGTGGGGTACATTGCCACGGCTGCTGTACTGCAGCACCACGGTGAGAATGTCCACGGCAGCGGTGCTCTCGTTAGAGCGCCGTTTTAGCAACGCGTTTAGGTGGAAAGTGATGTAGTCCGTGGAGCACTCGATGAAGTGCGATGGCTCGGCATATTTCAAGGCCAGCTGCATCGAAACGAAGGCGAAGCTGGCCGCCTGATGGACAATGGTGTTACTGCTAGCCACCTTAAGGAGCACCTTGTGCAGACTCAGGAATATGTACCTGTCGAAGGTGTCGCCAATGAAGGTGGCACAGTGTCCCACTGCATCTAGCACCAGACAGGTGTGTAACACATTGAACTGGGCGTCCGCAATGCTCACTCGCTTGCTGACCACCTGCTCCGACTGCTCGTCATCGGAATCACAGTCCTGGGTGCGCACCTCCACTGCCGAGGAATAGATACCCGGGGTACGCTCCTCAAACCAGTGAGTGGGCTTGTCCACTTTGAGTCGCCAGGCTGCGTCCGGCTGCAGGGCCAGATTCCAGTGCTCATCACAAAGCAGTTGGTCCAGTAAAAGTCTCGCTAGCTCCAGGCGACTTTCACGCGCCGCCTTCACCGCCGGCCGCGTCACCATCAGGGTTAGGAGTAACACAGCCTCGTTCATGGCCATGGACTTTTGCTTAATCAGGTCCTGGCAATAGTCGAAGATCAGGCGGTTCAATGTGGGCTCAGCACCCAAAATTGCTGCAATATCATACAGGATCGCTACTGTTCGGTCCGAGCCCAGATGCTTGAACTGGCGCCATGTCAGCTTGGACAGCTCTGCTGCCAAGTCCTTGGAGTCGCCTTCGCGCATGCGACGCAGGGAGTACTCCTCGTTCAGAAGCTCCCGACTGGTGCTCAAGTCAAGGGCCGTCAACAGGCAGGTGACGAACATCTCCAGGTTCTTGGGGACCAAGAGCAGCAGCTGCAGTTTCTGAGCATTGACGCTGCGCAAGAATCCCTTGAAGAAGAGCAGCTCGGCGAACTGTTCGTTGTCCTCGCAGCGGTGCAGGATTCGTGGCCATTTGTTCAGGTGAGCATCGAGTAGCATCTCGGCATTCTCATCAAAGATGCCCTGGCTGCTGGGCATCTCTTGCAAATGTAGCAGGGTGTCCCTGCATCGTTGGGCCACCTCAGGGTCCTCGTCCTCCGACAGGGCCAGCACGCTCTCCAGGATGTGGAGGAAGTTGCTCCGCAGGTTGTGGGCACAGTGCCTGAGCAGCAGGCAGCACATTTCGGCATAACTCTTTCTTAGCCTTAAGGCCTCGTGTGCCCTCAAAATACTTGTCTCCACGAAAATGGGCCGCAGGCGTCGAGATGTGGCCGCCACCCATTGGGGCGAACGCAGCTCCGCTTGCATTTGATGCAGTCGCTCCTCATTCTGCTCGATGGAGCCCTTTTTTTTGCCGAAATAGTTGAACTCACCCTCCGGCTCTATGCGGCCGTTGGTGCCGTTGAAAAGATTTCGAAAGGCATCGACGTCGTAACGCATTTTCATATACTCGTCCGTGGTTTCCTCGAACATGATGCAGATGATGCGACCCAGGGCTTGAATGGCCATCTAGTGAAGACCTTATCATTATGGATCAAACGAAAAGTTCAAGACTCTGCTTACCGATTTTATGGTTTCGCCAACCGTGTCATCCTTTAAGGATGTCTTAAAAAGTACTATAAGGACCTTTGGAAGGAATATAAAAATGGTATCGGCCACCTGATTGCGCAGCACCACATCCACCGGATCGGATTCGTCGTGAACGTAGAAAGCCACCAGCAGGCACTGCAGGGCTGATTGCACCAATTTCCGATACTTTTCCCGCTCAATGATCTCCAGGAGCGTGAGCAGGATCTGTCCCAGCAACATGGCTGTCTCCTTGACGTAAAACGACTCCAGCACATCGCTGGTGGACCGACGCAGTGCCTCGAAAATGCACTGTATTGCTGCCAGTTTGATTTCTTCGGAAAGATTCGGTAGCATAGCCGCCGCCTTGGGATCGCGAATCTGTTGCAGCACCACCACCAGGATGGATCGCAAGCCCTTGTCATCCGCCAGGTATGTGTGCGAGACAATGTTGCTCAGGCAGTTCATCAGGCTGGTGCGCAGCTCTTGGTTCTCCCTGTGGGAAACCGCAAAGATTAGTAGGATTCTAGGAATGTGACACGCGGCGGAAGTGTGGGGGAGTCACACTTACCCGGACAGTTCGTCCAGCTTCAGCACCAAGGGAACCAGCGTTTGCACCTGGTAGATGCGCATTTCGCCAAAGTTAAATCCCTCGATTTCGCGCTCCACCGCAGACAGGTTGTCCTTGTTGGGCTCCTTTATGAATCCCTCGATGGCGGGCTTTATCTTCGTCACATACCGCTCCAAATGCATCATCTTGGAGGCACGGAAACAATAACGAAAACAGATTAAAACGAACCAAATGCCGGCAAATTCGCAAAACAAGTTTAAACAAACACAGCTGTTCGCTGTTCGATTAACCGATTAACGACTAATCGATTGAAATCGAATTACTTACTTTTTAAAATTTAAATTTTAAATTGGAAAGATATTCAAATAAAGCTCTGTTTATTTTTTAATTATGAAGCATTGAACATTGATAGCTATCAGTAATGTGGCTGTGCCCTAAATCATTAGATTAATTGTAGAACTCGTGTTGAGTCTCGTCCTTTCGCACGCTGGTCTTGTAACCCTTCTCAAAGTCCTTGAAGTTGACCACATAGCGATTCTCGCGCACTGCATGCATTCCCGCCTCCTGGCATATGGCATTGATGTCAGCATTCGAGATATTGTCCGGACGCGCGATTAGATCCTCCAGGTCCACATCCTCGCCCAGATTCATCTTCGAGGTGATTGTGGAAAAAACCAGGCGCTTCTGACGGCGATCCGGCAAGGGAAACTCTATCTTGCGGTCCATACGCCCGGGGCGCAGTAGAGCCGGATCCAGGGTGTCAGCACGGTTGGTGGCCATGATCACCTTAATATTGGTGGTCTCGTCGAACCCGTCCATCTGGTTAAGCAGCTCCAGCAGGATACGCTGCACCTCTCGGTCAGCACCCGTCTGGGCGTCAAAGCGCTTCGTGGCAATCGCGTCGATCTCATCGATGAAGATGACGGAGGGAGAGTTCTCCTTGGCAAGGCGGAAAAGATCTCGCACCATGCGTGGTCCTTCGCCTAAGTACTTCTGGACAAACTCGGATCCAACCACACGGATAAAGGAGGCAGTGGTGTGGTGGGCCACGGCCTTGGCCAGCATTGTTTTGCCACATCCCGGTGGGCCAAAGAGCAGCACTCCACGCGGCGGATCAATACCTTAAAATGGGACTTGATGAAGGGGATGGGAACAACTTCGGATACACTTACCAATCTGCTTGTACAGCTGGGCATGGGTGAGCGGCAGCTCCACAGCCTCGCGTATCTCCTGCTTTTGCAAGTCCAGGCCCCCAATATCCGCATAGGTGACGGCGGGCCTCTCGTCCGGCGTCAGCATTGAAATCGTGCTGTCTGCCTCCGGCGGCACTAGATCCACTAGGCAGTTGCTCTGCTTGTGGAGTGCCACCGAAGTGGAGGGCTTTAGTTGCTCCCTGTCGATGGTGGACAGGACGCGAACATAGTAATTGGAGCCGGTGGTGGACGCCACAATGCCGTTATTTTCGTCAACCGCCTCAAGGAACTGGCCAATCACCAGAGGCACGGCCTTGATGCGCTTCACCTCCTCTTGGGCGTGTAAGAACTCCTTCTTGAGATTGCGCTGCTCCTCCTTAATGTAGTCCTCCTGCACCTGAATAAGCTCCAGCTCCATTTGGAGCTTCTTATACATCACATACAAGTCCTCCGGGCTAAGGCCGTCATATCTCGGCAATGACCTCTGGTGGAACTTCTCAATTTCCTCTTTTAACAGGCGGATTTTCGACATGTTTCTACGAATACTGGAGCGGAAGTGAAAAAAGGAGAATGACTTGAATTTTCAAAAGCTAAACGAGGGACGAGTTGAAGTTGTTATCGATGACTGCGATTCGATCAGTGTTGGACAGTGACGATTGACGCAGTGCCTCTGTGACGCACAATCAGCTGTTTGCCGCGACCTGTTGTTTCTCTTGTTCTTCGTTCTTGTTGTGGTCTCGACGTGGATGGATCTATTTATATATCTACTTCGATTTTATTTTGGAACCACACATATTCTACTCGCCTCTGAGCATATATATCTTGCTCATTGGTACTCTTTGTCTGGCGGGTGAAGCACACGGTTGGTTCTTCGACCAAAAAGGTTTCCAAGTGCAACCCTTGCGGAACGCCGGCCGGGAAAGGAACATTAATGCTATCATTGCACCCACCACACAGCTTATATAGATAAATACAACAAGGAATATATACAAGTCGGTGACCATTATGTAATGCGACGGGGGCTGCTCCAGCATATATAATACCAACAACGACCTCCCGAAGACCGAAGATCGCCATGGACTTGTTGGTGTTTCTAACGGCGGCCGCCCATCTGGTGTACACACCCTTCACCAAGGTGGAGGAGAGCTTCAATCTGCAGGCCATGCACGACATTCTGTACCTGCGCAACAACTTCTCGCAGGTGAGTTACTTTAAATACTTAAATCTTTTAAACCCTCGATTGTATATCTCGTTCTGCAGTACGATCACCATGAGTATCCTGGGGTGGTGCCTCGCACATTCATTGGACCTCTGGTGGTGTCCATGCTTTCCGCGCCGTTTGTGCTGCTCTTCGAGACGCTGAACGTTAATAAGTTCTGGGCGCAATATGTAGGTAAAAGGCAGCTCGCCAACTTCTGCAACTTCTTCAGTATTAATCTCTATTCCGCGTAGTGCGCCTTGTCCTGGCCGGAGCCATATCTGTGGCGTGGACTAATCTGCGGCAAGCCGTGACCAGGATCTATGGCGTAGAGGTGCGGCTGTGGTTCACCGCCATAACAATTACGCAGTTCCATTTCATGTTCTACATGACACGGCCGTTGCCAAACATTTTTGCCCTGCCCATTGGTAAGTAGTCCTCCCCCTGCTCCTCTGTACCCACTTTTTGTATTGAATTGGGATCTTTGCAGTGCTCTATGCTATTTCCTATTGGCTGCGCGACCAACACAAGCCGTTCATCGTATGCTCTGGCGTCGCCATCCTCGTCTTTCGCTCCGAGTTGGCACTATTTTTGGGTTTCCTGCTGGCGATCAGCCTGCTGCAGCGCAAATTCTCCATTGACGGGTGCGCGGTGATCCATCTCTGACATACTATTTCATACTCATTCGTTTATTTATTATTAGGATGCTGAAGATTGCTCTGCCAGCAGGTATTTGCATTTTGGCGGCCACCGTGCTGGTGGACTCGTTCTTCTGGCGCCGCCTGCTGTGGCCCGAGGGTGAGGTTCTTTGGTACAATACCATTCTCAACAAGAGTTCCAACTGGGGCACATCGCCCTTCCTGTGGTACTTCTACTCGGCCCTGCCCCGGGCCATGGGTGCATCCTTGGTGTTTGTGCCCATCGGCATTGCCCTGGAGCCACGTATTCGACCCTTGGCCCTGTCAGCTCTGGCCTTTGTGCTGTTGTACTCCATATTGCCCCACAAGGAGCTGCGATTCATCATATACGTGTTCCCAGTTCTCAATATAACGGCAGCCTGCGCCTGCCAACGCATGTAAGTTGGGCTTCAGTTACTCTACGGCATGGAAAACTTATTATCTTCCCTTTTAGTTGGATGAACAGCGCCAAGTCGACGTGGCATAGTTTCCTGGCTCTCGCCTCTGCAGCTCACATCCTCCTGAACGTCGGCATGACGGTCTTCTTGCTTGTCATCTCGGGCACCAACTACCCGGGCGGAGCGGCCCTTTCTCGGTTGCATCGCCTGGAGGCTGGCGCCTCGAATGTCTCCGTGCACATTGCCAACCTGGCCGCACAGAGCGGCGTTTCACGCTTCATGGAAATACGCGATGAGTGGACCTACAGCAAGGACGAGTCAATGAATTATACTCAAGCGGAGCTGAATCGATTCACCCATCTCCTGATTGAGGCCAAAAATAAACAGAATACGGAGCTCTGGTCATCGCTCCAAGAGGACTTTGATAACCTGGAGTTTGTTGACTGCTTTAACAGCATCGGCATCCAGTACAACTCCCTGCTTCCTGTGAGAATCAAAACGAAGCCGTGCATTGGAATCTTAAAGAGACGGCCGGCGCCTCCCAAGGAAAACTCCAAAATCAAAGATAGAAAGGTAAAACCTGCTGCTTCCCTCGTTGAGGAGAAGCCCAAATTGAAAGAGAAGAAGAAGGTGAAGGCTGCTCCAGAACCCGAAAAGGAGGAAGTATCACCCATAACGGCGAAGGAAACTCCAAGGGAAAGAGAGAAACCAAAGGGTAAACCAAGCTTGGATTTCGATGACGACGATGGCATTGTCGCCACGGTGGAGGAGATGTCCCTAGAACTGGACTACATTGAGCAGCTCAAAGATGAGGCAGAACCAGAACCCGTCGAGACGCCAGCCAAGGAGATAAACTTCCAGGAGCTTCGGAATCTCGCCATGGGACAAACGACTAAGAAATCGAGAGCCGCTACCAAGCTGAAAATACGTAAGATCATTGAGCAGCATTACCGGGCCAAGGGAAAGCAAATCGAAAACGATTCCGCGGAGCAGGCGCCAAAGAACCCCCAGGGAGACACTGGCGGGCGTGCCGGTGTTCGGCAGTCCGTTAAGTCTATCATCAAACAGGAGAAGATCAAGGAGATGATTGAGCAGATTGCCACCATGGACCTGACCCGCATTTGCGATCTGGAAAAGACATCAACCAAGGACTGTTTAAAACAGGTTATTGACAAAATAGACGATAGCGAGAGCGTGAAAACCAAATGACAAAAATTGTCATCTTTTGAACTGTTTTGAATTAAAGATTGTAAGAGTTTGTAAAAAGAAAATAAAAACCAGATTATATTTGTAAAAATTGAGGTTTTTTGTTTAAGAAACTGCAAGGGAATATACTTTCCTCTTTATAATTTGTAAAACTGAAGTTTTATTTGATGATTTGAAAATAGCGCCAAATTAGCCGCATTTTCAGTCCACTAAAATCCGCATACAGTGAGCGGTCACACTTGTCTCATAGAGCTGCCAGACCATCGGTCCACGGACTAGTCAGTTTTATGCATTTCTTTGCCACACCAGCCTCCCCACGCATCGCTACGCTTCTTAAAATGTTTGATCTACCACCCGCACCTCCACAATCCGAGATCTAATCCGCAAGAGAGCCAGGAAAAGCCATTTCAAGTTTTGACCCCCCCGGTGCAAGTTTGACCTTGAGCAGCGTTGCCAGACCGCGGTGCACAACCCTACTGATATCAGAATTATTTGATAAAGCAGGTAGCAGGTTGTGTAGCTCAGTTGTTGCTTTTGACTCGGGGGAAAAAATGGAGCTGACTGGATGGGTGAAAAATTACGACTGGGGCCGCAGAGGCATCAACTCAGCGGTGGCCCAACTCGCCATGGCCAACGATCCGGACTTCAGGCTCAACGAGGAGGAGCCCTACGCGGAGATGTGGATGGGCACTCATGTTTGCGGCGTATCCGTGGTTAAGGAAACCGGCGAGACGCTGGACCGTGTGCTGAAGACGGACCTCTCCTACCTGTTCAAGGTACTGAGCATCAACCAGGCGCTCAGTATCCAGGTTCATCCGAACAAGTGCGAGGCGGAGCGGCTGCACAGGGAGCGCCCGGATATCTACAAGGATCCCAACCACAAGCCGGAACTGGCCATTGCTCTGACGCCGTTCTTGGCACTAGTTGGCTTCCAGCCGGCCAGAGATATAAAGGACAACATTGACGAGTTCCAGCCGCTTAGCCAGTTGATTGGGCCGGAGGCAGTGGATCAACTTCACGAGGCTCCCAACGCTGACAGCGTCAAGCTGTGCTACGCGAAGCTAATGAAGACCGACGACGCGGACATTGCCAGGTGCATCAAGGCCATTGCTAAGGACTACCAGAAGGGTGAGCTAGTAAATGGGGTAGCCTCCATCCAACGCTGTCTCAAAGCGCATTGCTTTCAGAGTTAAAGTCCAACGGCCTGCTGGAAGTGTTCACCAATGTAAGCAAGGTCTTTCCCGGCGATGTGGGCGTCCTGTCGCTGTTTTTCCTTAATCTGGTCCGTCTGAAGCCCGGTCAGGCCATCTATCTGGGCGCCAACGAGATACACGCCTACCTCGACGGCGACTGCGTGGAGTGCATGGCCTGCTCGGACAATGTCATACGTGCCGGCTTGACGCCCAAGTACAAGGATGTGGACCAGCTGCTTGAGTCCGTGATCTTTGAGAGCAGGCATCCCGACCGCAAGGAGTTCATTCCCTATCACGTCGACGAGCAGGTGCAGGTGTATATACCGCCCGTGCCGGACTTTGCGGTGATCCACGTGAACATCCATCCCTCCCTCCAGTCGTACAAGCTGCAAATTCAGGCCTTCGGCTCTATTCTGATTGTGCTGAAGGGCTCGCGCGTCTTGCGCCTCCAGACGAATCAGGGGCCCAAGGAGATAACGCTAACGCGAGGCAGCATTGTGTACATTCCAGTGGAGGCGGCGCCAGAAATCGAGTTTGCCCGGGCTGACGATTGCGACGACGTGGACGACGATGACTTTACCGGCTACATAGCAACCAGCAACTACTTTCGAGTGCCATAAAAATTCTCAGTTAATCGGCTAATAATCCTCTTGTAAAGTGCAATAAAACAAACCATAAGGCCACTTTTGGTGGTGAATTCTTTTATTTTCAAATAATTGCATTTTAAGAGCTAAGAATGTAAGCGATAAATAATGTTATCTAATTGGCTATACACGTTCGTAATACAATATAATAATTAACGAGAAATATCTTGCGCACAAACAGGTCGGTCGTTTCCTAATAATTAATTGGGATTATTATTTGCAATCAACAACGTTTACTTAGGCTAAGCGAAACTCATTCGGTTACATTCACTTGGGATATACATTTAAGAAGCAGGGGGTCGGGGGGTTCGAGTGCGAGTCTAGGTTACATTATTAATTCAATAGAATCTGTGCTGGACTGTTTTGTTGATCTTGATCAAGCATAAGAGGCTCAACAATGGAGAACATAAAATTGGCTACGATATGAGACACCACAAATGATCAGTGATCGATGTCCGTGTCCGGTGGTTCTATAAATTGTAAATATATCCATACATCTCAGTAGTTACATGGCTTTTGATTCCACACAGAGTTTGGTAAAATGCTCAAAAAGTTTTGTACCAAAAACAGAGTACGTCCATCGTCTGGTAAATCTCATAATAAAATTGTTTCCGGCAAATCCGCGAGGAGTTCGCCCTTGTTTGTACACGAGTGTAAGTAATAGTAAGTAGTTACTTTGTGGTTCGCACGCATATAGTACAGTAAATATATGTAGATAGTAGAGTAAGTATAGTCGTAGAAAGTAGCAAGTTCTTCCGGCTGGTGAGGTGCGCTGGTAGGTGTGTAGATGGGTCCGTTACGTTTGCCGCCCCGCCAGGAGTCGGAGTCAAGTATACTACTTGTATTTGTATATAATATATAGTATAAATAAAGCAGTAGCCTGCAGTAACAGCTGCTGCTCCTGTTTGTGCCCACACAACATTTTTGGTTCGTACCCTCTCTGGCCTGGTTGATGGTAGTGGGAGGGGGACTGACTGGCTATTCCGTGGATTCCTGGCTATCGTATTTCACTATTGATTTTGAATTGAGACCGTCTTTGTGCGAATTTAACTCTTGAGCAGGTTGTTGGCGCGCTTGTTGACGCCGTCCATGCGGATGTTGTTGGCATCGCCCTTGGCATTGATGCGGTCCACCTGCTTATTCTGGTTCTCCAGCTCCGAGCCCATGTCTAGCGCCATGTTCCGCAGATTTCCCAACATGGAGTTCACCTGGCCCAGATTCTCGTCCATCTCATCCTCACGGGCATCGTTCGTAATACGCGCCACATAGCCTGATTGCGGCGGAGCGCCCATTCCGCCGCGCTCCCTCTCATCGATGACGCGCTGCGGCTGACTGGCCACGATCTTGCCATCGTCGTTGGCCTTCCAGGCGCTCTCGCCGTCATCCTTGATGTTCACCTTCTTCCAAGGCAGCACACAAATGCCGCAGCACTTCTCCATGCCGCTCAGATTCTTCTCCGCTTCCCGCATGTCCGCGTTAATGCGATCCATGCCCTCCTCGATGCGGTCCAGCTGCTCGCCCTGGTCGTCGAGAGCCACCAGCGTGCGGATGCCCGCCTCCTTGCTCTCGTCCATCAGACTGAGCATGCGGCGTGTGCTCTCTAAAGACTCATCCGCCACTTGGCCGGACTTGAACTGGAGCTCCTGCAGCTCCGTGCGGGGCTCATTGTTCTCCACGGCGGCCATGTCTGGATTAGCTGCTTGCCTCGAAAAGGTGACTTAAGTAATTGGCAAGCAAGTGGTTGCGCGGCGACGGCGACGTCTGCTGTCTACGTACGGCTCTCGGGGAAATCTGGGCAAGTGACTCACAGTGCGAAATCTCGGGCTGGCTTTGGTGTGTGTGCGGTGGTTGGAGGTTGCGTTGGCCAAGACGGATATGTATGTAGTTGAGGCGGGGCTAAGCTCGATTTGTGCTCGTTTGTTAAGCAGGAACTTTTTCACACAACAATGTGCAATTCAGCAACAATAATAATTATTTGGCAAATACGATTTTTCACACACTACGCCAATTTGTATACATACGCCTCGTCTTTCAGTGTGACCAGCCGCACTCGGGGGAGGATTTCTCGCTGCAACCCTACTGGATACAGGGTAACTAGTTACCACCTGGCCCCCGTGCAAAAACAATCGAAATAATAAAAAAACTTATAAACTTAAAAATAAGTTAAATTCACAACATTTTAATTTAAATGCAAAAAATTTAAGAGTTTATTTTATAATAAAATAATATTGATTTTTATTGCAAATAACTGTTGCTTTTACAAGGCCTAAAAAAATTCTTTATTGTCATCTGTCCTTTAAACTAAATTTATACAAATTCCCTTTTCAAAATTATATGAAATCGACTGACAAATCAATTTTTATTTATTAATTAATTAATTATTATTTAGTAGAGTCAATAAACAATACCCTTGTAAAAATTGTTTCTTTGGTTTTCGCAAGGACTTAAAAGGCTTCTAGGACCGTTTTAATAAAATTAATATGCATTTATTTGGGAGTACCTATGGTTTACAATTATACTCAACAGAAATCGTTAAAAATTCCTAAAAATAAGCAACTATAATATAGTCAGACCTATTTGCATTATTGTCTTCTAATTTACATTTTCAATACCTAACTACTAACTACTAAAAAGATTCATCAACGATTAATAACCTCTGCTACCTGATAGCATGTAATGAAAGCTTTTCAACTTTTTCAACTTCTCTAACGATAATGGCGTGCGTAGCGACTAGCTTTTGGCCGTCAGCCGGAGCTTGCAATTTGCAACTGTCAAGCCGCCTGTCAAGGTAAGTTGCGCCTAAAAATTTAAAATGCAACCGCAACGGAAGAGTAATGATGATGAATGTTAAAGTACGCAAATATCCTTGCCCATGCACGCACGCAGGCGGCACATTCACATTTCACTGTCAGAAATGCGGCTATAAAGCATTTTGGGGCCGCCAGGAGCTGCTGTCGTTGGCATTTATTTTTATTTCAGTTGCCACTTATGTTGGCCCGCATTTTGGCCATTTCGCAAGTCTTTCTTTCTTCCCTCTCCAGTGTTTCTCCGCTTCCTTCTTTTTTGGGGTTTTAGGTTTCGGCGTTTCCTTTTTTTTTTTTTGTTTTTTGGCAACATATGCAAGTAATTTGATTAAATTATATAATTACAGGGCCAGACAGACGAGATGGGAAGATGAGAAGACGGTGCCTGACTTTGACGAACAGCAGCAGCACGCAAAACGCCGCAACGCATTATGGCCATGGTTTCTGGTGTCGCGGTTAGCATTAACGTTAACGTCCATGTTAACTTGATCGGGTGCACAGAGAAAAAAAGCGATGATCTTTGGTGTATGCTATTAAAATGAAAATTAATATTTTCACAAAAGCCTTTTCATTAAACAGCAATTAATTAGCCTGTCAATTCAAATAACATTTATAAATAAGACCACATAAAATACTTTTTAGAGTCATTTAATCATTGAAGTTTTTATTTAAAACTATAATATTAAAAACGGTTCAGTTTTAAAGTAGAATAGATCTACAGTACGTTGTATGTTGTATTATGTTGTACAGGTAAAAGTAGATGTATCTTTAAATTTTGCGTAGCATCTATATTCTAATCCTAAAAACGTCCATCACATTTCTCTCAGCATATCGTTGCCTGCGACACTCACTGCAGGCCGGGACTAGTGCAATTTGTATTTTCAAATAGCAACAAATAAGCACCGGGCACGGCCTACATCAGGTGACGTTTTAATGCAGCACTCCACTCTCATCTCTTGGATCCACTTCACGGGACTGCACTCACCTCATTTGGGCTATATCAATAAGCCAGCCAGCCAGCCAGTCGCGCCGAGCCAAGCTGGGAAAAGAGCCAGAGCCAGGAATGTCCAAGTGGCACATAAACACTATAATTACACGCACACATGGTCAATCCCATGCGCACATGGAGCTGTAATTTAATTAAGAAATATAGATGCATTAAGAAAAGAAAGAAAAAAGAAGAAACGCACCTCTAGGCCCCGGGCCCCACCCAGTTTGGTCAAATGGAGATGTGCCTACTCAGACTTAATTTGGTATTAGCCATGCTTGCTTCTCATTGTGGACTCCAGTTTTGCCGGCTATATTTTATCCTGGGTTTGCACGTCCCACAACATCGATCAGCCACATCCCACTCCCTTGATTCTGGGTGGCATAAGTGGACCAAATGCAAGCTTGGTATGGAAATTATATTGGGATGGTAAATCTTAGAGCCTCCAGTTTCACTGGTTTTTTGGATTCATCCTCTATCATAAGCATGACAACAAATAAAGCTGCTGCGCTTACGATGTAGGTAAGTAGCTGTAAAGATAAGGGTGAAAACGTGGGAGCTTTTCAAAGCTTTCTGTGGGGTGGTTCTGGGCCCTAAGAAAAGTTATGATAATAAATATTAGGTGCTCATGCTGATTTAAATGAAAAAGTATAGGATTTTTCTAATATAGACAGCTTTCACTGAAATCTTAATCAGCAAATCCTCTTTCTTCCTAAACTTCTTCAAGTATAAAGGAATCTAATTAATGATTTATTTTGCATAGTTGTAGGATATGAGCGAAGCCAGTCTAGGAACTAAAGGTGGCAATGTGCGGGATGCTTGTCCACACATTACATAATCACTAATTATGTAGTAGTAGTAGTAAAAGTAGATAAAACATGTATTATGTTGGTGATGGGACAGCATTCTGGTTTAAAAACGATTGGTAAAATAATAAAACGTATTTTGTATTATATTTAAAAAACGTATATATGGGCCCTTATATGGGATTTATATAGGATTCAATACCATTACAGAAGTGCATCTTAGAGATATAGGCGAGTACTACATAGCTTGGTTGCCGAATCTGAAATAATGATCAATTGTGGTGATTAGTTGACCCGCTCCCGTTGTTCCCGTGTCCCCCTGCCTTTAAAACAAAGCAAATGAGTGTATATTTTGGTTTGCCATTATTGTTGATAAATGAAATGCTTTAGTCTTCCCATCCAGAAGACTTTTAAAAGAAGGAGTACTTTATACACTATGTTAATGTAATAATCGAATCTGTCATTAGTGCGGCTATATTAATATAGATGTAGACACGCGTCCCTACCCGTAATTAAAAATTGCAACTTAAGATCTACTCGTCCTCCTCCTCCTCCTGCGACTCGCTGCTCTGATCGACCGGATCGACTGGATCCGATTGATCCGGCTTCCGTTTGCTGCTGCTGCTGCCGCTATCCTCGTTGCGCAGCGAGGTCTGAACCAGTTCGCGGGTGAACTTTTGCACCAGACGTAGGGCTATGGCCGGCGACATGTCGCACAGGGAGTGGACCATAAACTCGCCAAAGCCATGGAACTTGGCATAGGCCGGTGGCAAGGGCGCGGGGTAGAAGGAAGGAAATGTGGATAAATGTTGTGACTCCTCTGATGATGCCTTATTGCGCTTCGCCGGGTGCTCCTCAAGCTGTGCTCCACGTTTGCCACTGTTGCTCTTGTGGACAATGGGACTACTGGTGATGTACTCGGGCTGTACGTTTTGCCGCCGCTGGTAGCTCCCTGTAAAGTGATTGTAATTCTTGCCATTGGACGCCACATCGCTGCCATTCAGCTGGCGTTGGCTTTTAATCTCATCAGAATTGTTTAGGGGAATCCTAAAAGGAAATCAAAGACGAGCAAGGAGTTGAAACGGGCTGAAACAAGAGAGTAGCCACGAACTCACCCCAGCACTGTGGTAACTGGCAGCGTTTGTTCGCAATCAAAGATCTCGCTATCCTCCTCCATCTCGTCCTTGACGCTCATCATATGCCCATTGCTATCGCTCTCGTCCACCTCGTACGGCTCCTCGTCATCCTCCAGCTTGCACATATTCTTGAAGCTGCGCCTAGGCCGTATGTGATCGCCCAGAAACTGGAGGCTCTCGAACAGCGGCCACTGCGACGCCTGTGTAGAGAGTCCGTTCTCGACGCGTCGCTTCTCAATGTTATAGCGGTTTCTCAGCGTAATCATGCGATCTCTCAGACTGGTGGCTGCAAGAAAAAATAGTCATTAATCCCCGCCAGCTTTGGGTGTTTTCACACTCCTTACCATCGTAACCCAGCTTGTGGGAGATCTGTTCCCATTGTTGGGCCACAAACAGCTTGTCCTTGAAACGCTTGTTGGTGCGATCGTACAGGACTGGGCGGGATCGGTACTCCCGAATCAAACCCAGATCGAACTCTCCCGTCTGAGCGTAGGTGGCCCTTGGCCGGCCACGACCCTTGGGCAGTGATGGGGGATACAGGTGCGACAGGTTCTCCATGCCCTCAGCTCCTTTGGCTCCCGCTGCTCCGGTTTCCACGTCGATGCTCTCCTTTTTTAAATCACAAGATGGTTCCATCTTAGTATATATTTAGTTCGTTTTTTAGTTTTTAGTTAACAGCTTGATGCTTAATGTTTCAATGATTTTGATTTTTTAAGCTAAAGCACACTGCTTAAAATAATTCAAGAAAAAAATATATTTATTAAAAAAGTTGCCTTGAAGCAAAAAATAGTGGAAACTCAAAACGAAAGATAATTGATGTTGGTCTTAAAAAGAGCAAACAAAACGAAGGGCACAAGAAAGGGAGAAACCATCTTGAGGATATACACACTAAAAACTAAGCAAATAAAAAAAGAGATAAAAACAGGTAACTCTTCTTTCCGCATAAAGAGAAATAAAAAGACCTTTTATTTTTCTATACAATAGTGCATGGACTTTGGTTTGATGCTCTTGATCGAAGATACTACTATTTCATTTAGTCTACAGAAAAACCAGGATGCGTAAAATATCCTTTGCATCCTTTGCAGGCCTGTAATAAGCCAGATTTGACAGAAAAAAGCGAATCTGACATAATTTGTTGTTTAGTATTGGGTGATCAATAATTTCCCTATATGAAGAGTACCAAATGTGGATTAAAAATATCTGATACTTTTCACATAGGGAAATTAATGATCACTCAATGATAAACCATCGATAACCCGATAGATAGGCGTTGCCATCCCTAATCTGAGGCTGTACATGCTTTTTACACGGCCGTTTACATGTATACACACGCGTGCGTAGGTGTGCGTGCCCTGTCTGCATCTCTCTCTTTCTCCGCCGCTGTCGGCGTCGGCGTCAGCAGCGCAATAAAAACAAAGCCAGAGAATACCATAAAAATATCAAACTACATAAAACAAAAACAAAAAAGTACAGAAACGCTACTGCTTGATATTAATTTTTTTAGCGCTGGCAGATACCCCCACTACTCACACAGATACAGCCATCAGAATCGCGTTATAAAGTTTAAATAAACAATTGCACAAAACCAGGCGGCAGCACCAAAACTACTAATTTATGATGTGCCAGTGGAAGAAATATAAACAATATAGAACTAAAAAATACATAGTTATACAGAAAAAATAAATAATCGAAGGAATATTATTTTTGGCACATTCCCGTGTGCTTGAGCGTTAATTATAATTTTCTTAATTTATTTTTATAGATTTACTCACCTCGAAATATTCAAATTCAGATTCGCCTCCGTTTTGTATGTATTTTTATACCTATTAAGCGCGCGCTCTTATGTCTGTTGGCGTCTGCTGGCTTTCTAGCTCGCTTGCTGCTAGCGTAGCAGTTACTTTAAAAAATCAATATAGACGTAAATAAATTAATTAAGATTGCCTGCGCAACACGAAGCAAAATAAAATAAAGCCAGCAGAGCTCTCGTTGTCTCCTCTCTCTGAGTGCTGGCGCTCTGTCTCAGTTTCTGTCTCTGCATTAACACGCACAACTAGTCGCAGCAAGAAATTTTTTAAACTGAAACAAAAAATTTTTTATTTTTATATTTTACGAATTACGAACGGGAGTGTAAGGCAAGCGGCAAGAGAGGCGGCACTCACACACGCGCACCACACGCTCTCCCACCCTCTCTCTCACACAGGCGCCGAACCCATGTAGTAGAGATGCGAGCGTGCTGAGTCTCTTTATCGCGTGACTATAGATTGTGGCGGTGATAAAGGAATTATGTATCTCTTTCCTGCCGTTTTGTCAAACTTCTCTCGGATTTCTCTTAAGCCTAGTACTCTGAGAGAAAAACAGGTTGTGAGCCTAGTTAGCAGCCGTATAACCACTTTTTCATCGTTCTTTTTTAAATTTGTATTTCACAAGAAATTCGGATTTTCAGTTGTATATTTATAACAACCACTAGCACATCTCTAACACTTAGCAATTAGGTGGCATCACTGCGCGATGCTCGAGTATTAAATAAGGTGGCAGCCCGCGGCGGACATTTTCATAACAACAGGGATGAAAAGTACCAACGAGCGCGCGCGCTTGGGAAATTTTTAAATTTTAATGTGTATGTGGCGATAAGTTATGTACAAATGAAAAATGAGAAGTATAAATAAAAATGTATTGAATTCGCAGAAATTCTGCAACTATTTTATTTAATTATTTAGGTAGTCTTAATTTGCGGTAACGTAAGAGGTATAATAGCTATTTATTTGGAATGTTTGTAAATTTAGTATATAGACTTTGTGCCAACTTACCTGAACTTATATTATTATTATCTTATAGTCTTATAATGCACAAGTCTTTGTGTTGCAAATATGAGATCTGAAAAGGCCAAAAAATTGATCTGTTAAAGTACGATACAAAATAGATTTTTAAAATCATTAGCCCTATATAATACTGGATTTATGTTGATTATTACAAATCGCACATAGGCCGGGACAAGTGCAATGTTTAGTTTAAAATGCAAAACGTTGACACCTTCCCGTCCTATGGGAAATTCATATTGTATTATTTGCTATGTCAGCAATGCATGTATAAAGTTTCAGCAAGTACCCAAAACATCTTGTTAAAAGTTGAAAGAAAAACATCCTTGATGCTGTTTAAGAATGCCGTGTACTCCAACAGGTAAGCAGGCAGGTAGACAAACAATGGGGGCAGCGATCAAAGACTGAAAAATCTCATATTTCAATAACAGAGAAACATAAAAAAAAACTATATGCAGCGATTCATATTAAATTTCCGCCCCTACTTGAATGTCCTTTGTGCGGGCTCGAAACTGGGCAAGGATGGAGCGGACCAACAATAGTCGCAAAAAAGGATCCTGGGACGGGGAGTGGGATCCGATCGGATCGGATAGGATCAAGCGTTTTTGGGAGCAGGTAAAACTAAACTCTGGACAAAATCAAGCGTTAAATGAATTTACTTACGCCTCAGAGCATATTTGGGAAGAGGAAGCCACAGGTCCGTGCGGACGGACGTAAGCTGCGGGGTCCATTAACAGTTGGCTAACATCAACAAAAATTTGAAATCCAAAGCGTGACAAATTCGTAGAAACCAGAAACGTTCAGAGGAGAGGCTGACTGCTGGCTGCTTGCTGAGCGGAAGAATTGCCAGGGCAGCAGAAAAGATCGCCCCCCTTGGGAAAAGCGGAGGAGACTCTTAAGCTGGCTCTCCATATGTGTATTTTCCTTGGACGAGTTTCAAGCCTCAGCGTATTTCGCTTATCTGCCCCGCGATTGAGAGCCGGAAAAAAATAGTAATAATAATGTCGCAAGGGGAACGGAGAAGCAAGGCTTTGCCTCGTATTTGTTTATTCGATCCCCGCTGCCGGGGGCTTTCGTGGCCCAAGACGGCATTAGGTTTTAATGTTCCCTGCGACACAAACATAACCCGAAAAAAGAGACCAGCGCCGCCGTCGAACAAACGCTGCAATAAATTCATATTTATTTATTTTTGTTAGGCAAATACGCCCCCAACGGCACGAAGACTCTCTCCTGGCTCCGGGGCCCTCTTCCTCGTCAAGTCAATAATGAAAGGAACGGGCCCAGAAGAACGGACCCCAAGTCCGAGTCTGCGAGAACGAAGAACGGAAAGCGGAAACGCAAATAGACGCACGATAAAAAAAGAACCCATGCCATGGCATGAGGAGAAAAGAAACAGCACGGCACATAAATTTGAAATAACTAATAATTCATTGAAAAAGCTTTTAGGGAACGGCAGCGGGCGCCGGGGATCGATCAGGGGCGATTCCAACTGGAGTAGAGGAATCCATGGTCTGGCATGGCGTGGCGGTGCTGGTGGTGCACAATATCATGTAATAATATTTGCCTAAGCCAACAGCTGACAAGTCAGCAATAGCACACACACTCCCTCCCGATATCGGCACCGCGATCGACAACAGTTCCCCACAGGAATTAAAGGCGCTCTCGAGCACAAGCTAAGATGGGGGTTTTATGAGCAATATATGTGCTTGGAGAGGGGCTAGGACTGAGATATAATAGCAAGGTTGCAATTTGCCTCGATGCTTGCCACGGTATATATACGTATCAATTGTGTTAATTGAAAAGGAAGTGTAATAAATCAAATACACTCAGTTAGGTATTGGATTTTTCAGTTATTGTGTCTTAGAACTAGAAAATTTAAGAGCATATGAGGGACAAGTTTTGTAAACTTTTATATTACATTGTCTTTATTTATTATCCATATTTTTCTTATATTATTTATTGATTCCTAACTTTACGTTATGGTAAATTCAATTTATAGTTTCTAACAAAATTCCTTTTTATATCATTTTCGAATCTTTTTTACAGCTAAGCTTCATTATCTTAAAAAGAATGGCTCATTAAGGGCATTCACAGTTCGGTTCCTGGACCTTTCTCCTCTCTGCACATTTATGATGGCCATTTCCCCAGACTCGGCGCAATGCCTTCCTTCTTTTTCGTTGCCCGTTGGTCTGTGTTCTAGTTTGAGTAGAATCATTTTTAATGACTCCGAGAGGCAGCAGCGTCAGGAGCTGCGATGCCAAAGAAAGCATCGAAGGCTTCGACAGGGGAGAGATGGCAGCGAGGGATAAGTGAACGGGAATGGTCATGGATGGCGATGGCCATGACTTCCAGCCAAAAACAGTTTGCATTTCCCATTGTTGATGCTGCTGTGTTAGCTAGCTCTTACACTGCTCCTGGTGATGTATGTACTTGTTGCTGCTCCGAAAAAGCAGATACAGTGGATCTTCCATATACCAAACCTCGATCTACTGTCGGGTTAAGGACATTATACAATTGAGTTTAATCAAGACTAATATTGGTAAACATTCTACACAAAGAAGGTTGGTAATACCTTGGATTTTAATATTTTAAAATTCAGAAAATATTATTAAAATAGTTTCTAAAATGTGTTTTATTATAAAGTACAAATATGATGGGATATGTCACCTTAACTCTCTGATATTTACCACATCAATATTTTAAGAGACTATTTTTTGATTATACCCAAGGGAAGTCTTAACTATTGAGCTACCACTGTGTGCCAGGAGATGGAGAGCGAGCGAGGGCAACGAATAAAAATAACTGTATTAAATGGGTCCAAAGCCAGGATCAGAAGGGGTTCTTGGCGGTAAAGAAAGAAAAGGTCTGACGCTGCCGCCTGAGAACCGAGCCGAACCGAACCGAACCTCCGCTCATGGCTGTTACAATTTCCAGGCTCGGTTCATGCCTTGCAGTCGGCCAGTGTTTTGAAGGAACCTGTTTTGGGCTTGAGCAAAGAGCTTGGACCTAGGCCTAGGCACAGGCCTCGGCCTTAGCCTTAGCCATATGGCAATCTAGCGTAAAAGGCGTTCCAGAGCTGGTGGGATTGGGCTGTGCCAGGCTGTCTCATCTGTTGTCTATTTGGCAGGCTGCAACAGCGGCAGCGGCAACGTCTCTCCCGGTTGCAATTGCTGCGGGCCTGTTCGCAAGTGCAACATGTTGCCAGCAACATTTGTTGCAGCAGATTTTGATTTGCTTCCATTTCTTCTACTTTAACGAAATTCTTCCCTCCTTTTTTCGGTTTGATTTGGTTTGTTTTTGCAGCAACTGCAGCGTAATCGAAATGCAATTAAGATGCGCCAGTGCCGGAGTGTTGCAGAATTTTTGACTCGCACTCACCGAGGAGCGAGCGAACGTGGCTGCAATTTATATTCCCGGACAGATTTTTAGAAAGTAGCAGAGGAGTTCCGAGTCCAGAAGAGCCCCCAGACGCGAGCCAAGACCAAGACCAAAGTGGAAGACCAACCCAGCAGAGTGCCATTCGAAAGGCGTTGACGTCGAGAGGTGAGCCGGGCTTAGAACGACGATCTCTGCGGATTGTGGACTCTGGATTCTGGAAAGAGCATGAGCTCTGGCTCGTATGTGTGGCATAATTAAAGGGTTACCATGGCCACGCCAATCTCCATTCGATATGTGGCGATCTCCTGGCCGCCTCCCCGCTTTTTTCTGTGAATTGTGTGGCTGATATGCATAACGGTGGTTTAATATGAGTTGGCGCACAAAGAGCAAAAGCACCACAAGTGGGCATGTCTCCAGAGATCCAGCCACAACCCCTTTTCCAGGAGATACCTGCACTGCGAAAAACGTCGATAATGAATTTGAGAAAAAAATTTTTCAGGCCTACAGATCCAGACATCGTTTCGCAATGTCACAAGTTCTAGGATTAGCATAAAATCCCCGTCATCTACAACAACCAATTCTAAATGAATATTAAATACGTCCTTCGAATGTTTTTGCTCAATGTAAGAGGCCTCGTCTATAAGTCCGACCACACTCATTTGGTTGTTATCGTTATGGCATAATATGGGCCACTCTCTCCCTGGACGCTGTGCACTCATCAGTCCAAATGGTCGGCCATCAGCGCGTCGTTTATTGGGGTTCGAGCTCGGCGAGTAGTTCTCCAATTGATTGCCCACATCTGTTCTGGCTGTGCTCCATCCTCACCAAAAGGAATCTCCTTCAGATCGGAGGAAATTATTGTTCATTTCGAGCGGGCTTTGAATATTGGTTAAAAACTCAATGTGTGGAGAAGCAGAAAACGTCTTTGTTTAATGGCACAAACTGTATCATATCAATAACCAAAGCCCATTATGAGGGTAGCAAACCCAGAGTGAGTTGGCATAATTAACAACAGGTGTGGATTTGTTAACAATATATGAATAGCTAACTAGCAACCTATAGAAACTACCAAAAACAATCAAGCACACTAATAATTGTAACATTATTTTCTTTGAGATTGGATTTGAAACATATACTTATTGATTATAATATTCTAAAAGTTTGATAAATTTCTTGATCGTATGTTATGCTGTACCTGATATCCATTAAAACCAAAGGTTTTTCAATAGACTATAAAAATTATTCCATCAATTTACATTGTACCCATAACCTGTTACAATATCTCAGAGATTTCCATGTTTGCAATCTTCCTACAAACTTTACTCATTATTTTTTCTTTAATGTGCAACAACCAAATGTTATTATCCGCTAATTGCCAAATAGTTTGGCGTATCTCACGCTGGCAGTGGCAGGCAGATTGGAGGCCAGAAGACTGGGCCTGGAAGACGATGCTCCAACAGCTCAATTACTTTGCGTCTTTTAAGCGCTGAAGAAGAATCAGGCCTGTTGCCAAGGAGCCTGGGTTAATAGCTAATGATCTGCGGCAAATATGCGCCATTTTAATCCCCTCACCCGGTTCCTTCTATTCAGCGTCTTTAGAGCAGAGGAAACCCAATGAAGCAAAGTTCTCACACAAATTAAAATTGCTATTCGTTTTTTTGTTTTTTGTTTTTGGGAGTTTCTACGCAAATGTGTAGGGGATGGATTGGATGCTCCAAATGGAATCTCTCTGCGAAAGAATTTAAGCCTCCAATTTCGCAGAGGAGAAACCGAACCGAAGCCGAAGTGAGCCACGAAAAAAATAAATGTTAAGAGCTAAGCAAATTTTAAGCTGTGGCTTCATAGTTATATGGGGCATCGTCCGTAGGAACCATACATACAGACTTTATGTGTGTATGGCCTGTGTTAGGTATTCGATAGCGCCAATTTGATATGGCGGCCAAGGAGCACAAATTAAGTTTCCCAGAAACAAACGAGCAAAAAAAAAAAACGGAATACTACCTGAACTGAGAAGAATCTCCTCACATCGTCTTCTCACACATCTAAGCTAAGCTATCTTCCCTGGTTTTGGTGTTTTATGTCCGTTCAGATCGTAAAGCAGTTAGCAACGCCATAAGGAAGAGAATCTCTCAAAAAGAAAGTTGGCAACCGACAGACAACGCAAATAAAGTATGTAAAATGCCTTGAATGGAGAAAGAAAAGCCAACGAATAAGATGTTGCGGCAGGAACTTAATTTTTCACTGCGGCGTTTTTTAATGCCCCCCTGATAGTTAAAAAAAAATTAATGAGTAGTAAAAGCGAAACGGCCGTCCGGCCGGCAGAAGACGCTCTCAAAGGCCAGAGAATCGAAATCAATATCCAATCATTAATCGTTAACTAATTCCGTGAATTCTGGGCTCCTCTCTGCCATCCTCAAAACGGACTGGGCACTCGACAGAGTCCCAGCTCTTTGGTCAGGTCCGCCGTCGTCTGCCTTTTGCCCCATTTACCAAGTTCCAAAAACGCAACCAGACATGCCACACTAAAGACATATATTTATGCCCCGAAAGCAACTTTTGGCGTATTTAGAACAGCAACAACAAACACTACAACAACAACAAACAGCTTCGAAAAACAGAAATATCAAGATAAAAATATTTTTCGGTTGGCCCTTTTCGGCTTGATCTTGGACAGTGGCTATGCACAGGAAGAAAAAGTGTTTTGAATTTTTAAAATAAACAAAAAACGGTACATGCTTAAATTTGATATTCATTAAAATTTGTATTATTTGTAAACATTTTATTTGAACTTAAATTTTGTATGGGTTTTAATTTTGATATTTGTATATACTTCAAAATATTTTATTATAATTATAATAAATATGTTTTCAAAATGTAGTTCAAGTAAAAACATTTAGCATATGGAACTTATATTTTTCCTGTCTGTATGGGTTCGCCTAAACCAAGTATTTACTGATTGTTGCCTTTTTGTTGTTATCGCTCGATGGCGCGTCTGAAGTCTGGGATTCGTTTCTTTTGGGCCCTCTTCAGGGGATCTTCTACTGGATCTCCTCTGGACTCCGATTCTGCCGCACACGCGTTTTGAATTCGATTTGCCGATTTCGGCGTTTGGACCAAAACAACAACAATCGACGACCATGAAACAATTTTATATTTTTGTGCAGAAAAAAAGATCAATAAAATTTTACCGACAACTGTATTCGGTTCAGACAGAAAAGCCCCGAAAAGCACAGAAAGGGTCCTAAAATTAGTGACCAAATTGTCATGAGGCGAGAGCGTTAAAGGGGAAATGGGAATCTGAGGGTTTCGGGACACATTTTTGGTTACAGTAATCAGTCCAATATCCACAAAAACCAGAAAAAAATATATATAAAATTGGAGCGCAACAGCTGGAAAAAATGTGAACTTCATTTAATGTGTGTCTTTCGTTTTCGGTTTTGTAGAAGCCGAAAGTGCGAAGAAGAAATCTTTGGGGAAGGGGGGGAACTAATAGGGTGATGCTGTAAGCTGAGAGTTAAGGTTATGTTTGAGACTATAAAAAATTATTAAATGGGGGGCAAGAAATTACAAAATTTAGATTTTATTTTTTGTAAATTTGTAAAATATAGGAATTTGGGAGAGTTATAAAGCTTGTTGAAAACTAATATCTATAAACCCTTTTGACACTTATATGAAAAAAAGGTAAAATAATTATTTTAAATTTTAAAGATTTATTTTTTAGTCAAATGGCTTTTCTTTTAGATTTGTAATATTCTGTATTAACTATTAACTGCGAACCGAAAAAACAAACATAAAAGAAAGTCGCCCAAAGCGCTTAGTTCCAGGGAAAAGTGAAGTATTGGTGGAGAAGGAAATGGAGGAGCACTGTGTGAGTTCCTGCAGAATCCATGGCTGGAAAAGGTGCGCTCTGCTGCAACAAGAACAACAACAGCAACGCCAATTCCCAGAAATGAGAGCGTGTGGGAGGCAAAGCTGGAGAAGGAGAAAAGGGAAGAGAGCGGGAGGAGCCGTCACTAATGAATTTGTATGCACAAACCGCAATGATTTGGCACAAAAACAAAAGCATCAGTAACGGAAATGCGAGGGCAAAAGGGAATAAGGATCAAAAAATGGCAAAAGGCAGCGGCAGAGAAAAAGCAACATTATGCGAAATTAGTGCAGACAGCCGAAAAACGCACCTTTTATGCTTTTTTAGCCTCTCAAAATTTTACGATTATTCCCCGTTTCGTTTCTGTTCGTTTTGTGTGTGATTTTTGATTTATGCAAAAGCAATAAAAATTATTATAATGAAGGCGCTGACATGGCTGATGGTCAGAGCAGAAATCGCAAGCGAAGAGAAGAGGAGCTGGCGACACGTGATTATGGTGGGAAAGAGGAGAAGCAGGAGGTGGAGCAGGAGGCGACGATGACGATGCTGTTGTTCCTTGTCCGTTACTTTTTCCCCCCAACCCTCCCTCGCAATCGCGTGTCTCTGGGGTAAAACATCAAGGAGCGCGCGGCGAAGAAAATGAGTCAGAGTGTTTGTTTCGACTTCTGCACAAAGAAGTGCTTCTTATTTCTGCTGCCGCTTTGTGCGGCTACGCTCTCCCCAAAAGCACATGTAAATAAATCATAAGGCGACAGGAAAATCGCCATTTTCGCAGCATTTTAGAAGAACGTTCAACGTTGGCTCCAACTATTTGATGGTCGTCAGCAAACATAAATGCTCTGTCTCGCACTTTGGCTTTTGGTAATTATCTCTGGAGAGTTAGTTGGCTGCTGCACCCAAAAACGGTTGAACATAAAAAAAGCAACGGCACTTTTATAGCTAGCCGAGGAGGAGATTACCTTTTGGGAGTTCGAGAGGAGTCTGCGCCGAAAAGCTGAGCAGAGTGCCCGCGAAAAGAGTGGGCGCAGAAGAGAGATCCCCGAAGATGATACACAAGCAATCAAAAGAAATGCAACGGCTTGCATCCTCCTTCTCCGCCCATCTCACTTGACTTGCCTTGCTTTTGCCTTGCCGATGCACCGTTACGCGGAGTTGAGCGCGGGTTCAAGATCACCGCACCCAGAGTTAAATGCTGTTTTCGGCACATTCTTCGCCTGTCTGTTATGCACTTTACACAGAGATTCCTTTCGGAATTTTGTTTCTTTCATTCGCTTGTTTATTTCTTTGCACTTTGCGGGCTAACGGTTCTGCAGTTAACAAATAAAGTAGCGCGCGCACTTAAACTCACCGACAGACAAACACTCGAGCACTGTTCAACGCACCCGATCATCGCTCAAAGATCGTCGTGCCAAAGGCATTAGTTTCCTCGATCGGCCAGGAGCTGGCCACTACTTTTCACTACTTCTTTTTAGAGGAGTTTTATTTTTGCAACCGTCGCCGCCGACGGATTGCGCGCAATTGATTTGAACTGGCGCGGCAGCTCAGCTCGAAAGCCGCGCCAGTGTGACCGCGCTGGGCTCAAAAAAATACCATTTCAGTTTCTGGAAAGGGGTGCATGAAGGGGGGTGGTTTACCTTGTTGGGCGTACTCGGACAACGTGAGGAGATTAAAAAAGTTATCTTTTGATCTGAAATAACCCAAAACGTATTCATATGACGTTAAGAAAATCCTGGTGGCAGTGTGGCCGCGCCGGCAACGATACGAAATACTCAAAAAAGGAGAGAGAGAGAGATAAATTATTAGCTCAACTCGAAAGCCGAACTCAGCCGAAGCTGTTGCACTCCTGCCGAATGGCCTCTGCCGCAGCAGGCAGCGGCAGCGACAGAGAGCATCGGATTATGAAATTTGCGCCTGCGCCGAAATTGTAATACTCTCTCGAAGGCAAGGAAAGTTCTAGTCGAGAAAACGTTCTGGAATTTCATAAAATTTTGGGGGTGATGATTGGTTTACACAAGCTGATAAAAACATTTTTAATGTAAATACAGTATCTATAATTACTAACTATAATAACAAAGAAAATGAATTAAAATTTGAACAGAAAGAGGTTTATTATTATTTTCTTATTCTACAAATATTGCGAAATATAAATTTTCCAGTTTTCATTGGTATTGCCAAATATAAAATTAAAATTTGAGTTTTCCAGGAGAAAATTCATATATTGACTTAAATAAATTCTTTCTATCAGTTGATAATTCTATATTTTTCACTTATTTAGAACATTTTTAAAACGGTAATGATTTTATTATGGTATGGTTTAGCTAGTTAACGGTTTTAAAACTAAGAGTTCCATATTTTTAAAGTTCTGAGATCCAGAGGATCTTGTCTACAGGTTGCTCACTGCGATTACTAAGACCTAAGATTTTTATGCGTTAAAAAGAGTAGAAGATCCACTCCACAAAATATCAAAAGTAAAACGAAATTTAAAATTTAAAAAATAAGTAAAAAAATGTAGTGGGGCGAGCAAGCCTCTGCCGACTAATGATCGCCCAGAGCTGTTGCCCTGGTAAAAGTTGTGAACCTTGGGCCCGGGGACAACTCCATTAGGCGGCCCACATTCGGTGGCTACTGAAGCCGAGTTGGCTTCAATCTTCAATGGGAGAGCAGGTGCATCCAAGCCCATTCCTCGATCGAGAGTCGCGAGGAAAGTTGCGACGCGTGGCTAGGATCGAAACAAAAACAATAAAAACATATGAAAACCAGAAGGTTTGTGGTAAAACCAGCATATCATCGCGTAAGGAGAATCGAACAGGCACGAGTGTCTTCAGACACATCTGGATGGGCCCAGAGTCTTAATAGTCGCACCTTGAGCAGTGCTGACAGCTCAGATGGTTCCATATCGGATCTGAATTTTGTTATAAATATTATAATATATGGGTTTTCTATATATGTATATTGTTTTAAATAAGATTTAGATGAAGAGATCTACATTGTACTTGTATATTTGCCGAACAAAAGTTTAACTTATTTTTGTCTGACTAAAATGCCTTGAGAGTAGGGGTAGCAATTTAGCATAACTGAGAGCCGAACTGAGATCGGCAGCGGGCAAAGGCATCATTAAACACATTAACAGACGGCAGACGATGGCGATGGCAGGTGATGCCAACAGAGACAGGTTGACTAACTGACTGAGTGACTGTGCGAACAACTGACTGACTGTCGGAAGGACTGCCGAAAGGAGTAAATGAACGAATGCGTGAGTGTTCCCGTGGCGATCCCAAAAAGCAGCAACTGTACAGAACTGGCTTGAATTGTTGGGGACCTTTAATGGGCTTAGCCCGTGCCTGCGGCTCTCTCCTCATCTCTCTCGCTTCCCGGCTCCTTCGCACTCCTTTGTCAATTACAAAGGATGCGCCACAGGACATCTGCCGAATGCCAATTGAATTTCCTCTTTCCAAGCTTCTCTTAACCCCTTAAGTACAGCACGAAATATACAGTTAACTGATCACTTGAAATTCAAAACAAATCCTCAAGGTATACTATCTGATCAATTAAGGGAAATAAAATAACAAAGATTGAGGGCATTTTACGGGTTTTGTTATTATTAAAAAACTCCATGATAAGTACTTCAGCGGGTTAAGCTTCAAAGTTCGTGACGCAGCTGTACCTATTCTGCCATCGATCCTTGTGATCCTTGCGCCTTACGCACTCAGTTTCTTTATTTTTTTCCTTCAGTGCCGCTGGTCCTTCCTCTTTCTCTTCATCTGCTTCTGCTTCCCTGCTTTTCTAATCTCTATTGTCTCGCTTTGAGCAGCAGCAGTGGCAGCAGCGGCGAAGGCCAAGCATCCAGCGGCGAAACTAGTTTACCTCACTGAGAACAAGTAACGGTACAAAGGCGCTGCTTCTCGGCCCTGCCCCCTCCCCCTCTACCATTCAGTTTTCCATTTCTTTGCTTTTGAAACCGTTGGAAATTATGTTTTGATTTCTTGCAGTTTTTCCTAACGAACCATGCCAAATTGTCTAATCTCGACGAGAATGTCTTCACACCCATGTTGACGAGTGGAAAAAAAAAGAAAGGGAAAGGGGGAAAAGCATTGGAGTTGGAATTTTCCCGCCCTATTACATTATCGTTTACATGGCACCACCCCGATTGACGATCCGGGAATACATCATGTTATCTAAGGTCCTTTCCCCGATCCTCGGTCCCTTCTTTGGTTTGCCCTCTGGCCCATTAAACAACCGTCGAACGGCTTTATTAATTTCCTGTAATTTGTTTATGCTTTCAAAGCAATTTATTTTCCACATGCGGCTGCCGCATTTTCGTCCAGAGGGGAACTAAGGGGTTAAGGTTAAGTGCGGCACGCAAAAAAAAAAAGAAAAAAAACTACAATAACACGTTGATATTTTAAGTTTTGATAAGTATGCTATTTGCTAAAAACTTCAAAGAAACAAACTCGATTAATAAATTGTTTCGAGAATCTAAATACAGGTAATTATAAACTGGTTTCTAGAGGATGCAATAATAATATCATAAAAACTGTGTGTAGATATACTTATTTAAGGTGATCAGATCCTAAATCAAGTCGCGGGCTTGAGTATCTCCCATTTAAATGTAGCTTTCTTTTCCCTCTAAGAATGAAATAAGATCCTACAAATAGTTCCCCATAATTACCTGTAAAGATCCACGTCCACCCATCATAATTCAGAATATAATTCATTATTAATATTATTATAATTATTTACCTTATACCTTCGTCTTGTTTGTAATGCATCAGTAACATGCGCATAAAAATATGACTACATGTGTTTGTTTAATAAAGTTATAAATCTAAAGTCAAAACATAAATGTGACATTGATCTACAACTGCTGAAAAGGGGCTGTGAACCCTTTTTTGTTTCTCACCGAACCGATTCGATCCCAAAAAAATAAGAACAGGAGGAAATTTTCAATATAACTTTTTGGCAATCGTTACATTCCTTTTTTTTTTTTTTTGGCGGCCAGGAAGGCAGATCAACTTTATGACCACAAAAGGCCAAAACAAATAAAATCGGACAAGAGAACAGCATGGTGAACGATTGCAAATTACAAGCCCGATTCTGCTGGGAAGCGTCTTCTCCAAAGAGCAACTTTTGCAGATGCGTTAAGGTTAAGGTACGAGTATCTCGGGATCAGACCAGGCTGCTCTGTCGTTTTGGCCATGTTTTGGTCATTCGCAACGGCAGCTGCTTCTTTGCGGCTCTGTCGTCATTACGAAAAGGAAGCTAAAGACAAACGGATATGCGCCGCACATCAAGCAACTGCTTTTTGCTGCCCTGCGTTTTCTTTTTATTTTTTTTTCGGCGGTTATTGCATTGCTTTTTGGGCTTTTTACTTCTTGGGCGAAAAATAAATTGTGCGACAGGTGCGACAACGACAGCAGCCGAACAAGATGCACTGCATCTGGTGGTCACAGAGGCGTACACGTGAAAAATAAATGAGAAAACTAAATGTATGTCAATAATGTCTTCGAATTAAAACAAACGTTGGTCTTTAAAGAGTTTCATTCCCCACTACCAATATTTCAAGCAAAAACTTCCTCATTTTCTCAGATAATAATAATAGTTTTGAGTAATAACCGTGATTAAATAATACTTTTTAAATTTGGTAAAAAATTTCGCCAGTGCAGTTAACCGATCGGAGCCGCAGGAGAGCTTTTTGTGTGGGAGCGAAGCTTTCGATGTGATTTTCGGTTTTTGGTTTATTGTGTCTGCTGTTTTTTGGGTATTTTACAGCTGCGCCATCGATAATTGCCAGGAGGCCTTACATGGACCGAGAAGATGCAGATCAGGACGTTGCCGCAGCTGTTACTTCCGCTCGAATGGAGTGGAATGGAAGCTGTAAGGGGTTCTCCCACTCCAACTCCGATCGGTAAGATCCTGCATCGATCCCTTTTCTAACTCTAATCCGGCAGACGAGCCGCAGACAGAGAATCCCTTGCTACCTGTACCTGTTCCTGAGCCTGTCCCTGAGCCTGTCTGTTTGCCGATATTTATTTTGATCCGTTGCGGTGATCTACATGCATGAGCGAACCCACCAGATCCTATTGAATTAATGTGCAGCATTAGCCAACAGGTTTTGGCTCTTGCATGTGTGTGTATATGTATCTCTTTCACGTAGCTAATGATGTCCTAAATAACAGGTGTGGAGCGATCAGTTCCACTGGTGATCCTTGCCCCGATTCCGGAGCACCGATTCCTGGTAGAGCGACAGGCCCACCCGAGCACGTAGCGAATCGATGAGGCCCGAAATTCGGGCCAAGATCTCTTTACGAGAAGATCCAAGAGTACAGTCGCAAGCGGTGGTCAAAAGCAAGTAAACAGGGCCAACAGGCAGATGTTTGCATATCGCCAAAAGATCGGTCAGCATTTCTTTCTCCCCTCTCACTCTCTGTTGTTCATATTTTGCATTTCCAAGTGCAAACACAGCAGAAAGGAACGAAACCAAGACGAAAGAAAAACAACATTTGAGCACAAAGACTGGACGAAGAC